TGACAATGTCAGGTGCAATTATTATTATTATCCGTTTATTTATTTATTTATTTTGCATTACACGTTTGCAAATGCGAATTATGTCAGCGGCAACTGCTTGTCTCTCTCTATGTCCGTCTCTCACCCACTCTCTCTCTCTCTCTCTCTGTGTGTTTTCTACGATTTTGGTCAGCATGATATCATTTGAAGCAGAGCTTATTACTCACTCGCGCCAAAAACGCAAAAACGCAAAAGTAAAACAAAAATAAATCTTATTGCGTTGAGGGGGTTGTTGCTGCCGAGGGGTTGTCTGTCGGGTTGTAGACTATGATGTCACTAGTCCCATTTTGCAGTTGTTTGTTTGTACATTGTATATTGCCATACATTGAAAACAACGCCATTTGTTTGGATTTTGCGTTGCAATTTGATGGAAAGTTCATTGAACACAGTGCTTGCCAAACTGCACCAAATTAAGTGCAGCAAACTTGAGCGTGGTCACACACACACACTCACCCACTCACACGCACACAGTCAGTCACAGTCGCAGTCGCACTTGAACACCTCTGGTTTGGGCATTTGTTCGTCACGCTCAAGCTGAGTGTTTGATATATGTTTGTAGTTGTTGTTGTTGATTGTGAGCACTAATGAATCACAGTGCGAACATTCGAACAGGCAACCACAACCGCACCCACTACGTCAAACGTGAACGTAACGCATACGTTCGTATGGCATCCGATTGCTGCTATGTTTAGCCGAAGTTCGCTTCGGATGTGCTTTGACACGTTGCTTACACTCATAACGATGAGCGCCTACGTAGCCAAGTTTGGGCTTCGGCTTGTTGTTTTTGTTGCTGTTGTTGGAATTGCGCGTTATCTTTTTACTTTCATGCGCTATGGGATCACGCTCTCTTTTTGTCGCTCCCTCTCTCTCTCTCTCTCAATAAACAACAAGAAAACTTGCTCCATTCCAGAAAACTTGTTTGGGGTCTGCTCTCTCTTTCGCACCGAGCTCCAATTGAATACCAACAGTGTTGTCACCTTTGGAAATAAAATAAAGCTAGTTTTATAGGGAATATGAGGATATAAAATGCCATTACAATTGGAACTGTATGCATAATTTTGATTTAATTGTGCTCGCTTTCATTTTATTTGTATAATGTTGTTTTTCAATCTACAATTTCTTAATGTATATGCAAACACAAAAAAATGTTTTGCAATATATTTGAAAAAAGGCTAGATTTGGCGTAAAAAACGCTGAATGGACAACACTGGCTAACAGCAGCAGCGGCCGCAACACAAGCAGCAGCGACGACTGCGGCTTATTGGTTTGTTTTGTGTTTGAACTTCTTCCAGTTCTTTTGCTGCGTTCAGAGTAGACGGCGGTCCGCAGTATCGCACTCGTCAAACAGCTTACAATTTTATAACAGTTACTGTGTTTCACTCTGTGTGTGTGTGTGTGTGTTTCTGTGATTCCGTGTGTGCGTGTGCATTAGCTATTTATTAATTACCGCTAAACACGCCAATTGTGCTTTGCATACATTTTGGCGCAAAGTTCCTTTTTTTTGACATAACATCAAAGAAGTAAAAACTCGTAAAATGGCCGGTGGCAGCAAACGTTATTCGCGCAACAATTCCAATGGAAACTTCCAATCGCTGCCCGAACGTGGCCCAGGTAAATAGCAGCAAAAGCTATAACAACAAAAACAACAACAGCAGCATATGAGCTTATCACCTGTCTACTTTGATTTACCATTAAGCGTTATCTATCTATGCTTTGCCTCTGCCATGTCTTTGATTGCCAACGTCAGCAGCGACGCCAACGTGGCCGCCGTTTGTTCAATCGTTCAATCGCTGCATGTTCTTCTTCTTCTCGGTGTTGCCCAAAAGCATACAAAAAATACACTTTTTGCATAATTTGCTTTTAGTTGTCTTTTTTTGTTGAGTAGTTGCCTTTTGAATTTTGATTGCCACGTCGAAAAAATGTTGGTTTTTGGTAGGCGGGCAGTGGTAGTCAACGAACTTTTCCTGCCTGACAACCAAAAAACAACAACATAACAACAACAACATAACAACTTGAAGCAAATTGAGCAACGCGAGCATTTTCCATCATTTTATGCCTGCATTGCACTCTCCACATTATCACTTTTATATGCATGTGTGTGTGTGTGTGTGTGTATTCTAATTCAAGGTTATCAATGCCGCGTGCCAACTACGCAAACATTTTCAGCAATGCTCGTGACGTCACAACCACGCTGCTGAAGACATGTGGAATGAATTGATCCACTGGAAGGGGAAAGCTTTTAGCACTGCAACTTGTGCACGTGCTCGAAATTAGACTTGATTAACCAATTTATTGTTAATTATGAATTTTTAATTTTAATTTAATGTTTAAGCAAATTAATTGTAAGACAAATATTTGAGTTTAAGCAGCAAAACGAGTATCAGAATTTAATGAACATTTTCGTTGTCCTGTGACGTATTACGCACATCTCTAATTCTATGCACACACATACACACACACACATACACTCGCACTTGTCTCTCGTTCGCTTATCTAGCACCTCTTCGTTCTTCTTCTTCGTCGTTCTTCTTCCACTTCACTTTCAGTGCAAACTTGTTTTTCACATAAACCAGTTGACAGAATTGCCCAGTTCTCAGTTCCTTCTCCTCCTCCTCCCCTCCATTCCACATTCTCTCTTCCATATCCATCAACTTACAATGCATTTTAGTTGTTGCTTCTTTGATCACTCAACCTACATGGATGCGATACATCTTTAATTGTAACGAAGTCGAAAAGTCTCTTTTCAATTGATAAAAGAGAAACTTTCTCTTGGAACGCTTTCTTTGTGGCTCGCATATGGGAAATATATCGGATTGTTTCTCATGTTGACTGACTGAATATGTCTTAACCCAGTTTCAATTTGTAGCCAGCCCTCTCGCATCGTTTCAGCTCTTGTTTCCTTTCTAATTTACCGCCGCCGATTTACATAACCTCCTCTTCCGACTCTTGAGCTCTGCTTGGCAACAGTTATTTTTCTTAATTTTTTATATTTTGTTTTTTCTTTTATTTTTTTTATGCCCACCCCCTGCGAAACTAGTTTACCAAACGTTTTTTTTTTATTTGTTTGTTGTCGATATTTGCTTAGCTGTTCGAATTATCTATTCTATGTTTTTTTTTATTATTTATTGTGGCTTTTTACTGAAATCAGGCTTTAGCTTTCCATTGCGTTCGCATAAGGCAGACTCGATGGAAGATTTGTTCCGGACTGGAAGCGCATGGAAATCATTGTGATCTGTGATCGGTGATCATCACCAGCTGCTTTTGCTATTGATTTTATATTTCCATGGAGATCGCCAGCTGTGCTTTTGCTGAAGAATTGCACATGGCCGAGTTTTCTTTTCCAATAAAAATCAAATATGCAAATGAAATGAATATTTTTTGAATATTCGTGTTTGCTTTTCAAATATGTAAATCAAAATCTTGAAAGTTTATTTTTCTTTTTTTTCCATTTGGAATGTTAATTAAAAAAGGTGTTGAACATGAATATACTCTAAAAAAAAAGTGTTATATGGAAAACATTGATATAATAAATATTTAACGTATAAGCAGAAATTATATGTGCATATTATAAAAAAAATTTAATATTTTGTGTCATATTTTTAGCCAAGCAATAAAATGTTAAATTATTATTCAAGGCTAAAGCGAAATTGCGCTGATTTCAAATAGATATTTAGAGGGTATCTCTGCCACAACAATCAATCGATAACAATGTGTGTGTTGTGTTTATTTTGAAAAGTGCTCTTTAAAAATAGGAACATATAAAATTGTTGTTTAATTAATCGCCTTTCAATAGGCCGTCAGCAAATGTGTTTATTCTCGAACAGAACCTATTTATAGGTCAGTTTAATTGAGAAATGCTGTTCCTTAAGTTGAATTCGCTTTTGGATCGATGGGTGCATTGACTGCTTATCGCTACATTTAAGGAGGTGAAGGGTGGTTGAATCTCGGGTGGGGCGAGGGGGAGGGGTAGGTGGTTGTGGTTGTCTTCATTCAGTTTCCAATGAATATCGAACCGTTTCTCAATCGTTTGTTTCAAATTCACATCCGTTCCATAGCAACAAGACTCTCTCTCGCTCTCTTTGTCTTTCTCTCTCTCTCTCTCTCTTTCTCTCTATTATTTGGCGCTCTTTGTGCGTGTTTTTTCCGGCTGTGGTCCGGAAAATTTAATTTTGAGGCAAATATTATTTGTCTAGTAGAAAACTTGGCAACGAACGCCCAACGATCAAAAGCACGGCGCGCTAAACCACGAAACCACGAAGAACCAACGAAAGAAATGTCGAGCAGAACCTGTGAGTGTTATACTTATATATACATATATATATATATAGATATATATTATATATATATATTTGTATATTGTTTAATTTACATATATACATATTTATAGTATATGTGTATACTGTTGCTAAATCGTGCTCCATCTAATATAATTATTATCTGCCATTTGCATTCGGCCTGCAACCGAATTTATTTATGCTGAGAAGAGTCCCCAAAGATTGCATAATTGCTAAACCAAAATATATATAATATATAATGTATTATGTATATAGGTGCGTACATATAGACAGCTGTCTAATGATCTTTCTTTCTCTGTATGTGTGTGTGTGTGTGTTTATGTGTGTGTGTGTGCTTTTGTATATTTTGGTATTTTCAGTGGCTCGTCAACTGTGCAAGCCAAATACTATATTAGCACGAGTCGGCGTCAAACTGTAAAGTGCGTCTTCGACTGACTGCAAAACTGTAACTGACAAGTATGCAAATAAACTTCAGCTGTGACTGGAAGTACTTGCAGTGACTGTTAAACGGTGCATGCAAATGCAGCCACAACTGTAACCTGTGCTGTCTTTAAACCTTTATTATCGATTTAATGACTGCTTTTTATCAATTGAAAAATTGAAATTTCGACGACTCTCAAATTGTAGCTTATGTTCTAATTGTCTTTCTGTTTTTAATTTTTGCAGTGGAATCCCTCATCTATTGGCGTGATGTGAAAAAGTCGGGCATTGTTTTTGGCGCCGGTCTCATCATTTTGGTGGCCATCTCCTGCTTCTCCGTGATTAGTGTGTTTGCGTATTTGTCGCTGCTGGCGCTCTTCGGCACCGTCGCCTTCAGAATCTACAAATCAGTGACACAGGCCGTACAAAAGACAAACGATGGCCATCCCTTCAAGTGAGTTGCCTTGAAACTAGAATACAATATTTATTTATAGATCTATTATAATATTTGTATTCGAAAATCTATATTGTGTGTAGAGAGTATCTGGATTTGGATCTGACGCTGTCACAGGAGAAGGTGCAACATATTGCGGGCGTTGCTGTTGCACATCTCAATGGTTTTACTGCAGAGCTGAGGCGTCTCTTTTTAGTTGAGGATCTGATCGATTCGATTAAATTCGGTGTCATTCTGTGGGTCTTCACCTACATTGGTGCCTGGTTCAATGGCATGACTCTGGTCATCTTGGGTAAGAGCACATAATTTAACATATATATAGATATATATATATATATATATTCTGATCCAAATATTAATTCGATTTCAAACAGCCTTCGTCTCGCTGTTCACCTTGCCCAAGGTCTATGAGAACAACAAGCAATCGATCGATACCTATTTGGATCTGGTGCGCACCAAGTTGACAGAAATCACCGATAAGTAAGCATCTACTTTATATATATTGGCATTTTTAGCACTTTCGAATCCTTGTTCAAATTCAACACAACAAATTCGCATTAATTGCAAAAATGCCATTGTCTTAAAAAGAGCTCATCTTTTACTTGGTTGTATTAACTATTATTGTTTTTTTCTTTTAATTTCTTCTAGAATTCGGGTGGCCATTCCCATTGGCAAGAAGCCTGTCGCCGCTGCTACCGAGTCAGACAAGGACAAATAGATAGCAACAACTACAAGAGTAGATGCAACAACAACAACAACAAAAACAGCAACACGTTTATTTATTTATTAAGCATTATTTGAATGGTTTAATATATTCATCGGGGCATAACAAATAAATACATATATCAAATTGTATAATTACAACTTACAAACAACAACAACAACAAACATGCAATGTAAACCCAAACTTAAAACTTAAAAAAAAAATACAAAAAACAAAAATGAAGAAAACATTTAAACAAAAAAATTAATATCAACTCGTAGTAGTTTAAACATTGTCCAAGTGTCTTTAAGTTTTTAAACGAACGAAACAAATTTGAAAGAAAGTAAACAAAAAAAAAAACACAGCCACAGCAATGCAATTAAACAAACAAAAAGAAAAGAAAAAAAGAAAAGATTTCCTCAGTTCCAATCAAATGTCTTTGCTTAAACGAGAGAGATTCTTAACGAAGAGAACATTTTATTACTTTTATTTTAATTAGTTAAAACAAAATGCATATTGCTATGCAAAAAAAAAGAAAAAAAGAAATCAACAAAAACAACAACAACATTGTACACCCATTTTTATTAGCAACTTTTTTTAATTAAACACTCTTTGCTTTAGTTTTAATTTTAATTTTGTTGATTTTTCTATAAAAAAATCAAAATAAAAAAGTGAAGTAAAAATATATAAGTTAGAATTGGTTTTCTGATTTTTCTTCTTACATTTATTTTCATTTCTGTATCTCTCTAGCAAGTATATCAAAATCGATTTATTCTGATATATATATATATATATATATAGTAGGCTGATCTTTGATCATACATATATATATATACATACACAAATACAGTCAACGCTTTCGTCCTTGCAGCAGGCTCAACTTAGCCTTGATAAGGTGGCCCTAATTACCGATTGGACCAATTTTGTTTATAGAACGTTTCGAGTTGCGCTTGGCCTGGCCTGAAGAGAAAGAAAGAATAGTTATGAAGAGGACTTTCAGATGATTCTCCTTCGCCCTAGAAGCACATGCATAACTTACACATGACAAGTGACAAAATAAATAAAAAATAAATAACAAACTGCTTCGCCGCCTTGTTTCATAAACATTTACATTATGTACAATTAATTTGTAAGAGTTTTTACATCGTAAATCAAATATTTAATATAAATTTTTTGTAGCACAGCAAGTTGAGTTTTTTACCAACACGTTTTAAGATCATAATCATTAAATACATCTATTTGTAGCTTAAATGTTTTTATTGTAACCATTTGTTGCTCATTGTTATACAAAACTACAAATAATGAAAGTGAAAATTTATGTTTTGTGTTGCTTTCGATATAAAAAAAAAAAAACAAACAAGAACAAAAAGAAAATTAAGCAGAAGGAAATAAAGGACTACTGATAACTTTTTAGGCGTCGTTTTTTCTCCCGTATATAACTATGATAACAATAGATATTTTTGCATATTATATAACACTTAAAATGATATTTCTATAAATGTATGTAATATGTAAGTAAATACAAAATCATCATAAATACGAAAAAACGAAAAACATTTTCAAGTGCAAATGAACTTTTCGTGGTTTAATTTTAATTAAAACGATCTTCATATAAAGACGTATGTATATCACATAAATGTGCCGTAAGTTTGCTATATGCTATGCAGAGAAAACAATGTTCTTACTTATTACATTCAGAAAACAAAAAGAACATCAAACAGTTGATGATATGATCGTAAAAATTTCAATAAAAATAAACTTAAATCAAATCGAACTTGTTAAATTATTTGAGTAGGCGCGCCAAAGCAAACAGCATTCGTCTGTATTCGTCTGCGAAAACGGCAGCATACAAAAAGCTGATTAGCATCCGTTGTTTGCAAAGCTTAACGCCAGAGGGCCGGCAACTTGGGCGGCCAAAAAGCAAACAAAAAGCATACAACACTCTGTCGACAAAAAATAATAAACAATACGCATGTATGACCTTCGTACAAGGTGACTGGGACACTGAGCGCGAGCGAGAGATAAATGAAAAAGGCAAGCAGAGAGAGAGGAAGAGAGAGAGTGCGAGATGTGTCAGTGGCTGAGCAATGGAGATTGCGAAAAACCACAATATGGGTTGCATGTACTGCAATTCAACGTTAACATAGAATTTGCTAATGCCAGCTGGCAAATGACGCTGACAAGCAGCGGAGAGTTTCATAGCGCTGATAAGACGCAAAACAGTTTGCATTAATCCGAGTTGTTTACAAGAGCGAAACTCAACGAAAGAGAGCGAAAGCTTTGTGTTTAAAAACGAAAAGTGATTTAGTAGATAGTTTATAGCTGACGCCCAAATACCCTGCATTGAACAAATGTGCATGTTATAAACATTTAAAAGTAGTTTTAGTTTAACCTAATTGCAAGTATCTGATTTGTAGAGAGTTAAGCAAAAAAAATAGTACATATATATATATAAAATAAAAAATGAAGTAGGTGTGCTTTACAGAGTAATATGTCAAACAATATACCCTATGCGCCACTGGCTGCTGGTCATGAAAAGCTCTTGTGAGTAATAACACATGTGAGAAGCGCACGCCGCGTGAGAAGTGCTCCGGTTTTTGCAGCGAACGGTCGTATTTGGTCGCGCATCGTACTCAGGAATTCGCTGGTTCGCGTATTAAAAAAAGTCGCCTTCTAGTTTTTCCTACGCACCCACGCAGTGACAGCGACAGCATCTGAGCAGAGCAGCGCGCTGAGTGTTAGTTAGAAGCAGTGAAAGAAAGAAAATTGCTCAGTTAGCAGCAGAGAGTCGAAGGCAAAATGTCGAAGCCACAATCGGACGCGGATCGCAGGAAGCAGATTTCGGTGCGCGGCATCGCTGAGGTTGGCAACGTAACCGAGGTGAAGAAGAACTTCAATCGCCATTTGCACTACACCCTCGTCAAGGATCGCAATGTGTCCACGCTGCGCGATTATTACTTTGCGCTGGCCAACACCGTCAAGGACAACATGGTCGGACGCTGGATACGCACACAGCAGCATTACTATGAAAAGGACCCCAAGGTTAGTTACCAACTCCCCCCCTTCTTTTTTTTCGAATATCGATTTTAATTCGAAGTGGAGCAAAAAAAAAAAAAATAACCTAACCCAACTTTCGTTACACTTTTTGGAACTGGTTAAGAAATGAATCTGTAGTTTGGCTTGATTCGATTTGATTTCTTTTTTTTTTTTTGGTATTACGACATGCACATATTGCGCTCTCCACTTTCCTTCTGTATTCTTGCCAGTCTCTCTCTGTGTGCATTGGCCAAAAATATGTGTTTTTTCGCCTTTTTTATTAACTTCTCTTTTATTTTCATTTTTGTTTTCGTCGCTCGCTCGCTGCCATTTCTGCTGCATTTCTACATTCATTATTACCCTCTGCACACTTATTTTGCTTTCGTTTTTCTTTATTTTTTGTTATTTCTTTCTGTTTCTGTTTAATTGCGTCTGCAGAATTTTGCTGAAGTGCAGTGAGATCAATGCCAAAAACATTTGGGGTACTTTCACTGCGACACATTTAACCTGACTGTGTGGACCAAATACATATATACATGTTGTTGTGTTAGAATTATCTGCTAAAAAAGGCCGGTGACCCAGTCTTTAACCACCAGCTGAGTTAGGAAAAACAACAAAATCATAATAAAAATAGCTATTATTTTATTATCAATCAGCAGCTGTCACGATCCAGCACATAGAGAAATAGGCTGATAGAGAGCGGGAAAGAGAGGTCATTTCAAATATAATATTAATATTAACACAGTAATTTGTATACCCTAGGCTTCTTAATGTCTTAAAATGGGGTAACATAGTTCAAATTATCTATCTACATATATTGTTTGATATGTTATTTATTATACAAATTTTGAACACCACGTTTGTTGAAATCCTAAAAAGCAAATTTAATGGAGCAGTTTTAATAGAATTTAGAGTCGGACAATTATTGTTTTAACGAGACTATTTAGAAATTTATCAGCTTGTTTTTAATATGCATGATTATATAGCATTCTACTTGTTTTCTGTTTTATTGTTCTGCAATATTTTAAATAATTTTAAAGCGTATCTTCAAGCGGAATATTTTCGTATTAATGGCATACTTTAAATCGAGTGTGCGAGCGCTGAAAGCAGCTTTAAGCACACTTCACTCACAACTGCTTCTATACAATGCGTACACAGCAGACATGAAGTCTCTCTCTCTCTCTCTCTCTCTCTCACAAGCACACTATTGCAATCACGTGCTGCAGGCGTGCGAATTTCGCGCATATCTGAAGGGGAAAATTTGTCCTTGCCTGAATGTCAGTCAGTCAGCGAGTCCAAGTTGCTTCTTGTCTCGAAATCACTTTCAATTTCCACAGTGCACGTCTCTATTTGCTTATGCTGTAAACAGCTGATAAATTTATTCTAGATACATACATCTATCGATGAAATTGGTCAATTTAAGTAATTTATCTAAAGCACTAACAATTATAGCATAGTAACAAAAAAATACAAATGTATATAAATGTATATACATATCCAACAGCATAATAGTCAGACACATACACACAGTTATTCACACATATTTTCAAGGTCAATCAAAGGTTATTAACAAAAACGAGAGCCGTCTGCTGGTTGGCTGTGGGCGCCATCGTCAGGAAAATTTTCATTATAATTTGTCTTCGTTTTAGTTATTTTTGTTGTAGTTGCGCGTGCCAATGTGTTAGTGTAGATATATATATATATATATATATATAGATGTGTGTGTGTGTGAGAGTCTAAACACATTTATTTTGGTTCCAAAAAAAAATACGACAATAACCCAAATTTTCATGAGGTTCATTTACGCTTTGTTACACTTTCATTATGCGCTTACATGCAATCTGTGTTCTGTGTGTAGCCATGAAAGCAATAAATACTATGTAAATATGTATCTATCTAAGTACATATATGCTATGCTCTTGGATACATGGACAACAAATTGAAACTAGATACACTTAAAGCTAATTGAGTCCACTTCTTTTAGGGGTGCTTTTCTTCTTTGATGGTTGAGTTCGCTCTCAAGCAATTGATGATAGGTCAGGGGGTAAACGAACTCTATTCAAAAGATATTTTTTATATTTATTGTTTTTTTTTTTTTCAATTTATAAACATTTACATAAGCACAGCCAGACTGTATCAAGCAAAAGAAGCTTTTTATCTACCAGGTGTTTTCAACTTTAAGTAAAAAAGTAAATAAAAATATATACATTTTTTTGAGATACTTAAAGTATTTTAATTTAATTAAATTGATTTATTTATATATTTTTTTAAATAAGCACACCAATTGATCCGCATGGGAAACTTTCATTGGATACAACATGAGAAACTAATTAGATAGTTTTATCTGTTAACCGTCATATAGATATATGTATATATATATATATATATATATTTATCTATGAATATGAATATGAGCAGCTGCTGGTTGCCTGGCTCACATAAATTTAAATATTCATATATTACCCTTGTTTTAGATTCGATTACAAGCGCAAACAGACGGTATTTGTTATCATTTGGTCTATGGCCATAAGCCGCAAAAAAACATGTGTTCCCCCCTATCAGTTGTGGCAAGCACACAGCTTAAACACATATATGCATATCGAAATTCAATTAAGAGTCTCTTTTTGTCTGCGGTCGTAAATAAAACAATGGGTTATCAAACGGCAACAGTTTCCGCTTATTATTGGCTGGCCAGTTGTCTGTTGTCACAAGTGATTCGCAATTGGAAATATGACGCATCTGTGTCAATATAGAAGCATTATCTGTCTTATCTATACTATCTGTCTATGTAATGTTTAATTGCGATATTTATATATACTTGTATATTGTCGTAATTAGTTGCTAAACTCTGCCGAGACCTTGCCTCGCAATGTTCTTCACTATTTTACATATCAGGCAGTGCTGATAAGCGCTACATGGAACAACTTATAAACTATAAAGCGGCATTCCAAATCCAAATCGATGATGATCATTGTCGTCAAAACAGATCGCAACACTGAGCAGAGATGTGACGATTGGCTCTGATTACCTTTAGGTGCATTTCAGTTTACATGGTACATGGTGCATGGGGCATAGAAACATAGCATGTTTCCACAGCATGTATGGCAAGTAATGGCCTTATCAGACCGGGCCTGATCTGATCAATCGCTGAACCGGTGAATGTAAATGTCTAATTATAGTCTCCCGGCAGTGCTGAATCAAATTAGCAAACACGTCGATAAGGCGCCAACGGTTGCCCTTCTCAATAAATAACAAAACACTAACATAACTTTGTAATTGGGTAATTGGGCCAGCTGCTGTTCGCGTCACCGATCACGCTCCCAACCAATGTACAGTTGTACCGGCTCTTAACGACTACCACTACCACTTACAATAGGAGATAATCGAAGGTGTTGAAAACTATTTCAACAGCAGAATATAAAAGAGTTACTTGTATGTATAATGTCCTCATTGCAGATATCTTGATTCGATCCAAATTACTCTTTATTGTGCAATCATAAATGATATCATTTGATAAACCTATATCTCTCAGTACATATACGAGGTGTGTTCAAAAAGTATCGCGAATAATAATATCTTGATTCAGTTCTAAACTCTAAATGAGATGAACGTATTATGTATCTTAAAGATAGAGGAACTATTAGTTACATAAACAAACAAATTTTCATCATGCATCATGCAACTTTCTCTTTCTTCTCATCAAGAAAATATCTTAAGTAAAACCCTTCTTTTTTTTTGCCATCATTTGCAGCGCGTCTACTATTTGTCGCTGGAGTACTACATGGGCAGATCGCTAACGAACACCATGATCAACTTGGGCATCCAGAGCGAGTGCGAGGAGGCAATGTACCAGCTGGGTCTGGACATTGAGAATCTCGAGGAGATGGAGGAGGATGCCGGTTTGGGCAATGGCGGTCTCGGTCGCTTGGCCGCCTGTTTCCTCGACTCGATGGCAACATTGGGTCTGGCTGCCTATGGCTATGGCATCCGTTATGAGTACGGCATCTTTGCCCAGAAGATCAAGAACGGCGAACAGGTGGAGGAGCCCGATGATTGGCTGCGCTATGGCAATCCCTGGGAGAAGGCACGTCCCGAATTCATGCTGCCCGTTCATTTCTATGGCCGCGTGATCGATACGCCCGAGGGCAAGAAGTGGGTCGATACCCAGCGTGTCTATGCCATGCCCTATGACAATCCCATTCCCGGCTACGCCAACAACCATGTGAACACCCTGCGTCTCTGGTCCGCCAAGTCGCCCATTGACTTCAACCTGAAGTTCTGTGAGTAGTTGAATTGCTTAACTTAACTTGTGACTTATATTCAATTGGCAATCTTTACAGTCAACGATGGTGACTACATTCAGGCCGTGCTGGATCGTAATCTGGCCGAGAACATCTCTCGCGTATTGTATCCCAACGACAATTTCTTTGAGGGCAAGGAGTTGCGTCTGAAGCAGGAGTACTTCATGTGTGCCGCCACCCTGCAGGACATCATTCGTCGCTACAAGGCGTCCAAGTTTGGATCGCGCGAAGCGGTTCGCAACACCTTCGAACACTTCCCCGAGAAGGTGGCCATCCAGCTGAACGATACGCATCCGTCACTGGCCATACCCGAACTGATGCGCATCCTCATCGATGAGGAGCATTTGGATTGGGTCAAGGCATGGGATATTGTTGTTCGCTCTTGTGCCTACACCAATCATACGGTGCTACCCGAGGCTCTAGAACGTTGGCCCGTGTCCATGTTGGAGTCGATATTGCCTCGTCACTTGCAGATCATCTATCACATCAATTTCCTGCATATGGAGAATGTGAAGAAGAAGTTCCCCGAGGATCTAGATCGCATGCGTCGCATGTCTCTGGTCGAGGAGGATGGTGAGAAGCGCATCAATATGGCTCATCTGTCGATTGTTGGCTCGCATGCCGTCAACGGTGTTGCCGCCATTCATTCGCAGATCCTGAAGGATTCGCTGTTCCATGACTTCTACGAAATGGATCCCAAGAAGTTCCAGAACAAGACGAACGGCATCACGCCACGTCGCTGGCTGCTACTCTGCAACCCCGGTTTATCCGATCTGATTGCCGAGAAGATCGGCGATGAGTGGCCCGTGCATTTGGATCAGCTGGTCGCATTGAAGAAGTGGGCCAAGGATCCCAACTTCCAGCGCAACGTGGCACGCGTCAAGCAGGAGAACAAACTCAAATTGGCTGCCATTCTGGAGAAGGACTACGGCGTCAAGGTCAATCCGGCTTCAATGTTCGACATCCAGGTGAAACGCATCCATGAGTACAAGCGTCAGCTGCTCAACTGCCTGCACATCATCACCTTGTACAATCGCATCAAGAAGGATCCCACAGCCAATTTCACGCCACGCACAATCATGATCGGTGGCAAGGCTGCGCCCGGCTACTATGTGGCCAAGCAGATCATCAAATTGATCTGTGCCGTTGGCAATGTGGTCAACAATGATCCCATTGTTGGTGACAAACTGAAGGTCATCTTCCTGGAGAACTATCGCGTCACGCTGGCTGAGAAGATTATGCCCGCTGCGGATCTGTCCGAACAGATCTCCACCGCTGGCACTGAAGCCTCCGGCACTGGCAACATGAAGTTCCAGCTTAATGGTGCCTTAACCATTGGTACCCTCGATGGCGCCAATGTGGAAATGGCCGAGGAAATGGGTCTGGATAACATCTTCATTTTCGGCATGACCGTCGATGAGGTGGAGGCGCTCAAGAAGAAGGGCTACAATGCCTACGATCATTATAATGCCAATCCCGAAGTGAAGCAGGTCATCGATCAGATCCAGGGTGGCTTCTTCAGCCCTGGCAATCCCAACGAGTTCAAGAACATCTCGGATATCCTTCTCAAGTACGATCATTACTACTTGCTGGCCGACTACGATGCGTACATCAAGGCCCAGGATCTGGTCTCCAAGACCTATCAGGTAAGCAATGAAAATCTATCTAAATTACCTTAACAAATATATTTTAATAATATGTTGTTCATTTTTTTTGTAACAGAACCAAGCCAAATGGTTGGAGATGTCCATCAACAATATTGCCACCAGTGGCAAATTCTCATCGGATCGCACCATTGCTGAATATGCTCGTGAAATTTGGGGCGTTGAACCCACCTGGGAGAAGCTGCCAGCACCGGAGGATCAGCAATAAATCAATTAAAACATTTTTTGATATTATATTTTATTATTCGTGTGCTTTACTTTTGTTAAAGTCCCATTTTAGGAGCCAAATGCAAACAACAAACTAACAAGAAAACAAGAAATGAAAAGGAAACAAAGTTTAAGCTAGCGCTAAGATGTGAACATCGATTAGGCTCATTGTTAATTATTAAATATCTATCTTATTTAATAAATTCTATACAAATCGAATCTAATCTAATGCTAATCTTCAACTGGCTGGAATCGAATTAGCAGCAGCGACTACAACACCACGGTACCTATATCCGCCATTGAGACCTCAGGAACACTTACAAAGTAACTTAAACAAAAACTAGAACAACAAAAAGGAAATTGAATAAATAAAAAAAAAAAACAACAACACCAACATGATTACAACTTAGTGCAATGCTTTGTTTTTAGATATGGATAAAAATATGCGTGTTAAATAAACAAACAAAAGAAAGTTCAACTGTTACATGTAAAGAAAATAATTTAATTTACATAATAAAATAAAAACACTTAAATTCAATCAAATTAAGTCACTGAGTGGGCGACGATTTAGCCTTTTTCTCAGCCTTATCCGTATTGATTTCGAAAGGACACACGTTTTTTTTAGGCCACAGCAAAAGGAACTATCGATTGGCATTTAAACATTTACAGGATTTGACAAAAAATATTGGGCTCAAAGAAAAAATGAGATTAATCAGAAAAGCCGGGCAACTTGACCATTTCTAGGACTATCCGCACAATCCCTGATTGCAGTTCGATAGAATTGGTCCTTAATAATATGCTTTAAAAGTTCTGAAATTCTAAGACTATCTGAGATTCACCATCAACTTTATTCGACGCCCTATAAGTATGCAATATTTTTTGCTGGACTCAAAGAGCATTTCTCTCGCATTTTTTGCTTCTGCCTAAAAGTATGCAATTTATTTGTCGAGTAACCATTTATTTTAATTCATCTCAAATTAACCCTAAAATTAATAATTTCAATTTATTTCTTTTGTATTTAGTACATTATTTATAATATGTTAAAGCACTACTAAATGAAAATAAACGTGCAAAATTTATTAAAAAACAGAATTCCAAACAATAAAATGCCTATTAAGTTCACGATAAGTTATATATGGCATCTGTTTACATAGTAATACCAAGAAGGCAGCATCATCTCATTTAAGGACGTATTTCCAGATTACTTTTAATATTAGACGAAAAAAATAAAAAAAAATTGTTCAAAACGCTGTTGCCATGGAAACGATTTCAAAATTTTGGTTGCACACATATTAAAATACAAAAAAAAAGGATTTTGCTCGTTTTTCGAGCACATCAATCAAAATTGACAGATAATACCAATATATATATATATATATATATATACGAAACACATGGAGCAACGTCTAAGGCTACTGAGCCAAGCCTGGCCACCAAAAGCCACAAAACCAGTAAAACTTCGACGCATTCGTCGCATTGGTTCTGTCAATGTTGAGACCAATGACAGCCAAAGATGCCATTACAAAAGACCATTAATTGCTTCCTATCCTAGTCTGTACAACGATCCAAGGATAAATGATAAATATGAACAAATGCGGCAGCAAATAAATGCGATGGATTTTGCTGCTTATGGCCTACACAATTTGGACACAATTCAAAACTGCGCTTCGAGTTGCTGCCAACCGCGGCAAATGGCTGGCTTATGCAACTGCTCGAACTACGATGCTCATCAAGAGGCCTTAGAAGAGCTGAAGTATGTAGTGCAAGCACTGGAGAGTGAGAAGCAGTTGGATAATAACCACTATGCCCAGCCAGCAGCAAGACATGCTCGCTTGGAGCCAATCCTAACCAGTTGCTCTACCGAAGGTGATGGGAAATATGTGAAAAATAGAGAAGTTTTATTCACAACATTGAATGAGAACTTATCGGAGCATGTGGATATGGATATACCAGCAGCAAGCGATAGGGATGCACAGCTAGATACGCTCACGGATCTGGTGCGTCAGACCATGCTCAAACTGGACAACTATATCGAGCAACAAGCGGAGCAGAAGCAGCAGAACATTTACACCACTTGGACTCCGTATTCAGATCAGTCTATGCTGGGCAAGCTGGAGCAGCAGTGCAAGTGCCGAAGAAAGGGATTCAAGTTGATGCCAGTTATCATCATGCCTCCACCTGCTCCACCAGCCCCGCCCGTAGTCGCCAAGCCGCAAGCAAGTAGATCTCGTTTTTCGCGAAAGAAACGCATTTCAGCAGAAGCATTTTCAAATTCTGCAGGTAAGTTGCATAACCCGGGATACAATGATTGTGTATAGTAATATACAATATATTTGTAGTCTCGCATAGGCCAAAGATGCGCGACAGTGGCACCACAATGTGGTGTCCCTGCACTTGCTGTTGCAATAGTTATGGCGGCGTCACCCAGAGCTTGACACATTTACCCAACTCAGCATACCAAACTGGGGCCTTACAGGATCAAGTGAAAGTCCAGCCAGCAACTCCAATTCCAAGGAAACTGTCTACTCAATCCAGAGGAAATAGTCGCCCGGCGAGTCAGTCGGCTGAACAGCAACAAGAAATTAACGTTTGCTACTGCTCGGATGCTCCTGGGCAGCGTCCCAGATGTGGCAAGGTCAGTTTCCCAGCTACTGAAGATGAGGAGGAGCAAGAAAATAAAACCTTCAAGCCAGAAATGAAGGCGGAGCAGGTGGCAGCGTCAGGCAGCTTGGATGACTGGTTTAAGAACGCCGAGAAAAGTCTGGCCATGTTGGAAAAGCAGGAAAAGTACTTTTCAAACAATGAGTCCGATCATCCAATGATGACCGAGGTGTACACCTCTCACAAGCTATTGCAAACGGAATCCAGGATATCCATGGGTAGGGACGTGCACTTCATGGACACCTCAGAGAAGTCTGTCAGCACCAGCGACCTGCAACAGGAGAGGGACAAGCGCCTCATGGGCAACTCAGGGAAATCTGTGTGCCAGATGAAGATCGCAGCTGCACAGAATCCTGTGAAGATTGTACAAATCTTCAAGTCACGGTGTGGCAGAGTGTTATCCAATAAAAAGGCTAAGATTCGGTTTGTTCAGCAGCCCACAGAGCAGGCCAAAGGGGAGGCCATAGTTGTGCCTAAAGTGATACCCAACCAGCCGAGGTCCAGTCCGCCGTTACCCAAATGCCGTGTGCTGAAATCAATGTGCGAAGCACTGCCCAACGATGGCAACTGCTGTCGCTACTATTGTCCACAGAAGGCAGCAAGAGCTGACCAGCTCCCCGATGAGATCTTGAACAATAGGCAAGTGGCCCAAAAAGCATATAAGATTTCCCAGTACGAGTCGGCATGTGGCAAACGTTTGCGTGCCAAAGGTGGTCAACAATTTCGGTTTACTTATCCTACGCAGTGATCCTCGCCGGAAAACTCAAAACATCCGATTAAGTTTTAGTACATTTCAAGTATTTCGAACTGAGAGGGAGATGGCTACAAAATTTCCAGAGCAATGTTGAGTAGTACTGAGCCAGGAATGGATGCGAGCAGATCGTGGGAGTCGGCAGTCAGATACGACTGCGATTCACAAGTTCAATCTAGTCGTTGGATCGGAAGTATTTCTGAGTCACAAGAGAAAGCTAATTCAGGAAACGGAAACTATTTCGAGCCTGACAGCGCTGCACAAATTCCTCATGCATGGCATACTTCCGGATGGGATGCATCACGCCAAATGAATCATTCTGCGTCAGGTGCTTGGATCGAAAATGAATCAGAACAAAAGCAACCCTCCCCAGATGATCCTCAAAACAGACCTTCAATACTTATCGTACTGATAAAGTATGTCAACATTAATTTCAATTAAAATTTGTATTTTAATTTAAATTTGCTTTAATTTAGTAAGGCGGCAAATTCGCAAGCGAGTCACAAACAAGCAGCAAGAGGCCATCAACCTGGAGTGAAATATAACTATTGTAAGGATCAGTATGCTAGGCATAAGTTGCAACCTGTCTACAACAAGGCAGGTGGCATGCAGAATGGTATAGATAGCGACGACGGCAATGTGGGATGCCTAGAGAGAACACTTCAGGGTCTCATCCCGAATGAGGAGTGCCTCAGCTATCTGAAGAGTCTTACCTGCGCAAAGAGGCCGATCAAAAAAAAGAAGAAGCGTCGGCCCAAAACAGTGTTCGATCGTTTCGCAGATCCGCCGTTTGTCATCGAACCGAAAACCTTCATTATGGATGGCTGCAATGGGAGCTGCTGCCATTCCTCTTGCCATTCCTGTGGTTGCTGCGCTTCTTGCTGGTGCTGATGAACAAAGTTGCCAAAGGACACAACCCCAAATTACTAGAAACCGATTGAAGTAGAAATTCAACCAATTTTTGATGCAGAAACTATCTGGAGTAATTAACCTCCAGCTTACTGGGAAACTGTATATTTTGGGTAAAAACGAAAACAGTTGCGAAAACTGTCAGAATGTAAGAACATTTTATAAATTTGTAGCACCACGAAGCACTGACTCAGATAGGATCTGACCTTCACCGCGTACCGACGCCAACAAAAAGCAATACATGGATGGATTTGACGAAAAGAGACGTTCCATGAAGCAGGAGCTGCTGCGACGAGCCCTCCTCCTTAAGGTGGAAAATTCCAAAGAGAGGTCTGCGCTGTATGATGTGCCCACTACTAGGTGCAGTACCCAGCCAAGGGGCATACCCCTTACCAAGGAGCCGCAACTAGTGCGCAACATGCAGCGCAACTTCTCTAACTCCAGATGGGAACCGCTCCCCGGAACGGGCTTGGCGCAGCGCGAGATAGCCGGCTGCCTGGAATGCGGGGAAGCCACTCCAAAGAAACTGTGCCTCAAATGCAGAGCTAAAGGTAAGAGCACAGAAAAAAGAGCATCCCCACTTCAGATAAGAACGAATCATATTGTTAAAACTGCCACAGAGAAAGGGTATCGAGGATCCCGAGCTAGCTCGTTAAACTATCCATCTAGTTGGAACTTGGAGATGGTTGAGGATTCACAAGTGGTTGATGGTAGATCGGCAGAGCTCTCTCCAAGTGATATAACCAATTGCGATGCACTCCATCGCACAATTTACGATCAACGCTTAGCCGATCATTCCGGAGGAGCCAACCATCAAAAGAAAATTGATAATTGCGTGCAGTGCTCGCTGCGACCAATGACAAAGAGCTCCACGATGGAGCCCACAATTGAAGACAACTCACGCATCAGACAGGTTTTGGAGAAGCCAAAGCAAAGGATGCGCCACAAGTCGGTGCAGAGTGATATGGGCTATGTGTCTAAGCAAGTCAGCAGCTCACCCGACATAGTTAGGATGGAGCATGTAATAGATGCTTCAGGTTTCGGTAAACAGCGTGTCTTCAGCGGCGAAGCAGGAGGTCAGTCGGAAAACGCGTGCAGCTGTTGTTGTGTCTGGGGCAAATACCCATCACCAGGTTCAACGCATGCCACAAATGCAGCAGGGATATCTCGGAACAATGACGGCTACACATCATCGGCCATCGACAGTCGGGCCTCCAATGACAATGAGACCATTAAAAACCAACAAAAAGTTGGGGAAATGCATTATCCAACCTCGGAGCATTTGAAAATCATTGAGCACATTAGCCGACCACCCACCATGATGGATACTACGATTCCAATCAGGAAAAGTGATTCTGTAACCCAGCAAGAGAAATATGAATCCAATCAGAATGGGGTTTCTAGGATGGACTATGTGCCAAATTCCAGGGAAAGGTCTAATGAAAAGAAGAAAATTTCTTCAAGAAATGAATCCTATGAGCAGTATTCATATAATCCCAGTAACGAAAGCCTGTCCCATAAGCAAGCAGCTGTCAACAGCTCAATTCAATGTCCATGTTGCTCAAATGCTATGACACAAACCGAAGAAATTCGTCAGAAATTAGATGAAACTGCAGGCTCAAAAAGACGTCAGTCTGTAAATTTAGTTAAAACTGGTCACAAGGGCTCGAAAAGACGACAGTTTAAGAAGGGTGCGCCTCCACATCCCTTGAATGGCGTACAGCCGAGTCCTAGAGGCAACGAGCTTCTACCGATCTCACGAACAGCCCCCACTATCAAGCAGACAGGCAAGCAAATTCCAAATTACTCAACTATCAAAACACAACAGTTTCAATCCAGTTCTTTACCCGAATGCATTGTGGTCCGCGGTAATCATTTGGCCGAGAATTGCTGCCAATTCCAAATTCGAAACTGCTGTAAACCAATCACCAAACAGCCGGCAAGCTCGAATCCTTTTATACAACTTCATAAGTCATGCCAATGTCCAGCCTGCATCAAATGCAGGACTAAGGCCACAATGCCAACGATAAATCCTTCAAGAAAACCGAATGATGATCAAATGGCCAAAGAAAAATTGGAGAAGGTCAAGACAACAGAGCCTGAAAGTAGCATGCCAAAGTATGATGTCAAGGTTACATCAGCTAAAGCTAAAATTCAGCCGAATAAGGCTCCTGAAAATAGCTACCCAGATGCAAAATCTCCAGTTACATCCAGAAGCAAAGCCAATAGCAACCCGTCATCAACATATAGTGATGCCAGCATTAAGAGTAAGAGCGATTGTATTTGCCACAAATGTGGTGCACCCATCGATCAATTCACCAAAAAGGCAAAAACCGCAAGAGATTCATCTAATGAGAGCCATCGATATCAACTTAATCAAAGGAGTGCAAAACAATTGCAAGACGAAATTAAAAAAGAGAAGAACAAGTGTCAATCCACAGCCACAATGAATATGAACTGGAATACTTTAAGGGAGCAAATCCCATCTAAGGATTATCAAAAAAATTGTTGTACAACTGCGACGTGCTTGAATCAATGTGGCAAGTGTCGAATAACACCAGCGAAAATGAAAAAGGGCGACGTAATGGCAAATCTGGTTGTGGATGATAAATGTGATGTTAATCAAATAATTGAAATCCTTCGGGAGACAGTCGTCGGTTTAGAGAAGCAAGAGCAATTGTTACGACAAAAGATTTCAATTGTAGACCAAAATAGTTTTATTGAGAGTTCTGCAAGCGATTTCTTGCCTCACACGAATTCAAACTACAGATACAACCTGACGCTCGAGAACTATTATAATAAGATTCCCAACTATACAACTTCCCAGGCTAGTAATCAATTTAATTCGGACTTCCATAATCAAGGCTATCAGGGAAAAGGTCCTAATGACGTGTCGTACAATTCATTTCCCCAACAATATAATTATTACCAACAACCCTATGCCCAAACGGTAAAGGTTGCCCGGAAAAGCCAGGTTCAAGCAGAAATACCTACACAGATGGATTATGATTATCTACTGAATGAATCGGAGCAACAAATCAGCCGTCAAAATGAAAATTCTCTGGTTCAATGCAACTGTGAGAATCAGGCTGAAATTGATAATCGTGGCTATTCAAATGAAAACATTAATCATTTAAGGATTACAGATTCGAATGCGTCAGTTAAGGCCAGATCTCGTACGCGTAGTGGTGGTAATCCGGATACCATTGAGAAGGACTTGAAAGCATGCACAATCCTTTCATGTGACAATAAGAAGTGTAAAACCCCTCAGAGCTTGAAGCCAACTCAATCATTTATACAAATTTTTCACATGGCCATGGCCTTAAGGAAAAATGGAACCAGCTTTCAGAAAGATCCTATTAAAAATAGTTATTTCAAGACTAAACTTCAAAGGAGAAGACCTGAAGACCAAAAAGCTCAAGTCTCGCTTAAGACCAAAATGTTTTTAGACATTCCAGATTATGGCAGCTACGAAAGTCACACCTTAAATGGAATATCAGCAAAGAAAGATTCCCGCAAACAGCCCAAAAGAGAAACTACACAAGAAGTAGAATCAATGGTTAACATTCAGAAAAACAAACTTGGAGAACCAACGAAGTACGAAGCTTTAATTAAAACAGACCCTAAGCGAAAAGCTTGTGAATACTTCAGAATGGATAACAATAGTAAAAATCTCCGTAGTCAGCAAGAACAATCAGAAGAAGATCGATTCCGAATACATGAGAAAACACAGGAAAATTGTGATTTCGAAAAAGAGGAATACCAAAAACATTCAAGTGAATGCAGGAGACGAGACAAAAGCCAAGCCAAAGATCAAATGCGAACGCAAGAAAAAATAGTGGAAAAAGATCTGACCCAAAAGCATTTTAACCAAGGTCAAAAATGTGCCTCTTTTGCAAGATTTGACCATACAGATAATGTTCCACGACAAATTCGGCAAAATTCATTCCATTCCCAGAAGTACTCAAATAATAAGAGTTGCGACTTGGATTCCTGTAGGAATCGTAATGACTATTCAAAGGAAAGTGATGAGGAATGGGATCATTCGGAAGCAAAGAATTCAGCATCGATAAACAGTCTAGCTATGTGCAAATGGAGAAAACAAGAAAAGAAAGAGGAAATTAGATCAGAACTGTTGGAACCAACGAAACCACGGAAAGACGCACCGGATAATTTGGAAGAGAACACAACTAAATCAGGCAGAAGTCTTTATATTTGCAAGAGAACAGAGCGAGAAAAGAAGGAAACAGAGAACGATGATTCTTTGAAGTCTAAGCCGTCCCCATCAAGAAGCAAATTATTGTTTCGATGGAAAGAGGAGTCTTCCCAATCAGAACAAACCAAACGTTCGAAATCAAAATCACTAAACATTTATTCATTTGGGGATCGAATAAAGCGTGAAAGAAAGGAGTCTGTGGATTGCCTAGAAGCAAAATCATCACTGGTCTGTCTGTACCAGCTCAAACAGAAGCCAAAGTTAGCGGATCTGTTTGGCAGTTCGAACAGAAGCAACAAGGATAAAAATCAACACAATGCTCCCAAGCCACGAAGCAATTGCGATGATGTTAAAGTGCTCTGCGATTTAAGTTACAGATTTTCCCATCACAGTTACGGCGACGAAGATGGAAACATTGAGGACGATTGCGTCTGCGATATAGACAAAGAAAATCATGAGATATTGAAATGGCAGCCAAGTGGAAGTGTAAATAATTTTTATTGCATGCTACAACACAAAGGGACACATTAATTCGCTTTATCAAAATTGTAAATGTACCTTATTTAAATAAAAAAAAAAAACAGGGTGATTCAAACTGTTTGATTATATACTAGCACTGTAGCGATAAAATGTGGCGGCAGCTCGATCACAAATCTATCGATAAGTCGACACAATATCAACAATTGGTGTTCATTGGAAGCACATTTAACAAAATGTTGAGTTTTTTAAATAAAACACGACAATTTCTACTTCCAATTGCTCGCAATATATCGAATACACACGCAGCCTGCCAGAGCGATGCAAGCGTCAAGGCGACAAGCAGTGAAGCCGGCGTAACAAAGCCGGATTTGATATTGCCACAGAACTATGCACAATTTTCGCCCGTAAACCGTAACAGTGCCAGGCAGGTGTGGATTGAGAATGTTGATGCAGTGAAGGAGCGTAAAGTGGGCATGATGGAACTGCATCCGGATGTGTTCGCCGCACAGCCGCGGGTCGACATCATACAAGAGAACATCGAATGGCAGCGCAAGTATCGTTATGTAAGCATGGCGCATACCAAAACACGCGCCGAGGTCCGCGGCGGCGGACGCAAGCCCTGGCCACAAAAGGGAATGGGACGTGCTCGTCATGGCTCAATACGATCACCGTTGTTCAAGGGCGGCGGCATCGTACACGGTCCCCGTTCCCCCACATCCCATTTCTATATGCTGCCCTTTTACACACGCGTCTTGGGCCTGACATCGACGCTTAGCGTTAAGCTCGCCCAGGATGATCTGCACATTATTGAGAACGTGGAGTTACCCACACGGGATGCACAATTCATCAGGGATCTGATAGCGGAACGCAACTGGGGACCATCTGTGCTGATTATTGACAAGTGGGTGGCCAATATACATAATTAATATATATATCTTATCTTAGCACATTTCCTTTTCAGGCAAGAGATGTTTCCGGAGAACATTTGCTATGCCACCGACTCCATTGGGTATGTGAATCTGATGCCCTCATTTGGACTAAATGTCTACTCGATGCTGAAGCACGACACCTTGGTCCTCACTGTGGAGGCCGTAAAGCATTTGGAACAGCGTTTACTGTATCAGCTGCATCGCAACGATGCAGCTAGCAAGAGCCTTAAATTCAAGCTGGATCAAGTTTAGATATAAGTTTTCAATTAATTGTATTTCCTTGTATACAAATGCAAATGTTAACCACTTCGATTGTGGTGAGTTGTTTCGATTCTTAATTGGCCCTTTGCTTGGTAGTTAATGGATCCGTATCCATTTCGGATATCATCACTGAACAGGCGCCCTTCAAGCGATCGACGAATTGTCCCTGAAATTGACGAAGGAATCCACGCTCCGAGTTGCTGTGATTACAGAGCAGGACCGTGGTGCCGTTGTGATTAAAGTCCAGCACTTCGTGATGCGACATCTCGCCGGTGATGACCAGATCCGCCGGCACACCCTGCAGCACCGAGCCACCCGAGCCGGCACAGATGCCAACCGTTTTCACATTGAAATTTGAATTATGGCCATTGGCACAGGCCATGTGCACATCATTCTCAATATGCTCCTGCAATGCACTCACAATTTTGGCTAGGGGCATGTTGGTCTTCACTAGACGGCCGGAACCAGTATCTGGCTCAGCGCCCGGTTCTGGGATCAGCGGTTTAATGTCCTCTATATCAACAGCCTGGGCTAGCCAATCATTCACGCCACCTGGTATTTTGTCCCATGCCGTGTGGGGTGAGTAGAGTGCTATGTTGTTAACCAGACAAGAGGCCACCACTCGCTCCTTCCAATGGCCCATTGTGATGCGTGTCAGCGGCTTAAAGATGGGCGGATGATAACTAATAATCAGATCCACTTTCTTATCAACAGCTTCGCTCATCACCGGCTCCGTCAGATCATTGGTCAGCAGAATTTTCTGTACTACTTTCTGTAAATTACAGTTTGCTCATTAGAAAAATTTTTGCAAACTGAGATGAAATGTTGAATTACATCTTTTGCTGGTTCGATCAGAAGACCCACGTTGTCCCATTTCTCTGCTAGGGTTGTGGGGGCAAATCTCTCCAACTGCTTGACCACCTGCATTAAATCCATGCCACATCCTTGCTTGGTCATGCTTCTCACAACGGCCACGCAACTTAGCATATATAAACTCAATCTCTAACAGATCTTATTTTATGAATAAATGTTTCGGACTCTTATTTCTTCTTCATTTTGCATTAAGTGCTGCACAACGCTAGTAAAAGTGCCGACTTCTTTTTCCAGCACAGACTGTTTACGCGGTTGTTTGAATGCAGGTCATTTTTCTAATAGAACACGAAATATATTAAGTGAATATAATACATAAAATATTATTCTTCTTTTATTAAGTTAATTATGTAGTTTCATATTGAAATGTGCAAATCGTATTCTTCATTTTTAAAACAACATTTTAATTAAGTTTTAAGTAAATAAAATAATAAAATATTAATTAAAATAATCTACAATAATTTATAGCTCAAAGCGGACTTCATTTGCAAAAAAAAAAAAATAGAAAACACAAATGCGCATAAATGTACATAAATACGTACATAGATGTGTCAAAAATATTTAAGTTTCCAGGGATTAATCTTCCGATCCCGCATTCAAAAATTCCGTATGGTTGACCGACCTTGATTCTCTGAACTAGCAATATATTCGTGAAAATCCCAAGTGACGAATAACAGACAGATAAGAAAGCCGCAAGCAAAAAAAAATAAAAAAAACCATCAAATTGAGTCACACTCTGGCTTTGGTTGGGATCGATGTCCTTTACATTCGAGCTAATTATTTAAATTTTAATTATAGACTATTTTCTGTTCAATTTTAGAGTTGAGTTTGCTTTGCCATTCTCAAGGATCAGAACGCTGGGGTTGTTCCTTTTTCTACTGCAACAGCTGCAGCCATTTTTAGCAAATCTTTACATTTTCGTCCAGGCTTCGACTTCGCGTCACGCACTTCATTCAGGTTTTAGACGCTGAGCGTTGCGCACGTTGTACCTCCCATAAGAACAAGATAATTACATATGGTACTTAATTGTAGTTTTAAGAATTACTGTTCTTTTTGTTGTTGTCGCTATTGTTGTTGGTGGTGTTTATGATGTTGTTGTTGCTGCTGCTGCTGCTGTAAAGTGCTCACACATTCAAACCGCAGATAAAGTTTATGGCGCTACGCGCCCTATATCAAAAGCTTTTAACACAACGCACAACAGTCTGGCAACGCCATTTGGATTCCCCCACCCATCAGAGCTTTGCAGTGAATATAGCCAGAGCACAGCTAAATTTAACCAGCTTCGGCACAGCGTTCAGTGATATTTTCAACGCAAAGGAATTGAGACATATGACCGCAGTTCAGTCAATTAAAAGTTTAAGCGAAACGCGTACATTTCATATGGAAGAGCAAAACAAGTTACAATAACAGACAAGTCTGAAAGGTGTGTGCGCGAATAATAAAATATAATAATAATACATAATATCAATCAAACAACAGCAGACACATAGAGGAAAACTTATAATTTGTGTGCATTGAGAAAAAAAGAAACAGCCTCGGCTGCTTGCTAGAATGTATGTGTGGGGTGTGATTGTGTGTGTGTGTTTCTGTGCGTGTTGAGTGACTGTAAGTGTGTGCGAAACGAAGACAGGTGCGCAAGCTGAAAATAAAGCAGACAACTGAAAAATATAAGAATTTCCACTGCATGCGTCGTATTACCAGTAAATGAGAAAATAAAACAAGTATTTTTGTTGTTGCCAATCATAACTTCGACATGCGCTAATCTAGTCTGTCGTTTGCTGTTATTGCGTTTTCACTTGTATGCCCCACACTACATTCGTTTCACTCACACTTATGGTAGGCAGCGAATGCGCGACTGCCAGAGGAACGCTTAAAGCGCAGTTACGCGAGCGTCCAACTTATGTGTGTGTTTGTGCTTGTTTTGTTTGTGTGTGTGAGAAGCTAGTGAGTTAAGCAAAGCTTAAAAGCTAACTTCAACGTGTGAATTTCCATTTATTTATAAAAGAAATTTTTGCAGAATCTACGAGAAGCAACAGTTGAGCGCATACATATATTTTTACATATGTGAAAAGACTTAAGTAAAAAAAGAAAATTGTGTGCGGCATTAAAAAGCAGCGAAGCAAGACGCAACATAGGAAGAATATTAACTTTAACGCAAAACCGCAAAAAAGAGCCAGCAACAGGCAAAAAGTTCAAAATGTGGAACCAAACGGCAACAGCAGCAACAAGTGATAATAACAAGGAAAAGGAAACGGTAGAGGATTGTAGCTGTGCTGGTGCTGGTGGTGGTAGCGTTGGCAGCACTCTTCCAGCTCTCAGTGTTGAGCAGCAGCAAAAAGCAACAGCAGCAGCAATTGAAACTAACAGTAAACAATCGAAATCATCAGCAACAACATTTGGCGGCAAAAGCAGCGAGCAACAACAACATCAAGAAAGCCGAGCCGCCATTAACCAGCAAAAAGAATTTGCAGCACAAAGCGAAACAAGTGATTCTGGTTTCATATCCGGCCCGCAATCAGGTCAAATCTTTAGCGGCGAACTAAGCGACGACGAGCCCGAACAGGAGCAACAGAAAAAACATTCAGGACATTTGGACAAGGGCGAGGAGCAGGACCAACCCCGGGCCAAGGATAAACAGCAAGTGGTGCTCGATTCGGGTATCATTGACGAGGAACCAACGGAGGACGTATCCGACGAGGAGGTCGAGGAACAGGAGCAGCAGACAAGTCAAAAAGGGGCTGAATCTGGCGCCGAACAGCCGGCCGTTGAGCAGATGCGCTTCAAACACAATGTCGATACGGGCATACCGCAATGGACCGTACAATCGAGCCTCGCCAGCGGCGGCACAGCTTTGAACAATCTCAATACAACAACAACAGCAATAACAAATGCCAACGCCTCCGCTGGACGAAGAAGCGCCCCACAGAACAGCAGTGCAACAACAACATCTGCAACAACAGCAACAAATGCAGCTGGAAATACTGCAAATGCAACTGCCCCATTGAGCGGAAGCAACAACATCAACATCATCAATGCCTGGGAGCAATTCTATCAACAGAACGACGATGGCGACACGTAAGTAAAAAAAACATCAAAATCGCATTTTCGTAATTTACTCAAAGCAAAGGAGCAGGGACGTTATTCCATATTAATTGGAATCTTTAATTAAAATTGCAATCAACATTTGAATCCAAGATTCTCTTCAATAATATGTAAGAAATATGTGACTAAGAATCATCTCGGTTTTACCATAGTAAAATATTTTAATAAGCCACAATGCAATGACTATTTATATGAGAGTTAATTGTGGATAGCACAGTCATAATTCATTGATTGGCTATGTTACAACTGAATGCATAAGGAAGTGTAAGCTATACGTATCATTAGAGATTGTTAAATATATTTGAAATGCATAATATAAGAAAAAAGGCAGAGATTTATTGGAATATACCAGTTTTAATTGCTGGGCTTTTCTAAGATCTTTTCCCATGCTTGGCCGAATAAATGCAAATATATAGTTAGTGTGTAGAGAAATCTTTTAGTCATCTTAGTGTAGATCGCTATAAATTAGACTTGGCCACCAACTGGGGGAGACTTTCATGAATCACAAAACAATGAAGCGACTTTAGACTTTCAGACGACGACGACGATGACACGTGTTAGTCAGGCAATCAGGGGTTTTCCTGGTATGTGTCTGGTTGTGTATGTACTACCTGTACAGGTACACTCACGCACAGTAAACAGGTTTTTGGACATCCCAAATTTGTGGGTTTTTACCGCGAAACGATCAAACAACAAGTGGGAAATGTTCAGGTAAAAATGTTTCATTTACCTCATTTCTCAACATATTTACTGCTTTCTCTCTTTCTTTCTTTCTTTCACTCACTCACTTTCTTTCTCTCTTTATCTCTGTAGTCCACTGCATTTGGCCTGCATATCGGGCTATGTGGATGTTGTAGCCGCACTGATACGCATGGCACCACATCCATGCCTCCTGAACATCCAGAACGATGTGGCCCAGACGCCCCTCCATCTGGCCGCACTAACAGCGCAGCCAACGATCCTGCGTATGCTTCTATTAGCCGGTGCCGAGGTGAGTAAACCTAATACATAATTGTTGCAGCCGCACCTTTTAAAGAGTAACACCCATCAATCGATACATCAATCTAACTGTCTATCTATCTATCTATCTATCTATCTATCTGTGTGCAATATAATAGCCAACTGTACGTGATCGTCATGGCAATACGGCGTTGCATTTGTCCTGCATTGCCGGCGAGAAGCAGTGTGTGCGCGCCTTGACGGAGAAGTTTGGCGCCTCGGAGATTCATGAGGCACATCGCCAATATGGACATCGTTCCAATGACAAGGCAGTCAGTTCGCTGAGCTATGCTCATCTGCCTGCCGATCTGGAGATTCGCAACTATGATGGTGAGTACGCTTCATTAACTATTTAAAAAATATGTTTTTAAGTTCATATGTCAATTCATAATTATATATTCTGAAATTGTTTGAATAGATTGATTATCCTACCAGATCTTTTCCTACATCAAATACTTTGCTCCATTATTATAACTCGTAAAAATTTATGTAGAATTTAAGAAAATTCATTTTTGGAATCTATATCTCTGTATATACTATAATAATATGGTTTTGGCAAAAGTACCCAACAAAAATTGTTGGCACTTCTGAGACATTTGATTTGTTGCCAAAAGAAAATAAAAGATATAGTATAGTTCTATATTTTAGCTGTCCCGCCATCGGCTAGCCACAGTGCGAGACATTGTCTGCCAGCAGAAATATATATATTTGATATTTATATAATCCAACATATTCCGATGGCCTGTGCTGAACAGTAGCCAAAAATATATTTGGCCTCCCCACATTTTTCGCCTGAAAATATGTTTCTCATTGGCTTTTTTGCTTTGTTATTAATTTAGCCAAGAGAGATATATATATAAGCAAATGCCGTTTTCTGTTTGACGTCAGCAATGAATGGCATTGTTTATAAATTGTACGTTGAATTTTTCAAAAAAAAAAGTTTTAAATTGCGCAAATCTTGAGCGTCAAGGAAATAAAAACAAAAACAACAACAGCAAAATCGGTAATTCCATTTAATTTCCAGCTCATTTCATTTGCTTCTCACACACGAATCCGTAGCTTCAGATACTTTTACGATTATGTATCTGAGAGACGGCAGGCGCGGCCTTATTTCCTTGATTGTTATTATTGATTTATTTGTATACAAATGAGTTAAATGCGCCAACAACAACAGGTGCCTTTGGTTGGTGTGTGTGCCGGGTGAAAGTAGCGGGGTGTGTGCGTGTGTGGTTTGTTGTGCGGTGGTTGACTTGAAAATCATGTACTCTTCAAATTAGAATTTTTATAGAAATTAAAATAATATAATTTCCTTGCTTTATCCAGCAAACCTATAACAAAAATCCGTTGTTGCTTCCATGCACACAAATATCGCATTTCGAAAATCACTTGAAAATGGCAACTCGAATAGAAAACGAAACTAAACCGGAAGAAAGTAAAAGTCGTCATAAGAGCATACACACACACACACATAAAAGTATTTTTATATTGTTCAAACACAAAAGTGTTGAAGCTTGTGCAACCGTCGACACAAAAAGGTTAATAAACTTGACAGTTTGGCGAAGCTGAGCTGAGCTCTGCTGAAGGGGGTTTAGCTTCAATTTTATAGCCATGCATACTCACACACACACACATAAACTCTTATAAATGCGTGTTTACTTTAACCTTTCGTTTGTTTAATCGATTATTGTCGCTTTTGGGCTATGTATAACCTTGCTAAGAATATAAAAACCAGAACAACAACAACAAAGAGTTCGCCATTGATTTTTTCTTAGTGCTTTGCTCTTTTCTCAAACATGTGGTGAACAAACATTTGACAGCTTCTCTACTACTTATAAACCAGACCAAACCGGTCTCTGGTCCACATGCCTCTCACATTCAAGATAAAACAGCTGCTACTCGCCGAGCAACCACACACACACACATCTACATTTATATATGCTTGTAATCTATATATAGAAGAGTAGACATTGCACATAACATATGCGGAATGGACTTATGCTTATATATATATCTATATATCTCTTGGCTGGCTCAATGCAGACATAGCCCCCTCCCCCTAAAAAAAAAGAAACTAAATATAAAAGAAGCACAAGGAAAAACACAAACTTATACAAGCTGACAGTTTTATGCTCTGTTTTAATCATTTGTGGAAATATTCAACTAATAAATAAATCTATTTTTTTTTCATTCATTATCGGTATCTTTATGACACAAAAATCAAAGTTCCATAGGCAATTCTTCAATCAAACATAAATTTTCAACCCATCAGACAATTTGACGTCTGACAGACAGACAGGCAGACAGCCTGTTGCATGCCAAAGTCTAAATATCCGCCTCCATTTGAAGAGTATCAAAAGGCAAGCGAAACGATGACACGAAGACAACGACAGCTTTTTCTTTCAAATTTTTGGGTTTTCCCATGCAAAGGCAGACACATTAAGTTATATATTTATTTGTGTGTTTGTATTATTATTATTATTTTTTTTTTTGAGGCAATTTTAAATGTGCGCGATTCGAGTGTCTAAAATGCCAGATGTTATAAAATCATATTCAATTGGGTTTCTACACAAGAGTCACAAGACTTTCTTGTTTGATTGACGTCATTGTTGCACTAAATATATGTTGATTGATCCCTAAAAATAGGTAAACCAAACAAAAAAGAAAAGAACAGTTATAATAACAGGGGGGAAATGAAATTTCAGCGAATTGCACAAAGAAATGAGAATTCGTCATAGGGTTTTGTTAAGGAAAAACTCGAGTGTGAATAACACAAATAAATCCGTTTTTTATAAGAAACGGGAAATATCAATACTGATGTATTTATATATATAAATATATATGTGTGTGTTTGTTAAGTAGTCTACTATAAAAATATCTATTCCTACATCAGAAATGTTGTCTAAATTTAACGAGCTATTTTCTTATTCGTATTGTTTAATTTTTTTATGCTTGCTTTTTGCATTCTTTGGCTTAAATTTAATGCAATTCTTGCTTGTGGAAAATGTTACGAAAATAGTCGCTGGTTTTTCTTCTTCTTTGTCGTGCCTGGCTATTAGCCAAGTTATTTCAAATTTAAAGTAAATATGTCGGAAACAAATGCACATATGTAGACAGAAACTATGTGCCAGTTATTTCTGGCCACATTGTACGTGCAGTGCATAATTGTGAAGAGCAATGGCAAAGTGAGTTCAAGGGTTATCAAAAAAGACAACTTATCAGCAAAGTGTGTAGTGTTCACACACTAGAAATATATATAATATATAGTCGTGTGTATGTATATTTCTTGATGTCAACCACGCGCTTTTCTTTAGCCTTTGGAATTTCCCAGCTATTTCTGTAATATGGTCCTAATTACAACTAGTTTACCAGCGGTAATCGCTTTGGCCCTGACGTGGTCATTATAATAGAGGTGTATATATTTATACAAACAAATATATATGAACTTTATGCACGATTTGGGCACGCAATTGGACTGCCTGCGGTTTAAGGCATATAAATAAATGCACGCGACGACCTATTAAAAATAGAATTTCCGAATTTCCTTCTTGGACAGTTTTATGGGAACTTCATATGCCCCATTTTTTGGGTAATAAACCAAACAAATTATTTGCTTATATTGTGGTGATTAAAAATCGGACCTATCAGCAGACTTGTGTACAAATTTACTATAAGATGATGTTGCTCAAGTATATAGACAAGCTAACAATTATGTGAGCTTCCAACCATGTCCGGTTTAAACATAACTTAGTCATTAATAATTAATAATTGCTCCAATGATTTTCCCAACATATTTTTTCTATGAAGCATTGTTAAAGTTTCTAACGATTTCATTCATTTGTTTCTTCAAACGTATTCGTATTTGCGAATAACAACAATTTTATCGTTGTTTTCAAAAATGTGCAATGGAATTTCCCAACTAGAAGCAAGAAATGTGAACAGACAAACAAGCATATATGTTTGTAGCACATATGGCAAATCTCTGTGAATCTGTTGCAAGAACTAAATAACTTTCCAATAACGATATTTACTTCACTTCACTTATGATAATAGAACACAACACAACACAGCAGGGCTGGGCTCTGTGCCCAGTTGGTAACTGGTGATAAGCCAAATCCAATAGTCCCACAGGCAATTGCAGCGATTGTCGCGACGCGTCGTCGTCAAGCTAAGGCCAAAATCCTTATCTTTTTGAGAAAAACCCCAATGGTGGTCGTTTATTATTGCTCTGACGGCACTTATTGACTACATATGGCCCAAGTACACCACATTTACACACACACACACACACACGCACATTGCTTGTCGTCCAGCCCATCATTATCAAAAGATAAGTGCTATCAAAGGTTTTCCCATCAACCATTTTGAATACCCTTTGCCAAGGGTATTTCAGAATTATTTACTTCATTAAATGTAAAATGCATTTCTTAGACTATGAAGATACCAGATATATAATTTTCAGCATCTTGAATATTATATTAAGAAATTCAGAATTAAGAAATCATAGATAGTCATGGTAAAGGTGAGGGGAGAGTATTCAGACTTCTACATACCCATTTTATATGATTGAACTATTATCGATAGTAATAGCACACACACATTCCAGTACATTTGCCGTATCCAAATAAATTTGAATGCGGACAACACGTGCAGCAGTTTTTTAATACTAAGCCAATCAGAATGACTTGTCGTATTTTGCTGTAACCTTCTGCAAGTCAAGTAATGGGGCTTCGCACATCTATCTGCCTATATACAGATTTCTCGTAATTGAGTGGGGAATGCCGTGGAACGGTAGATGGATAATTTGATCATTTTGGAACGTAAGAAAACTTATGAAAACAAGATGACGCGTTTAAGAAACTAGTAGTGATTGTTGTAGTTGCTGAGCGGAATTTGCATAATATGTGTACTAAAATCTTGAGCGTACTTTGGAACCGTATTGAGCTACAGTGCCATTAAATAAACAGGTTTTTATTTTTGACGTACATATGTGTGTATACTTAGATATGGAGTAACGACTGCGGTGTTATGTGATCACAATTGGTAATTGATCATTAAGTGTGCTGTGTTTTTATAGCTGTGATGTGAAACAAGAGCTTAATGGTAATTAATCGATAAAAAGCCACTTAGGGAAATATTATATCTATACAATAGCTGAGCAGAGAGGTAGACAAATATTATACTGTTTTATGGCAAATAATTTCGATAATTATCGAATTGGGTATCATTTTGATTATTCAAAATTTTCCATAGCAATTACGAAACGATATCGATCATTAATGATTGTGTAATTTTTAAATGTTTAAGAAAGCTTTCCTCAATGTCGTTTGACAACAGAGCATGGTGTCAATATTATTAACCGAGTTTGGTGTTCTATTGTTTAAAAGTGACAGCTGTTCGTATAGGAAGTGATCCCCTCTCGAACACATTTCTTTCGTTTTTTACTCGAACATTATCGCCATTGAACAGCATTTGTTCTGCTACCCACCTGGGGTCTGGACTGGTGCTACGTTGCGTACGTAAACAAACAGGTTTAACCCACAATTGTTAATGCTAATAAATAAAATGATTATTTTACTAATATACTGGAAATGTTTTATTGACTGCCAGTGACATTTTCCATCACAACAATAACAACATGTTAGTCATAGCGAGTCAGCAAGCTTCTCTCGATGGGGTCAGGCCTCTCCCAGCGACCGATTGAAAAATAATAAAAATAAATAAATAACAATAACAAAACAACAACAACAAAATATGGTATTAAACGAGTATTGAGTATAATGAGCTCATGAAGTTAACTGGTTAAGCCCCAATGCAATATCGCCACTCATAACGGAAGTTGAAGATCATTATAATAATGCGACTCTACATATACATATACATATATATATATACATATATATATGTATATATATATATATATATATGGCTGAGACAATTTTCACCTCAATGTTGACACACTTTATTGTACTCGCCTACAATGGATGGATGGGTTAAACCCTAACAACAACAACAATAACGTATAAATGCAACTAGTCTCACACATAAATGGTCAACAGCAACTTTTACCGGTATTTATTTATCAAGCACTTGACAGTGCTTTTGGGCCAGCATTTCATTTACAACAGCGCCTGACCTCTTCTTGGCGCTGTGCTGCGGGTTTTGCCCATATGCCCGCAAGTATTATCCATATATGTATGTAAGTACCATACAGTGTGGTACGGGGTATGATTTGGAGTGGAGTGGTCACAGCAAACACGTGGCACGATCATTCACACCTCCAACTGTTCGCAAATACACACACACACACACACACTATCCCATCCATAAATATCGCATAGTTTTGCATTTCGTTTAAAAGAAAGTCAACAAATGGTCTCATGACATAACTTGACCAAAATTAACTTTTTAGGCTTGCAAAAAAAAAAATATCACAGAAAGACAGAGCCAGCGAGAGAGTAGAGAGTGTGTGAGTAATAGAAAAACCAAATTGATTACTTTGGACTTGGAAAATCCAGCAACATATATTTGTGCGACATGATCGCTTACTGTTGTTGGGGACTTAACGCTTCATTTGGCAACTGGCTGCTGTTTATTGTTTTTTTTTTTTCACATTGGGGTTTTCACTTAATTTCCACTTAAAACTTTCCAACAACAAATTGGCAAATGTGGCGCCAGAAGGCTTTAGCCAAAACAGCTATTAACTGTATATTGTTCTTGTATTTAAACAGTTGTCTTTGTGTGTATTTATTTTGTTTTTTGTTTTTTTGTTGGTTCAGGTAATTCCCCAATTCCCCAATGGCCTGGTTTTTTTGTAATACCAAATCCTAAATTCAATATGGCAAAAAAAAAAAACTTTTCAATGTCACAGCTTCAAAAAAATGTTTAAATATTTAAATTGTCTTTTCCAATTGTTATTTTACATCTTTTATAAATGATTTGCAGCGATAACACATCAATAAAATATCGATATGCAAAGCAGATTGATAATCGAGATAGTTTCACAAAAAAGAAACGTTACTAGTTTAACTTTAAAAAAGATTATGACGTTGTTTGAGTTGCCCCATCGCTAAATATAAACAAATTCTGATAGATATTACATTTCATGAGCAAAAAAGCAAATTTATGATTTAATTATGAATCAATGAACTTTTCAATTTATCCACTTGACTGAAGGACAAACAACCAACGAACTGCGCTTAACACGAGTGGGCAACAGATGGGCGGGCGGGCAGCAGAACAGATAAAAAACAAAAAACACGAAAACACGTTGTCAAAATACCAACAGCAAAAACAGAAACAAAAAAAAAACAAAATTATTAAATAAAACTCTTCAAAGTTCGTTGCTAACAATAAGCACAATTAATTAAAATTAAGCAAAGACAATAACAAAAACCTTCTCTTAATATTTGTGCTGTCAATAAATTTATGAACTTTGCGACTCTGGGTTTTTTTTGCTTAAGGTCACATTTTGCCTTGCCGCCTGTGCTAACAAAATGGAGCAAGGGCAAAGCGTGGTGGTGGAGCATGGGGTAGAGGGGGGTGGAGTGGGAGCCGACGATGATAACAAAAGACCAGAACAGTTGAATAATTGCGGAAAGTACCAAGTACATTTCATACACGATATATGCACACATGTATTGTGTGCTATGAACAAATAATATTCTAAATTGGCCTGGTGGAGAAAGGTTTGCTGCTCGAGGAGGATTCAGTCTCAATGCGCAATAGCATTTCATTTTGATAGCGTTTCGTAAAGCGATCGCTTATTAATTGCTCAAACTCACATTCGATTAGCGAGATTATTATACTGTTTTTGATATTATTTTCTGGAAAGCAGGCCGCTCGAGCAAAATAGCGATTTCAAGTTTAACTACTTCGCTTCTTCTTTTCTTTTTTGTCGTTTCTTTTCTTGTGCTGTTCATTCGCTTTTTTATTGGTATGGGGTGAGGGGGGGGGGGGGAGTGTCTTTGCTCAGACTTGTTGGCAGCCCAGCCCAGCCCCAGATGAAACTTTGGTTTTGATAATGATAAACTGAACTCTGGTTAGTCGCTGGAACCAATTTGTATCAATTTGAAATCTAAGACGCGTGACGCAGCTTGGGAATTCCCCAAGTTTGGAGCAAACTTTTTTGTCTTTAATATTTCATATTTAACTCTAAACGCGCTTTATAAATATACCTATATATATATATACCTGTACATATATATAAGAGTGTATTTATGTAAGTAGATATTTGTATAGGTCTTTGTATAGCTGTATATTCATGTACAAGCCAGCTATTTAAGACTTTAATCGTATGCGAACGATCGGGCCGAGGCGAGGCAATATAGCAACAATGGAACTGTGCTTGACTTGGCTTTTACTATCTCCTCCTTTATGCGCTCGTATTATTAAAATCTCGAGTTCTCTCGCCGTTTGCCAGCCATGCCCATGGTGACCACAGACAGAGATGCTGATGCTTGGCTGCTGATCGCTCGGACTCGCTCCGTTTGGCTCATTGGGCGAACGAACACATACAAAAAAAAAAAACAAAAAACAAACCTCAGAAAAAAAAAATGTTGTCATCGTTTATATTTAAAACTTGTGACACAATTGTTGTTATTGTTTGTTAGCCTTTTGGCAACCGAAATGAACTGAAGCCAATAATCCAATCAAAGCACCAACACAAACCCGCCTTTAACTTTCTTGCTAGATAGCTGCTTTCTTTCCCATCCAAATACCGATCATTTTAAGATGTCGAATTTAGTTTATATGTTAATAGTTGTCTTATATAAAGTCTCTACTTTTAGAATCGATTGTTTTGTCATTGTCAAATTGTTTAATCATGCCTGGGAATTCCCTTGAGTCAGATTTTTTAATCATCATAATGATTAACTTCGCAGCCTTCTTAATGATTAATTGCAATGCGAATTTGTCGCTGTCAAATTCAATTTAAATTTATCAGTGTCAACTTACAAAAAAAACCAATCTTCAATCAAATTGCTCCAGTTGCTGCATTCCAAGCTTAATATTAATCGATCTCAGCTGTCAAATCGATATATCTAGTTCACACACACATACACGCACACATGCAAATGCTAGAACGATAAGCGATCGGTAAATTTCCCAGCAGTTGGCAACGCATGCGCAACTTTTATGCATTTCATTGAAAGTTCTTACGGAAATTGAATTTCAATGAGCATGCTCAAAAAACAACTGAGCAGCTGAGTTGAGCTTTGCGTGTGTGTGTGAAAGTCAATCAACAGCACGTGTAACAGCAAACTTAAATTAACAGCAGCAACAACAACAACAACTGGTAACCACAAAGCCAAGAGCTATTTTTGATTTCAGCCGTGCTTTTGATTTTTAATTTATATACGCGATCAAACAGCGTTATTCGACGCGACCCATGCGAGTTTTGAAGTATTGCTATCGTTGCATATTTAGTTATTTATTTGTGGTTGTTTTTATTGTTGTTGCTTTCAGTTGTTGTTTGTCTTCGTATAAATTATGTGCAAACATTTTTGCTCTTCTCAACTTAAACCAATTTGAACTTGAGCAAACTTGTTGGCCGCCGCCGGCCCAACAAAAGTCAGCTTGTTTGGTTTGTTAACTTTACTTTATTTAATTTTTGTCTCTTTTTTTTTTAATTTTGCATTGTTGCTGTTGCTGTTGCCACTGCTGGTTTTTTGACTTTTGCTGCTGTTGTTATTGTATCTTTTGTTAGTGCTGCTGTTTTATTGTGGGAATTTCTTGGGTTTTTCAACGCACACTAATGCAAAATGTGTCTGAGTGTGTGTGTGTGTGTGTGAATGTGCGTTTATATTGTGTACATATGGCAAAAGCGCTCGCTAAGCTAAGCCCTCTGCTCCGCCGCGCTCTCCTACCTACTGTTGCCGTAATCAAAGCTTTTGCCATTTGCTGCTGCTTGTTGTTGTTGATATTTCAAAATGCTACTTGTCAAACAAAAACACAGCAAAGCTTTTTTCGACGAGCGCTTTTTAGAAGGGATCGTATTTCATTCATAAATGAAGCTTAAGCAGAGCGTACTGTGGTCAGAAATGCGGTTTCTCTGAATAAATATTCAATTCAAGAAAATATGTAATTAATTATAATTTAACTTTTTTTAATATGTGTTTATTGCTTTTACCTCGTTACAGGTGAGCGTTGCGTACATTTGGCCGCCGGAGCCGGGCATATTGATATCTTGCGCATTCTGGTTTCTCACGGTGCTGACATTAATGCCAGAGTAAGTTTGAACTCGAATTTATAAACGATTAATAATATTTTAATGAACTGTATTTCTTGTTTGCATTGTTGTGCAGGAGGGCAAAGGTGGACGCACACCGTTGCACATTGCCATTGAGTGCTGCAACGAGGATTTGGCCAATTTTCTGCTAGATGAATGCGAGAAACTCAATCTGGAGACAGCCACATATGCCGGCCTGACGGCATATCAGGTTGCCAGCATACTGAACAAATCCCGTATGCAGAACATACTCGAGAAACGCGGTGCGGAGACATTAACTCCCCCCGATAGTGATTATGACAGTAGCGATATTGAAGATCTTGACGATACGAAGGTGAGCGTCACAGCCTAAACAAAAAACAATACAAGAAAAATTGAATAATAAAAAAAAAAACAGAATCAACAGAATAGAATATCATTGAGATATCCATTAGAACATAAGAGTAACCATTACGGGTCACCACCAACAGCTTCCAAAATGTTCAAGAAAATAAGCTATGAAAGAGCCCAAAATACTGAGTGCTGGTATTCAGTAAAAAGTTGAATCTAGATATCAACAACAACAAAAATGAGAGAAATTAATTGTATTGTAACAAATAATGTATTGTTAAACTAAAAAAAAAAAAACAGAAAAAAAAGGAACAGCAGCAAACCCACTTTAAATGATATATACATTAATATACAGTAAAAGGCCGCTCTATGTTTTAGTAGATCGCCAATTTGAAAGCTGATAAATTGCCCATTGCAAGAACCAACCAACAAAATAACGAACAAAATGCAATAATACAATCTATATACATATGCTATGTAAACAAAAATCCATCCATCTCATTATCTGTATATGAAACATTTGTGCTGCTACAATGATCACTCGAAAATTAGAACAGTTCCATAAATTATTATAATTTGTGAATGCTATATATGTTTCAAAACGAAGAATAACAGTTCTATAAATTCGAATGATCACTGTTTTAAATGACGTATTCCTTCCACTTTATTCTATTATCCACTTAGTTTAAGATGTTCAAATGTAAAACGTCTTTTTCTCTCTCTATATATGTCTCATTCTGTATGTATTATATATGTGTGTGTGTGTGTTTTGTTTATTAGTGTGCGTGTGTGTAGGCAACTAACATTTAGATCTTATATATCTTAAAACTAGAACTAGTACTAGAACTACATACTATACAAATGTACGTATTTGGCAGCTAAACATGCTGGCTCCTAACTCTTTATAACCACGATATATTTGGAGAAAAAGAAAGAAAAGAAATAATTATATACCATAACTTAAGTTAGTTAAATCTAATTGATGTTTCAATGTTCTGACTGAATGAATTATGTTGCAAATAAACATTTTATTCTAAAACACAACCAAAAAAAAAACACAAAAACAAAAACTTTCTATATCAAAATTGAAATTATTTAACGAGCTGAGTTATTATAAAAAGTATGTAAGTATATGTATATTATATAAATGCATGTATCCTAAGTATTTACTTGTAGTTAATTTTTTGCACAAGCGTTTTGTTTTTTATTTTGTTGGTATTCTTTTACTTTTACTTTTATTTTTTTAAATTTTGTTTGTTTACATTTTTCTTAAATGCCTTGTGTTTTTTCTTGCAGATGTACGATCGCTTTGGTGATCCGCGTTACTTTGTCAGCTACAATGGCGGCAATCCGATGACAGTTGCTTGAGATCGCATCATCAATTGTACATAATATATAATGCATTAACAATCCATTCTACTATATTATAATTAACAACGCTATAATTCCAATAACTGCTGAAGCCAACCCATATGCGATATATTTTGACGCAAGTTCTTTACACAAAAACCACGACGATGAACAAATAACAATCACGAAGAACGAGTCACCAGCAATGCAACCACCCAACATGTACTTACAACTTACAACACACACAACACAAACATTAATGTATATTACATTGTTTACCATGTAAGCCAAAAAAAAAAAAAAAAAACTAAAAAAAAAATGAAAAGGTATTCGAACGGAATAAAGCGTATAAGGTTGCAGTATGGCAAGCATTTTATTTATACACACCACGTACATATCATATCATAAACCTATGAAATACATAATACATATTGAATGCACAAAACTTAAAATCGAAATACATCAAGTTATTAAAAGACAAACCTCAACTGGCCACTACAAAATTGTACTTAAGACTAACACATAATTTTTCATTTAATTAAAAAACAGTCCGAGTTACATGAGAGAGTTGCAGTCATAATTTCAGGCATCTAGCATCATCTAGCGTATGCTCTGGCGAAACACGCTCTTCTTGGCATTGCTAGTAGCGGTGGCCACCTTTTTGGATGCTAGGGGATCGGGCGTAAAGCAGTTCCATAGTCGCAGCGTTTCGTCGGCGCCGGCACTGATCACTGTGCTGCCATCGGGCGAAATTGCCATTTGCAGGACACGCGATGTGTGTCCGATCAGATCGGCCTGTTTCACCATCGTGGGGTACTTCCAAATGGTTAGCTGATTATTGGCAAATCCATGCGCCGATATCAGTTCCTTGTAGTGGCGTGAGAAGAGTAAGGCGCACACCTGCGACTTGGAGTCGACCGATTTGATTAGCGAACCGTTGCACACATTCCAGAATTTAATGCAACGATCTGCGGTGCCGCCGCCGGAGGCCAAGGTGTTGGCTTGCCACGGGCACCAGGCCAAGGCGCGCACCGCCGCTTGATGCTCGTTGAATTTGTGCAGTGGCTCTGTAGCAGTGCCGACGCCACTGCTGGCCAGCGACCACACGTTAACCAGATTATCATTGCCACCGCTGGCCAAGTACTTGAAATCGGTGGACCACTTTAGGCCGCACACCTCTTGAGCGTGGCCTGTGAGTGAAGATATCTTGTGTTCACGCGATCGTACATCGTGATGTATAATGGTGCCGTCACGGCTCCCCGACGACACCAGATACGAGTTCCAGGCCAAAGAGCCAACACGAGCACTGTGTCCATCCATGACACGAAGACGCTTCACCTTTGAGCAGTCCCACAGCTCGACGGCGCCAGTGCTGTTGCCAATGGCCAGGATCTGTCCCTCTTGTATCCAGGAGAGAGAGCATGCATAGTCACCCTCCTCGTACTCCTTCAGCTGTTCAATGTTGCCGCTGGCCGCATTCCACAGATAAACGCAATTCCCCAAAGCAACAGCCACAATATTATCCGCGCTCCAGTCCATCAGATTCAGATCTAGTTGGGTAAGAAACAATTAGCCAAAAATCAAGTTAAAAACGAATTATAAAATACAATTTCAAGTTGATAACTGTGACGGAAAGAAGACTATATGTGCTACATGGGCTTCTGCCTGTTACATTTGACATAGAAACTTAATTTAATTTCTGTACATGACTTACAGTAGTCATTAATAAAATCTGGAGCATCGAGTATGCGTTCGGATGTGGTCGGAATGTAACGTGAACCGCTCTTTGTCGAAATGGGCGTCTTGATTGAGTAGACAACCTTTAAGGGATTTGTATGAGATTCGGGTGCAGCGGGCGCCTTATTCTGATAGCACAGAATGCGTCCACCATTATTTTCGCCAAGCTGGGCGACTTCGGCGATGAGTTTCTTACGTTCGCTCTTATGGGCCGATGCCTTGACATTATTCTCGTTGTTGTTGTTATTAGTGTTGCTGCTGCTTGTGGGCTGCTGATCGTCGTTCTCCTCATCTGATTTATCGCCTGTCTCCTTGTTGCCCTGGGCGAAATGGAAGTGTGCCAGCTCAAAATTAGTAGCTGCACGATTTGGTATAAAACGATCACCGCCGCCCGGAGTCTTTGTTGGAGTTGTTGTCGACTTTTTGCCCTTGGCCGCTTCGGTGCTTTTGCCTGGCGTTTTGGTTGACGCCTGAACGCCCGAGAAGCTGGTGTTGTACGACACGGAGAGCACTGATCGAGTAGTGTTCGCGGTGCCATTGAGCGATGCCTCCAGCTTCTTCTTCCAGCGGGGCGCAGGACCACGCGTCTCGCCGTCCAGGATTAGGGCATTTTGTAGATCGCTTACAAAATTAAATTGAGACATCTCTCACACACCAATAATACTAATATTAAATATGTCACTCAATTGTTGAAAGAGATTTTATGGATAGTTTACTTAAATTTTGTGTTTCTTCTTTGGCGTGAAAATCGCAATGGCGGTTTGGAAACGCATAAGTATGAAAAATCTCGCGGCAAATGCTACCAGGGCTGCACAGTACGCACAGGATGTCCCAACGAGTTAACAATATAGCTACAAAGAAATGTAGTTCTCATTAATCGAAAAACACAAGCACAAACACAACATTATTATCCAATAAGTAAATCAATAAACATACAATACAACAATTGTGTTAAATTTTAATTCACTCCGTTTGATAGTATTATCGAAATTCAATATTCGATCACATCAAAACATATTATTTTTGTAGCCCTGGAACACAGCTGCTCTAATAATTTCAAACTTCACACCCTTCTATTATGCTTCTATTAGATAAATAAATGAAACACAATTTCTGCCAAAACTAGTTTTGGTTATAACAACTTTTGAATATAGTTCCAAGCAAATTACATTTTAAAAATTCGAGTTTCTCTAGAACGTTTAGCGGCATTTTGACCTGTGCAGAATTTAAGCAAGCTGTTAATAACATATATTCGAAATGTTAAGTTAACAGGCAGGCGGCAGCTACAGCCACAGCTGTCATACATGATTCACACACACATGTAGCAGGGTACGTAGTGCGTATTTATAACAATTGTACAAAAAATAAACGAAGAATTTGGATATTAATTTCCAAAACATTTAAAGCCAGCCAACAGTATTTGAATAACGCCCGCTACAATGGCCTTTAACTTCACCGCATTCACGTACATTGTGGCGCTTATCGGCGATGCATTTTTAATATTTTTCGCAATATTTCAAGTCATTGCGTTCGATGAGCTAAAAACAGATTATAAAAATCCAATTGATCAATGCAACAGTCTCAACCCGGTAAGTGAATTTAACTAATATCAATGACTAATAATGACTAATCGATGCCCCAATTTCTTGTAGCTCGTTTTACCCGAATATTTGTTGCACATTTTTATAAATTTATTATTCCTGTGCTGCGGCGAATGGTATTCTCTGTGCCTCAACATGCCCCTCATTGCCTATCATATATGGCGGTAAGTCGTCCATTGATTCTCAATGCGATTATGTCTTATGTACATTTTTCTCTGATTCCCTTAATTGTTTGCAGCTACAAGAATCGTCCAGTGATGTCGGGTCCGGGCTTGTATGACCCAACTACAGTGCTGAAGACGGACACGTTAGCGCTTCATATGCGTGAGGGTTGGATTAAATTGGCCGTCTACTTAATTTGCTTCTTCTGCTATATATACGGGTAATAATGCGCTAATAGAACATATTTGTTGTACTCTTTTGTCTAACGTTATGTTTTTTTGTTCATAATTCTGGCTAATTTTAGCATGGTTTATTCGCTCATCTCGACATAGAGGTGGAGAGCAACTGCCTGGGGATCTCATTGTTGTTGGCACCTACAGCGCATCCACTATGTACAACATTTACAAACATTAAACAAATTGTCATCTTGTATGCGCCACACACACCACACACACACACTCAACTCCGTGTCGAAGCGAACAATATTTTCATGTGTAAAGTTTTCGGAAGTTTGTAATTCATAAATGCGATTCATAACAAAGATATCTAAGGCAATCCTCTATTATATATATTTTGTCTGTATTGTTGGAGATTTGTAACGGTTTTTATTATTATAATTATTATTTGCATTTTGGTAGTCAAACCCTGAAACAAATAAAGTAAAACTAGAAATAATATGCTTGATAATGGATTTATTTTCCACATAGCTTGAAGGACAGCGGCCTCTTCGACTGACGCTTGAGAATGTTATATCTTTGGGGCAGCACTACGGATCTGAGCACTTGACGTCGTAAAGATTAGAGCACATTCTTATCAGAGCCAACACTGATATGGATATATACAAATTTCAACAGTTCAACCTACATTTTGTGTACATATCTTGATAATTTTATTTTACAATCGTTAGTCGAAAACTCGATTTTGCATTCAATCTTTGCTATAGTACATTTCAAACTCCAATTTTCATAAAAATATATATATATAGATGTATATGTGTATGCCATGTATTCACAATAATTTAGAATTGCGGGAGTTTGGGGATTTTTGGGGTGTTTGGTATGGGGATATTTAGCATTAATTATGACATAAAAACAACAAAGAATAGGAAGAAAAATATCAAAACACCGAATATCTTAATCATGAGCCAGCGATTTTTGGAAACGGATTGAAAATATTTAAGAATCTCGCCATGTGCCGCCTCAATATTCAATTCAGCGTCCGCCACATTCGTATCGATGCGTTCTACAATCTCCTCCTGCTCCTTAACCATGTGCGCGAGTTGCTGAAAGATGCCGCCCAACTCCACAATGGTCGATTCAATGTTCTGCATTGTCTCGGCACGCTGTTGCACATACGTGTCGGACTCATCGTAGATGGCCAGCTGCTGCTGCTGTTGCTGCAGTCGCGCCGGTGGACCGAGCAGCGGCGTCGTATCGCTGCCACCCATCATATCTATGCTCACCGCCTGATTCTCCTCGCTGAGCAGCAGCGAGCCCTGCTTAGCAGTCGATGGTGAAACGGTGTGAGCAGCCAGCGGACCGGGTCCTTGGCTAAAATGGTCGCGTCGCGTCTTCTGGTGCTTGAGATTTTCGGTGCGCACCTCAAGTATCTGCTTGAAGTCTGTACTCATGCTGGCCAGTTTGGATTGCAGGGCGAGCACCATGTTCGAGGAATGTGAGACCAGATGCTTGCCATTTGTGGTCCGTCGCTGATCCTTGGAGATGTCTTGCAGCTTGGCGATCTGTTGATTTAGCGCATTCAAATCGCCTTTGATGATGTACGTCAACTCCTGAATTTCCTGCGGTCTATCGTCAAATAGACTCTTCTTTTTGGCCACTAAAAATTTGGGGAAAAGTGTGAGCGCAAATCTGGCATGGCAAAAAACTATAACTAAAGTCAGTCCTAGAGATGGGCATTGTAAATTACGTTTGTAATTTGAGAGTTCTCATTTTTTTTTGTGTCACGTCCACGTCTATTTCGATAGTGACTTACACATGGTCAGCTTCTCCAGTTTGGCGTATGTGCTGGCAATGTTCTTGCCAATGAAACGGGCGACCATCATGAACTCGGAATAGCTCTGGACCTGTTTGGCCTTGCGCGGATCCCGTATGTTGACGGCCCGTGTGATGTTACGTGATTGTAGCGAACGTATCGCATTCGCAAATTCGCCCGTACGATCTCGGGCGGCCATTATGAATACCTCCGGTTGTTCCTCCTGTTCCAAATCAAAGTTTCCACGTTCCGGCTGCGCTCCACCAAAACTGTAGACGTTCTTCTCGTAGTAGTTGCTGCTGCTGCTGTTGTTGTTGTCAACTTTGTTGTACCCTTGGGTGGAATGATTGCCTGTAACGACAGCCGCAGCAGCGCACAGTGGCTGTTGGATGAACGTTCGCAACGCCTGGCCAGAGCGGGACGAGATACCGCTGAATAGATTCCACTGGCGGGCTGCTTTATCGTATTTATCGTCAGCGTCAACGTCTCCGGAAATCGACTGCGGTTCGCCAATATTAATGGCAGCCTCCAACACTGGCTGCTGTGTGACGTATAACACTGGTTGTTGTTGTTGCTGCTGTCCCAGTTGGATTAGTGAATGCTGCTGTTCCTGGTGTTGCTGCTGGTTTTGCTGCAATGACGTGTTTGGGACACTGTAATTGCTGCTGTATTCCTGCTGGTCCGTTTGTTGATGGCGTCGTCGAGTTTGCATCTCATTTCAAGTCAATTTGCTTCGCTGCCTTGATTACCTGCGTTTCCTGTTGTTAATTCTTTTTTTATTAATTGTTGTTGACGTTGTTTCTTTTTTATTCGTCATACACTACGCTTTGCTTTTACTATTGTTGTTGTTTTTGTTGTTGGACTTTTGAAACTTTTATTGCAATCGGAAGGCGTTACACTTATAACCTCTTTTGCTGATAGCTTAATTTGGTATTTGCTCTGTATTTAGTATTTTTATTAACATCACTCGCACATTTTCAGTGGACTTTGACGAATTAATTATTAGATGCTGGATATTTTGCCCAAAAAAAACCATACACACACAGCCAAGCTCTGTCCCAGATGACAGATGACGTGTTGCTGGCGCTCCGCGCTGCTAACTTAACTTAAAATACATGCAATTTTAACAGCAATATTTAGTGCGGAAAACTTGTTTCTTTATATAAAAATCAAACAAATACATTATAAATTGGAACCTTTATAGCATAGCTATGCTTAATAAGGAAAAAAAAAAACTATTATAAATCATGCTTAATTAAAGGCAAATTGTGATATTTGTCGTATTAAATTTGAATCTATTAGTATATCAGCTTAATATTGGTATTTAAATACCAGTAGACGCAAGTGGACAGCGCCACCGGCAACAAATGACAGCTGCTATTTCTCTCACCGTTCTTCCTCTATGTAGTGTTTTTTTTACATTGACGTCTCGTGTGCCAATTGTACAATAAATTGATGTTTCAAGTTAATTAATTGGAAAAAGTCGCTGATTATAAAAGAAGATGACGCTTTACCATTTTGGAAACTGTGTTGCGCTGCTGATGCCATATTACTTCACATACAAATACTCGGGCCTGTAAGTCAACAATCATAATCTAGGCCACACAATAAATCGTATTAATCAATAATGATTTGTTCCCTCCATTTCAGATCTGAATATGGTGCATTCTGGAAGTGTGTGCAAGCGGGTTGCATTTACATATTTACACAGCTCTGTAAAATGCTCGTTTTAGCCACATTCTTCTATTCGGACACCTCCTCCAACAGCGGAGAATTTAACTTCTTTACGGTAAGTGGATCAAAAATTTTCCAATTTGTCGATTTAAAATTGAAGGCATATTTTCTCTGAAACACAGGAGATTCTACGTTGTAGTGTAGATGTGGCCGATCTGCTTGGATTCGCCCTGATTCTAAGCCGCATACCTGGCAAGGGTCATTCAAAACTAATCACAGCTGGACTTGGCTGTAAGTGCTGAAACACAAGCAATCACTAAGAAAATTACTTTATTTTTTATTTGTAAACTTGGATTTCAGGGGCCACCGCCGAGGTAATCCTCTCACGTGGCATTATGCTGTGGGTGGGCGCCCGTGGCACTGAATTTAGCTGGATCTACATACAAAAATGTCTGGAGTCAAACGTTCTGCTTGTCCAGCACCTGACCACTGCGACGCTCATTTGGCTGTTCACGCGACATGATCTAAATAAGGCGCTGAAACCACTTGTTTCTATATTGCTGGCAGTCACCGTCTTCAAGGGCGTCTGGTTGGAGGGTATGCTGCATATCCTCAGCATTGGCGCTTGGTCAGCGATTGCGATTAAGGCACTAGTTGCTGCAGTCATCGGCTTCTGCTCTCTACACATTTATGCTGGCCTTGCCCAACAGATTGGCATTTAATTTGAACATATTTTTATTTCATAAATATTTCGGTTGTCGTGGGATTAAGTACAGTTGTTTAAAACAAATGATAACAATGAACAGTGTAGAGAATTACAAAAGATGTTAATGAATTATAGTTTATGATAATAACGATAGCAAAGTACGAGTTTTTATACAAAATATAAAAAGAGGAAAACAAAACACATCTGTGTTAATTCGCTAACTCGACAAATTCCAAATATTTCGAATATGTTTTTAAGCTCCACATTAATAACAAGTTATTTTAACAAACCAAAAAAAAATAATTCAAATACGATTCTTAATTTGCTCCTTAGATAATTCGAAATCTTAATCAACTCTGCATAAATAACAAATGAACAAAAAAAATAACAACATTTCTAGTACACTCTATAAGGGTATAACGAAATACAAAAACTATTTTAAAATATCTTCGATGAGCTTGTTGGACTCGGCGCCCAAAGTAATGGCATCAATTTCAAGAGTTCCTGGTTTTTTAGACAGCTCTATAAATCCGTCGCGCTTTAGGCCTGTCGAGTAATGTTGTTTAAGTTTGATAAGATAAACTGTTATTTATAAGTAAGTACAAAATGTACTTACACAACAAATGGCTAAAAGTCAAGGCTGCAGTTATGCGGTCTGGAAAAGATTTCACATACGAGTTGGCATCTATGGACTTTTTGTCGGGATTGTTGCGCAATATGTTCAGCAAATCCATCATAATGCTGTGCGAATCTGTGTTTTAAATAATTAATGTTAATTACATTTACATTTTGCTAACTCCATATTTTCCTACCAATATTGTTGTTCTTATAACTTTTGGAATGCTCGTATGCATTATTATTATTATTATTGTTATTGCCAGTGTTAATGCTTGGTTGTGAATTCGGCAGCTCAGCAGACTCTGTAGTTGGCATTTCCGGAACGTCGTTTACGGGAGCTTGTGATTGTCTTGGGGCCAATATCTCTTTTCCCAGCGCATCATCATAATCTGCACCAAATATTGTCCTTATTGTATTTTCGCAGATTAGCTCGACTTCTTCGCTGGAGCGCTTGGGGCGCTCTTTTAGTCGATCTGGAAATAGTTTACTAACAACAACAATATTGCAAAGAAATTAGTCAAAATACAATTTTAGATACGCACTCTTGCCTAAAACTGCTCAACATGGCTTTAGCATTTATATAATGCTTGTGCATATTTAGATCAGGTTTTGCTGCTCTTGCGGCCTCGTGGGTCTTAAAGTATGCTGATCTGTGGCACATGAGCGCTTTATAAGATAGTTTAATGCATTTATCTATTTGTAGTTTACAATTGCGTTTCCTTTTTCGTGACTGTACAACTATGGGAAGTGGAAGTAACGGCAACAGTGCCACATCCTCAATCTCTTGACGATGATCGACTGCTTGGGCACCGTTGTTTGGCTGATAAACATCCAATTCATTACCATCTAGTCTGGGCATTTTGTAACACAAACCAGTTAGTGAATGATCGGCTGAGCTGCACTTCACTGTAAATAGGTCAGAGTAAATAATAAAAAGAGATTACAAACCGTTGACTTACAAGAATTTCTAGGTTGTAGAAACTCTTCAAGAGCTATGAGATCCGTTTGATTAGATTCGCCAAAACCATCACTTAACATTAAATCCTGATCCATCTCGGTTAAAGTCAGTTCATGGGTGATGCTGATTTTATGATCCGATAAACAGGTGCGTGGCATTTGAATCGTTGGAGACTGTACACATATACAGATTAAAATTATTATTTTTTTGTTGTATATATTATATATGTATGTACTTGGTATATCTCGTCAATTTGTGGAGCATTACTTTCCGCATTCCACAGATGACATTCGGCTAACATGTGTCTATAATATTGAATATTTTGCTTATCCAAAAACTTTGGGCCCTCGATTCGAGCACGCTTCGAGACGCATAGGGAGATGATTTGTTTGCGTTTGCGGCAACCGTAAGCCATCTGGGGCCGAGCCCCAACAGGCACTTGAAACTCGTTGCCCATTATTTGATCCAGCAAATGTTTGGTTTCATCTGTTCAACATAATAATACTATAATTAAATTATGATAAAATAAAAAAGACGAGCTTACCAAGTAGGGTGTCCACCTGTTGCCCCAATATGTAGGTAGCACCGAATGTGAGACGTGTGAGATCCCTGAATGTAACCAGACTACGGCTTCGGGTTTGTAGCGCATTATTTGATTCTCTCTTGTCCTGATTGGAGTCAATAATCTTCTGAATTCGTTCGCTAGAAATTATCACGCATGTGAGCAAGTAGTTAAGCAGTTGAAATGAACATTTACCTGCTGGCGACAATGTCGATAGCATTAATTTCATGGCGAGAAAATACTTTTGCAGAATGCATTGATGAATATTTTTTTTCGCCTGCAATCCAGCAAGGCTCCAACGCAGGTGCAGTTAGCACCTGCTTAAGCGCCATATCTAACTAATTTGTAGAAAAAAAAAACGGTAAACTCAACGCATCCTTTATGGTTTTTGGCGGCGAAAATTGCGCATAACACAGCACTAAGAAATAATAATCGAATGAAAGATATGAAGCCGCCAAATTTAAATTGCTGTCTTCAGTAATACTTATTCTCAAGTGCATATTAGTGTTTAAGCGAAAGACATAATTCAACATTCCTGATATTGCTCAGCATGTATTCTAAGCTCCATATTTCTTATTTTTAATTGATGTTCAGATTTCTGACATTTTGTATTCTTATTGTTGTTGAAAGTTGAAAAAGGCCGAAATTTTCAATTAGCTGTTAATAACAGTTGAGAAAATGTTAAGGTTTTTGGGTGCCCACAGCTGCATATGTAGCTGTTAGTTTTGACTCAAAAAGAAGGTGGACTGCGCCAGTGTTTTTTTTTGTATATTTTCCGCAGCCTTATAATTCCAACTCCAGCAATTCCATCTCAAAGTCAAGTGCCAAGTGCGGCTCCATCTAAATGGTAAGCTTTAACCATTTACATAAAAGTAATGCAATGACTAATGCTAATAGCTATCTGTGTGGAAGCCGACGTGTTGGGAGGTGTGTGTGCGTGTGTTTGTGAGTGTTTGTTGTGTATGCTTGATTGTTTTTGATTGCGATAAGGGCGGTGTATTTATAATACATTTACTAATTACTTTCAATGCATTGCAGGGTGATAACCAAATATGTGACATTAGCAATGAGGTGCTTGAGGAACTGAAAAAGTTTCGCTTTCGCAAGAGCAAAAACAACTCGGCTCTGATATGTAAGAAATAAATTTTAATACATTTGTTCTTATTATTTCCGCAATGCTATGGCAAACATTGTAGTCATAGCTAGAGATGGACGCATGTCTGCTTTTTGCTCATCTCTAGTCAAATATTGCCCAAGGCATTCGTGACCAAAGCGAATTGAGTTAATTGATTGATTGTTTTTCTTTCTTTGTGAAGTGAAAATCGACCGGGAGAAGCAATCCGTTGTGCTCGATGAATTTATTGATGATATATCTGTCGATGAGCTGCAAGACTCACTGCCCGGCCACCAGCCCCGCTATGTGATCTACACATACAAAATGGTGCACGACGATCAGCGTGTCTCGTATCCGATGTGCTTCATATTCTATACACCGCGCGACAGTCAAATAGAGCTGCAAATGATGTACGCCTGCACGAAGAGCGCTCTGCAACGCGAGGTGGATCTGACTCGGGTCTACGAGATACGCGAACTCGATGAATTGACCGAGGAGTGGCTGAGGGCCAAGCTCAAGTAGTTAGTAGTTCCTGCTTACTACTACTCCAGCCGTTTTATAAAGCAATATTTTACGAGTAGTTTTTCTAATTACATATGCATGCCACATATATATGTTGTATGGATGCAAATATTTTGAGTGGAGCCGAAGCAAATACCAACGATAACGATACATACCAATACCAAACAAACCAATATATATATATATTTATATATATAATAATGACAATTTTTTCAATTTACACTACAATCGTATACATAGCATTGAGATACATACATAATTATCAATATGATTACATTTAAATAATGTATATGTAATGACTTTTAAGTGATTTTAGTTTGTGCATTTAAGTGTGAGTATTGAAATAATGAAATATCAATTGACATTAGCCATGATCTTATAGAAGCTGTGCTTGCCAAATTTATATTCATACAAATATATATATTTATTGTACAAAACGAATACAAAGCAAACATGACAAACAAAAAGAAAAAAACAATTCCATTTTATATACTATGCATATAGGCATATGTGATGCTTCAATAAAAAAGTGTTCATATTATAAAGCAAAAACAATAAATATTTTAACTATCTATCTATCTTTATTCATATTTATTAGCAGAGATGACTTTGAAATTGGAAAAAGTTATTCATTTCCAGCAGCACGGAGAGAAACACATAAATATCTTTTCATACTTTAATTCCTAGCTGGTTATATTGTTATCCATTAGTTGGGTTTAATTTCTAGTAGTGTAACCGTTGCGCCGCCGTGTGGTGCAACATGGTGTAGCGGCCGTCACTGGGTGTAGGGGGTGGCGGTGGTGGTGGAGCCAACATATGTGCCATGGCTGCCATTCCCATTTGTGTGGCAGCATTTGGTGGCGCCAAATGATGCAGCTGCAACGCATCGTGATGATGCATGGCAGCTGTTGATGGTGGTGCCGCGCCCGGATGATGATGATGGTAGTGATGTGACATGGGTGGCGGTGCCGGCGGTGGCAGTGGCAAATTCAACAGATTATTATTCGCAGCATGGGTGCGGAAATGCAGGCTTAAGCTATCCGCGGAGTCATAGGCCTTATCACAGTCGGGACACTTGAAATGTGAATGCTGCTCCAGTGTGTCCAGGCCCACTGGATCGGTATCGATGGGCTCATCATCGTCATCATCAACAATATCATGGTCTGTACTCGACTCGAGGGGGTGCAGCTTGAGCTTGTGAGTGCGCATATCGCGACGTCGACTGAAGGGCTTGCCACAAACATCGCAATGATGATTTTTAATGCGCGTGTGGGTGCTCATGTGCTTGGATAGATCCCCCGCCGTGTAGAAGGCCTTCTGGCATAGGGAACAGATTTGATCGCGTACGCCGCTGTGTATTTTCTGGTGCGCTTGAAAGTTACCCAGTGCTGAAAACTGCTTTGAGCAGATCTCGCACTGAAATGGCTTGTTGCCCGTGTGCGTCCTTTCGTGCACTTTGAGATTGTATTTCTGCGCAAAGCGCTGGGCACAATAGCTGCAGGCGTATGGCTTCTCGCCGGTATGCGTGCGTATATGCTGTGTCAGTTGTGCGGCACACTTGAAGCTCTTGTGGCACGTGGCCACATAGCATGTGTGTGGCAACTTTGGCACCGGTTTCGGTCCGCGTTTCTTGTGGCTTTCTGGCGGTTTGCGCTGATAACGTGAACGTCGTTTACTGCGCTTGCCTCCCTCCATTTGGCCCTCCTCCTCATCGCTGGTGTTGAGTTGTATATTGGCGGGCATTGGTTTGATTTCGTTGGTCACGAAATCGGTATTTGTGGCTGCATCATGTCTCCAGGACTCGTGCAGTCCTAAATATTGACGCAGACGCATATCGCTATTTTCGCACTCCTGCTGAAAGTGATAGGCGACGCCCAGGCGATAGAGGCAGTTATTGCAAATGCCAGCGGGCAATCCGTCTGTCTTATAAACCTGTAAGAGTTTTTAATCTTTACTTACAACAATGATGTGCCAAATAGTTCAGTAAACTTACTCGTATCTTTGAGCACATCATTAACATTTGCGAGGGCATCATGGCAAAGTCTGTGCTATAAATAGAAGTAAGTGGACTTGGCGCGCCTTCCTCTAGACACACCCGACATATTTTATGAACGTTAAAATCCATATTTTTTTATGATTACTTCCTTTATTTGTAGGTAAACATTTGAAGCCGTCCGTCAGCTGTTCAATGCTCAGTGTTGAGTGTAAGGCTAGTACGCTGATATGTAAAATGTAAACAAACATTTTTGAGGGTTCAAAAGAGAAAAAATAGGGGCAAAAATAAGAATTAAATTTCTTATGGAAATAATGCGTGGGCGAGACAAAATTGACATACTATTTAAAAATGTGATTGAGCATATAAAAACCATCAAGCCAACTTTCAGTCAGAATTCTTGAGCTGTATACTGTGCATTGTTAGTGTTGCAAAACATCTAACACTAACCACACACTAACTTGTCTAGTATGACCGTATTGTGCGGCGCTGACGTGACAGTTGGTTTGTTTGATTAGGCTCTCTCTTCTCTCAGCCAGCAATCTGCTATTGCTGCTTGCAAAATAAATAAAAAGAACAAGTGAAATTGAATTGTATATATTTATCGTATCAGTTAACGTGAGCATTGCAAGCTTTGCATACATGCAACTTGTTTGGCGTTGCGCAGCTGGAGGCGAAATTAGGGCAGCGTGGCGAGAGTGTAGCGAGCAATTTTGGATTTGGAGCACGCAGGCTGTTTGGTGAAATTTGTGTTGTTGGTGCGCTGCAACAGCCAACACCGCCACCAACCCCCCGTCGCACGCCTCCTCCCCACACACACACATACATACCATACACACAAACAAGATGCTGTGTATACAAAATTAGAGGGAGAATATTTGAAAATACACGGCCGGAATATTTATGCTATTGTAAACAATACGAGAGCCAGCGAAATTATTCGGGGTCAAACCGAAACAGAATAACAGAAGAAAACTAATTCCAGCGAATGCAAAGATTCCAAGTGGCAGTTTTACAAAAGCGCGTACAATGGCAACAAGTCGAAGCGAATGCGAACAACAGCAGGAAGCAGGAGCAACCTCAACGGCAACGGTAACGACGTCAGCAGGCCAGCTGCTCCGTCAGCGTTTAGTTAATGGCGGCAGCGGTCACGAGTCGTCGCCGACGACGTCAACGTCGCAGTCGAACGGCAAAGCAGCAGCAGCAACATCATTAATTGTTGGCAACAACACGAATAGCTCCGGCACTTTTATGAAACTGAAAACCTATCTGTTGGCCTTGCGTCCTTGGTCCCTGTCCGCCAGTTTGATGCCAACGCTGCTCGGTTCGGCGTTGGCCTACCGCTCTCAGTGGTCGGCGGACTTCTCCATGGTCACCTTCTTCCTCACCGCATTCACCGTGGTCACCGTGCATTGTGCCGGCAATGTGGTCAATACTTATTTCGATTTCATCAAAGGCATCGACAAACAAAAGGCTGACGATCGCACTCTGGTCGATCACATACTCACCAAGGATGAGGTAAGTCAACTCATATGCGCATTTTATAATAAAAATAATAATAATTAATAATTGTGTTATTGGTTTTAAGCGTTTTTCATTTAATTGTTGTCCATATTTTTTTTTTAGGTGGTTTCGCTGGGTGCTATCCTTTACCTGGCTGGATGCGGTGGCTTTGTGCTGCTCGCCGTGCTTAGCCCCGCTAAAATGGAACATTTGGCGCTTATTTACTTTGGTGGCCTATCATCGAGCTTCCTATATACGGGCGGAATTGGTTTCAAATACATTGCGCTGGGTGATCTGGTCATCTTGATATTGTTTGGACCAATGTCGGTGCTATTTGCGTTCATGGCGCAAACAGGTCACGTGGATTGGACAACGATAGGATATGCCATACCGCTGGCCCTCAATACGGAGGCCATACTGCATAGCAATAATACGCGCGATGCGGAAAGCGATGGCAAGGCTGGCATCGTAACACTGGCCATACTAATTGGACGCACTGCCTCCCATGTGCTATATGCCATGATGCTCTTCACACCCTACTCACTGTTTTTCATCTTTGGACTGAAGTATTCGCTGTGGTTTCTGCTGCCGTTAATTACATTGCCGCAGGCATTTCAAATCGAGAAACGTTTCCGCAACGAGCAGACAATGCATGCAGTGCCCAAGCAGACGGCCAAACTGAATTTCTTCTTTGGAATACTCTACATTGTGGCCTGCTGCTGTGCACAGCAGCTCCCAACTTTCGTTTGGCGCAAACACTAGATATATATATATATATATATATTTTATAGGAGATATGGCAACGACACTTCCTGAACGGCTGCAACGTTATTGGGAATTTCATTAGTTTTTCTATTTTTTTGTAGTATTTTTTTATTTGTTGATTTTAGTGAAATGTAGTTACGAATATTGTATTGTACTATTGTCTCAAAATTGCTGTTGCATAAATTTTTGGAACGCTTTGCTAGTCTCCTAGTCTCTTAACACTTAACTCTTATCATAGAACTGAACATATCGCCTCCCCTCTCCCCTTAGGCCCACAGCTTTGGCTAGAGTCACTTTATTTATTTCACCTGAACTACGAACTCAATCGATACCTATAGTTTTTATATATATAAATAGGTACTCTTCCTCTCACTCGTTGGAATCATGGACCAAGATCGTTATAGCGTCGGCGTGTGCAACAATATTGAAATCATCTAATGGCTTAGATATACATACATACGACAGATGTATGTGAAAACGTTAATGTTACTTTATAGAAAATTGCTTGAGAAACATGCAAAATAAGTTATGAATCGACAATGCTGGCTTTGCTTTTGGTGTAACAATAGTTAGCGTTTTTACTCTTACACCCAACATACACATATACATAATCTATATATAAATACACATTATATACGTATACATCATCATATATACAATACATGTAATTATACATGCATACACACATAATTAGATCATGTAAGCCCAGTGTCTAGCAGCAGGCTCAAGAGTGAGAATATCAACACATACACAATTTTTAAGAAAATAAAAATGAGAAAAATTAAAAATATATTATATGTACACACATACTTACAATATGGTATAGATGTACTAGAACAAATGGCAGATCGAAAGATTTGCTGTGAGTAACCGTTGTTTTCCAAGCATAAATCACAAAACCTATGCATATAAACAAATAGCTTTAAATAACAATAACAGAAAAAAAAAAAAAAAAAAAATACGAAAAAAATGCCTATTGTGTGTGTATAGAACAAATAGAAATGAAATTGAATTGTTGAATACAAATTCATAAAATTAGTACATTTTTGAAATTCATTTTGTGGCAATATATTTGTACGCTAAGCTGATAAATCGTTCTTCATATATTTATATTTGTATTCGTGTTTGTATCGTAACTTTAGTGCTTAAATTTAATTTTCGTAATTTGTAATGCACAATTGAAATGCTTTTGTTGTTTGCTGAAAAACATACGAAATATCGAAAGGACAAGTTGAAAAGAATTGAAATGGAATTGTCAATGTGAATCAAAACAATTAACTGAATGACAACTTTGTAGACTACTTAAAAAACAAAACAAAACAAAACAAAACAAAAAGAAAACCAACAACAATGAACAATAATAATTATAGTTATATGAGAAATTAAAAACATAATTAGAAATGTAACTGCAAATCGTGTTCAATTTATATTGCATAATTAAACAAAATGGGATTAGCGGATATTTCGATAATATTTAATCCATGCTTTTTTTTTTTTGGGGATAGCTTTAAATTGAGCAGTATTCATGAACTGCTGAGACTGTCTGCTTTACTTTGCATTAAAAAACTTGAGCAGTAAGGCTTAACCTACTATATTCTGTTTTAGAACAAGTCATGCAGTAAGATTGTAGAATTTATAAAAGTTACATAAACTGGAACATTTTGAATTTTCAAAACGTAGAGTTTATGAATTGTGTGGCAGTATTTATTTCTCAATTAGTAGCCACTTTTCTTTTTTTAGGACAATCTTGCCACTAGCATGGCATCGTATGGCTTCACCGCCGCCGTAGCACCCTCGAGTGGTACCTCCTCGGGCATCTGGCCAGGAATGGCCACCAGCCTGAAGTGCTGCAGCAGCGTTGTGGTCAACATAAACAGATTCTGACGTGCCAGCAAATCGCCCATGCAACGATGCCGCCCAAAGCCAAACGGATTGAACGACTCTGGCAATTTGATTTGCCCGTCGATCAGATAGCGTGTCGGATCAAATATTTCTGGGTCCGGAAAGTCGACGGCGTTGATGAGCATGCCACGGAAGCAGGCAATCACCATTGTGTCCTTGGGTATCTCATAGCCAGATAGACGTGTATCGCAAACGGCACGATGTGGAATACCGCAGGTGTGCATCATAAACATGCGCACCGCCTCCAAGGTGATGGCCTCGCAGTAGGGCATCTTGGCCCGATCCGACCATTCGGGTATGCGCTCCAATCCGACCGCCTCCTTGATTTCAGCATAGGCACGCTCCTGCATCTCTGGCTGCCTAACCAGATGCATGAAACAGAAGCCCAGACTCTTGTTCGTCGTCTCCGAGCCAGCGAGGAACATGTCCAGGCATATGGCCAAAAGGCTAGCATCACTGAACATGGAACTGTCGCTGCTCTCCTGGGCACGCAAATAGCTATCCATTAAATCGCGTGGCTCATCATAATTGCGATACGTGCAGCGATGCAGCTCAATCTCCTTGCCCATAAATTCATACAAAGCTCGATGGCTGTCCACAAAGCCATTGTACCCGGAATAGTCGGGCGCAATGAAGCGCAATAGTGGAAAATGACTGAACAGGGCACCCATCATGTCAATATTCTTGAACAGCTCGAAGAACGTTTCCAGCAATTCGGTTATTTCCGGTGAGCCTGGCTCATAGCGTCGTCCGCTGAGCATGCACCACAGAGTATTCAGCACATACACACTGGTCAGATCATGCATCTCGATCCGCGCCTGCTTGCCGCCCGATGCCTTTACACACGAGCGCAAATTCTGCAGCAGACAACTGGCCTCATTGTGGACAATGGCCATCATGCCGCTGCGTGCGAATCCAAAATTCTTGAGATGCCGCAAGATGAAGCGACGCTGCTCCACCCACATTTCACCATCGGTCAGCAGGACGCCCAGGCGGGCGTTAAAAGTGCGCAGGCGATAGAAGATGCCATCGGGACGACCATCAATATCCTCGTTGGTCATCATCTCACTAATGGCATCGTTCGTATACGCAATCACAACCTTATCCTTACCAATTTTCAGGCCATAGTAACCATATGGATTGACATATCGCCGGGCCAGCTCATCGATCACCTTGCAGAACATTCCAAGCCGCACACGCAGTTGAGATATCTGCAGAGCACTGCCAACAATCGGAAACCAGCGTGGACCTGGATTGTGGTTAGAATGATAGATTGATTCAATTGGTACAAAATGCATCTTTGAAAACAAATTTTAAATGATATTCGAAAATTAGATATTCGAAAAAGTCGACTTGGGTTGGTCATAAAATGATTTTTATAAGCAATCTTTTTTTTTTTAATATTTTCTAAAAGATTACCGAACAAAATGCAGTCGATCAAACTCTCATCTCATTCTCTTTTTGTATTTTAAATTCAGTTTAAGATTTTCCACTATCATAACTTTATCGAAACTGCACTGATTTTGAAAAGCATTACGATTTCGATCTAAATTAATATGACAATAATAGCAATTGAGAAACACGATTTTCAAACAAATTTCATGTTTTAATTGTATTCCTAAAAATCAATTTTCAGAAGCCATATCTTTGCAAATATGACTTGTCCTCTAAATTATAATAACACTTCCGTTTGGAAATAGGATTTTTCATATTTTCCTAGCTTTGCACCTACCGGGTGGAAATTTATCAGGCTTCCTCACACCGCTAATAAGGAAAAGCAGCACAATTGTTGCAAAGAAGATCACAGCATAAAACATATTAGGTGATGCTTTGATTTGTGGATGCTGTACAGATTAGCAAATAGTGATGCAACACCCGATGTTGTCACTTGTTGCTTTCACTTGCTGTGAAGCTGCTGCACGAGCGTGTTGCGTAATCCGAAGTTGCAAACACAGCGCCTGTGGTTGCAGCAGTTATTGTTGCAGTTATCTGTTGCACTATTGACAAACACTTTTCCGACTAAACAGCCTTCGCCTTGGCGCAATCTCTATTTATAGGCGCCTTCGGAAAAGCTTTCGTTCAAACTGGTTCCAGCATGTCTTGCGCCAGAGGAAACCTGGCAGGCAGCCTGTTGTCTATGTTATACTTTGAGAGCTGATCTACGACCAGCTTTTATTTTAGAGTGACCCTGATTTCGATTTTGAAATGAATTAACAACTCCATCTTATCATAAGTAATGCAAAAAATATACACTTTCAAATGTTAAAAAATTAATCTAAGAACTGCATTCATATTTTTGTTCTTGTCGAAATTTTAATTGTAGCTCGAATTAAAATTTCTTTTCTAAAATTGTATTGGTTTTCACCCTAATTTATAACTAATAAACTTATAAAATAGGTTGTTAACTTAATGTTGATAATCAAAACTAAATCTTAGCTTTTTCGATATCCCTAAACGGTTGCCAATTATTTAACCGATATACCTATTTTAATACGACCATAAAATATGTTTTATAATCTACTTTTTTTTTAATTATATATTTTCTACAAGATTATAGAATAACATACAGTCGTGCAAACTGTCTCTCTACTCATTCCCCTTTCATATTTCCCTATTGCTTTTTTTATGATCTGTTACGATTTTCTCCTGCTGGCGCATATCAATCCGCATACACTAGCCGAAAAAAACGTTGGAAAAATTTGTAATTTTTCCAAAATGATGACGGATGCTTCAGTCAATCAGTTTAACGTTAATGTGGCGCCAGTGTTTCTGACCCACTGACCATTGTCATTGCCGCTTTTCACAAAGTTCAATTTATGTGACCGCAACATTGAAAGTGGCGCAACAATGAAAACACGCGGTTAAATTATAAACAAAACATGGCCTAAAACAGTGCAAGGAAAAACTTGTTGAATGCAACAAAGAAAAAACCACACGAACCCGTTTGGAGGCCAAATTTCATTTGGTTGCCGATTATGTCATGAATCCCAACTGCGGGAAATGGTGGTGAATTGCCTGTTTTGAGGTGGCCACGAAAAAATACAATTTGAAAAAATCGAAATGGCAGCTTGTTAGCCTTTTTGAAAAAAAATTGGCGAAATTGCGATGAAAGGCTGCTCATTGAAGTGCTGGCAACGGAGCCAAACGGACGCAAAAGCAATGGGATTTCGGTAAGTGAGAATTTCAAATGTTTTTTTCAGTTCATCCTTCCCAGCAAAATGTGTTAAATATTCGGTTTGTTTGCAGTGTTATGATTTTGGCAGTTATGGGCTTAGGCGCCATGTACATGATGCATCTATTGGCCCAGGACTGGAATCGCATTAGGCCCATACAACAGGTGACGAACCTGGCGGGACAAGTTGGCACCGTACTGAATCTGCAGCGAATACCTGCTCTGATTGGGCAGGCCAGCAACGCATTGAATTTGCAACGTGGCAAACGCTCCACGTTGAGTCGTGAGTTGGACTGGGTGCATGGCAGACCGGGGACGAGAGATGGCGGCGATGCTGCAGTGAATCCGTCGATGTCCATTGATTGGAAACGCATTCTATCCCGCGATCCTTTCGAGTGCCTGCAATCGCTGATCTGTCAGCTCATGTCCGGCGCTGAGTCGCATTCCGCGGAGGCGGAGCTGCTGATGAATTACCTCGAATCCACTGTTGAAATGGCGCCAGTTAAAATTGGACGCGCCTTCAGTCGTGGACTGGCGTTACGTGGCAGCAGTGAGCGTTGCTACAATGAGTATCCATTCTGTTTGTACTCAGCCAAGACGATGATGCGTATCCTGCGCTGGTTTAGCGAAACGGGCAGCGTGCCCGAAGACGATGCATAGTCAAACAGTTGCCAATTATTGGGAGCTTTAAGAGGCGGCTATATAATACCTCTAATACATTTTTATGCTTACAATATTATTTAAAGTTATTAACTAATGTTTACCTTACTTGTTGTGCGAGGAACTTGAATAAAAAGATATATCTAAAAAATAACAATAATTGTTTGCCATTAAATACACTGGATTATTTTTTACAAGATATATTTGTATCCATTGTTATAGTAAAAAGTGTATTTGTAACAATTATCTTGTTATATAGTTTTTCAGTATGCAAAAATATGTATGTATATGCATAGGTATACATATTCTATATAAAATAAAAGATAAGTATATATATAGCGGAATGAATTTTCAAATTCAAATAGTGTTAAATTATAGTTAGCCTGCGGAAGAAGCTTTCTTTCTAATATCCGAGATAAGTGCATTTTGTATATATGTATAATAGGTACAAAATCAAGGAAACTTGCGTTAGCTTTGTGTGGTGTGTGTGTGCTTTACATAACAAATGAGCAGGCGAACAAGAATAACTTGAATTTTAATAAGCTTTACAAGCTTTACAAGTTAAAGTTAAACTTAGTTATACAAATTAAGTAGCTTCTTCAAACGTAAGACTGTTATTTGTTTAGTAGTGTAAAAAGAGATAGAGAGAGAGCATCAAAGAGAGAGCACTGCTATAGGAGAGAGCTTTCGTTTCGAATTTGTGCAATTCTTGAGACGCGAGATTCATCAAAAATTTGAGCGCCAAATCATAAATAATATGTTTTGTGGTTGTATAAACTAAATAAATATTGCATTACAATTAATGTTTGCCGTGGAGCGTAACGCTTGTGACATCCTTGACAATCATTTCGGCCACCTGCCAGGCAATCTCCTCCTGCACATTATCCTCCGGCAGATTGACCAACTTCCTCATAGCATTCTTAACGCTCAGCGACCAGGCTGGTGCCTTATGCGTCGCGACAGCATCGACAGCCTCAAAGTCCCGCTCATAGCGACCCAGTGAATTCACATGTCCAAATTTTAAAGCACTCACTGGACGTTGCCACAGCAGTTGGGGGTTTGTAAGCTGCCTGGCATCGATGTTCATATTAGCCCCCGTTGTTGTTGTCGTCGACTTTAGCATTGGTTTGTGTGTCGTCTCCTGACCAGCGAGCAGTGTATTGTGCTGTGATATAGGCGTGCAGTCCGACATGGACATGGTTTTGCGATGCCGCCGTTGCTGTTGTGCGCTCAGCTTTGGTGCTCCACGCAGGCTTAGCTTGTGCGGCAGACTAAAGGAATTCGTGGCATCATCCGACGCTTGACCGGGGCACGTCTTCAACTTAAGCTCATTGACATACTTGTCGAATATGTGGGATTTGAGAAAGGCGGCAAAGTACTTCTGCTCCAGATATTTGGCAGTGACTAGCAGTGCCAAATCGAAGGCTTGCGCCAGCTGGCCGGGCGCACAAATAGCCTGCTCGACGCGCAGCCGAAGCTTCTGTGACATCCACAAACGACACTCGGACTGTAGAGAAAAGTAACGATCATAGATGATCATCGCATCTGACTGAGCAACACGCTGATCATCGTAGCTCTTGCGAAAATTTATGGCCGTTATCCAGAACTCGAGGCATTCACGCTCCTGCTGCTGTTCCAGATATTCGGTTAGATAAAACAGTGCCAGCTCATCGTACAGCACATCGTAGATATTCAGAGATGCGGCATTGCCCTCGATTAGTTCCACACAGTATTTGCAATAGTAGCTGCTCTGCCGGAAGCACTGCAAATGATCCTGCTCGAGCTGTTGCAGCACATAGTCTCGCGCCTCATCAAAACAACTGGCTGGTATCGGTTTATCGCTGCCCTTGCCGCACAGAAGCAGTGAAATGTGCGCCAGGATGACAATGGGCAGGTCCACCATCAGAGGCGCATTCACAATTAAATACTTTTGATAAATGGCAATCGCATCGTTGATGCTCGCCGCACTTATCGACTGCTGTCCCGTTGTTGTAGTAACTTTGTGGCGACACGTCATCGTCGTCGTTGTTGCTGGTTTATTGTTCATCTGTTTGCTGGTCTCCGCATAGATGCGACTCTTTTCATCATCGGTGAGTGGCTTGCGCATTGACAAGTCACACAGAGTTTTCAGTTCAGGTACATCGTTCTCCTCATCTGCTCCGTTCACAGCAGGCGCCTCCTCCTCCTCCTGCTGCTGTGCATCGACTGCAGCTGCTTCTGCTTCTGTTGCTAAATCATTTGGTCGCTGTTGCTGCTTCTGCTGTTGGAGTTGATTTAATGCTGCGCGCTTAAAGTTCTCTATGTCCAGATAGAATTTGATTAGCGGTAGCGCCTGCTGCGCCTCCAAATATTGTACAAAGTAGCTGAGGCAATCGGGCTCACTGACAATAGCCGTTAGCGTCATCGATAGACGCGAGCTATATTTGAATATATCTGCAAGGAGCATTCATAAAAGGATATATTAAAGTTGGGTACAAATAATTTAATTATTTATATTAGAAAAGCATGTTTAAATCGAATTGGAATTCTTTCTGATGAGCGGACAATACACACACCACATACTTAATAATGAAAAATAATTTCATAAAATGGAGCAATGGTTTTGAATATGCAAAATGTGAGCAAATTTGAAATTGGCTACAGGGTATCTGCCAGTTGGGCTTTCTCAACTGGAGCACAACTGTCCGGAAATGTCCACTGCAAAATAAACAAGCAATCAAACTCACACACACACACACACACACTGTTATGAACCTATTATTTTGCAATATTGTTAGATTTACCTTCATCAGCTGGCCCCACATTTAGCAAGCTGTTGTTGCCTAAACTGACTGCATCCGAAGTTGCTGACAATGTCGCCTCCGCCTCCTCCTCCATGAAGACTTCATCACAGAAACTTGTTGTTGAGCGCAGCGAGTGACGCTTTTGCGCCGCTGCCGCGCAATCGACCACATCATCATCTTCGTTGTTAGCATCCGTGTCGTGAGAGCTGCGTCGGCGGCCTGTTTTTTTGTGTACGTCGTAAAAGCGGAATTGACAGCAAAACAAAACACAATAACACAGCAATTATTTATCACATCGAAAACTGTATGCTTTATAAAACTTACTCGTCTGCCTTTTAATATACTTTAGCATATTCACATTCTAGTTGTTCAGTTGGCAATAATATTGTATATTAATTAAGCACAAATTAGCATTCATAAATAGCACAATAATAAAAAGCCTGAGAAATTTTGGTAAATGCTTACGGAAGGCAGGGATGTACAACAGGGCTGCAAGTGCTGTGCTGTAGATATATCGATATTTTTCTGTCTGGCCGATAGAATAATCGATAATGACAGTGTGCACAAACGAGTAATTGTTGTAATTGCATACATGACGGCGCAAGCAGCTGAGCGACAACGTTGCGTTTTTCTCCACATAAGTTTCTATTTTATGTTACCCCAAAATTGGAGTAATTCTAAGCGAAAATTGTGAGTGAAGCGTCATCGCTTAGGGCAAACGAAGAACGGAAACGGAAACAAGAGGATCGCAACAAATCGCAAATCCGGACACTGATGAGCGCGACAGCCGTGACTACGGGCGGCGCTGCCGGCGACAACAACAACAAAAATAAGAACGAGAAAAGAAACAACACCGCAGTTACAGCCACAGCTCTGGATGATGTGGTGCAATATGTGACGTTGTACGTGCGTAAACCGACGCCGCTAAGTGGTGTCGTGCTGCCCTTTGTGCCACTCTATCTGACCGCTTTTTATCTGTGGATCTACGTGTACAAAAGCCACGACACCGATGAGACTGCCGCCCTGCAGCAGCAGAACAAAACGGATGATGTGTTCGATCGACTCGATCAGGATGACGGCGCCGCTTGGAATGAAATTGGTTTCATTGCTGTGGTAGCCATTGCATTTCTGCATGTGCTCACCCTGCTCTTCTGTTACTGGAGCGTTCACGTGCTCGCCTTTCTCACATGTCGACGGGTCAAGCAGCCAGCGTTGGGTGTTCTAGCCAAGGTGGTGCCCACTGCGAATAATGGCAACTCCAAAATTGTGCCCATACAGAGCCTGAAGCTGGAGGATGGCCAGCAGCAGTACTATCTGGTGTTTCAGAAGACCAAATACGTTTGGGATGAGAACAAGGCGACGTTCCGTTCCGTGGAATTTCCCGTCAATGAACTGCTGAGTACTTATGCCAACTCCCGCGGCCTGGAATCGGAGCAATCGATTAAGACCGCCATGCAAACGTATGGCAACAATGAAATGGATATGGTTGTTCCGGAATTTCATGAACTATTCATTGAGCGCGCCACTGCGCCGTTCTTTGTGTTCCAAGTGTTCTCGGTGGGTCTATGGTGCATGGATGATTTCTGGTACTATTCGCTGTTCACGCTCTTCATGCTGATCGCTTTTGAGTGTACGATTGTTAAGCAACAGCTGCGTAACATGTCCGAAATACGCAAAATGGGCAATAAACCGTATTTAATATATGCGCTGCGCCAGAACAAATGGCGTCACATTGGCAGCAATGAACTGTTACCGGGCGATCTGGTGTCCATTACCCGTTCTCAAAATGATAGCATAGTACCGTGCGATGTGGTCGTTCTGCGTGGCACTTGTATTGTGGACGAGAGCATGTTGACTGGCGAGTCAGTGCCACAGATGAAGGAATCCCTTGAATCGCTGCAACAGCTCAACACCGAACTGGATGTAGAGGGCGAGGGCAAGCTGACCGTACTCTTTGGGGGCACCAAAGTCGTCCAGCATACGGCGCCCAGCAAGGTATCGATGCGTGCCCCCGATGGCGGTTGTATTGGTTATGTCATCCGCACTGGTTTTAACACATCCCAGGGACGACTGCTGCGCACCATTCTCTTTGGCGCAAATCGGGCGACTGAAAACAATTCGGAGACATTTGCATTTATTGCATTCCTGATGGTTTTCGCTGTCGCCGCTGCATCGTATGTGTGGGTCAAGGGAAGCGAGGATCTGGAACGCAATCGCTACAAACTGTTTCTGGAGTGTGCTCTCATACTGACGTCGATTATTCCGCCAGATCTGCCCATTGAGTTGACGCTGGCCGTGAATACATCGCTCATACAATTGACCAAATTATTTGTCTTCTGCACGGAACCGTTTCGCATTCCCTTTGCGGGCAAGGTGCAGATCTGTTGCTTCGATAAGACGGGCACCTTGACAACGGATAATCTAATGGTCGAGGGCATCGCCGGACTGACGCCCAATGGTAAATGTGTGCCCATTGAGGAGGCGGAGGAAGCCACAATTCAAGTGCTCGCCTGTTGCCATTCGCTGGCCCTGCTCGACGATGGCCTTGTTGGTGATCCGCTGGAGAAAGCCGCCTTGGCTGCCGTGGACTGGAACCTCACCAAGTCGGACAGTGTGATACCGAAACGTGGCAAGCTCAAACCGTTGCGTATCGTGCAACGATATCATTTCTCATCGGCCCTGAAGCGAATGTCTGTCCTTGCTGGCTATCTGATGCCCTTCTCTAACGATATCAATTATATTGGTGCTGTCAAGGGTGCTCCCGAAGTCATTATGGGCATGCTGAAGAACATTCCACAAGATTACGAGAAGGTAAGTGGATCAGCCAAAAAATTTCAAATAGATAAACCAAGTTTATTCGTTCAATTTGCAGATCTACTTGGAATACGCACGCCGTGGTGCACGTGTTATGGCGCTGGGTATCAAGGAATTTGGAACGCTTGGCGGTCAGCGCATACGCGAACTAAAACGTGAGGAGGTGGAATGTGACCTGACATTTGCCGGCTTCGTGATCATCTCGTGTCCAATGAAACCCGACTCCAAATCCGTAATTAAAGAGCTCGTGCACTCATCGCACAAAGTTCTCATGATCACCGGAGACAGTCCGTTGACCGCTTGTCATGTAGCCCGGGAGCTGCGCTTTACGACCAAGAAACTTCTGATATTGACGCGACCGCCGCTGCAACAGGAAGGTATGGATGACTGGAGCTGGGTGTCCGTCGATGGCGAGCGCACCTATGCCGTGGACGAAGTGAAGGCAGCCAAAAACATTGCTATGCTGCTGGCCGCCCACGATCTGTGCATCACCGGCGAAGGATTAATGTATCTGCAGCAGTCGCATCCTGCCTACATGCTCAAGGTGCTGCCCCAGGTCACCGTCTGTGCGCGTTTCGCACCCAAACAAAAGGAGTACATCATAACGACACTGAAACAGCTCGGCTACTATACACTCATGTGCGGCGACGGCACCAACGATGTGGGCGCCCTCAAGCACGCTCACGTGGGTGTCTCCCTACTGACCAGTGCGCCCGTGAAGCGCAAACGCACCGAACAGGAATTGCAGCAGATCAATGCAGCTGCCACAGCAGCCGCCGCAGCTGCAACGGCCAACGCCAATCAACAGCTGTCGCCGCGTGAGCGTGCCCTGCGTCGACGCCAGGAGCATATCGATCGGACACAGGCGCGTCTCCAGCACGCCCTGCGCGACATGGAGGAGCAAACAATGGTGAAACTAGGCGATGCGTCTATTGCGGCGCCATTTACCAGCAAACTATCTTCAATTATGTGCGGTAAAGATGAAAATTAAACACGATTTAGAGAATGAAATACTAATAATTATAACTGGATTGCTTGCCTCCACAGTGAACCACATCATCAAGCAGGGCCGCTGCACTCTGGTCACCACACTGCAAATGTTTAAGATTCTGGCGTTGAATGCACTCATCCAGGCCTATTGTCAGTCTGTGCTCTATATCGATGGCGTCAAGTTCAGCGATACGCAGGCCACCATGCAAGGCATTTTTATAGCGGCATGTTTTCTGTTCATTACACGCTCCAAGGTAAGCTGCTGCTCGTGAATAATACACTTAGGGTTAATGAATATAAACAATATATATTGTCAATGGCAGCCACTGAAAACGCTGTCGAAGGTCGCACCACTACCAAACATATTCAATTTGTACACCATATCAACGATACTCACACAATTTGCGGTGCACTTTGGTGCGCTCTACTATCTAACCAGTGAAGCCACGGCGCTGGCGCCGCCCAGGTAAATAAATGACAGCGTGGTATCATATATAATATATATAATTAATCCCTTTTTAGAGTGGGCAAGGTGAAACTGTATATTGACATGGATGCCGAAGAGAAAACCAAATATGATCCGAATATAGTTAGCAGCACGGTTTATATCATTTGCGTATCGCTGCAGGTGGCCACCATTGCGGTTAACTATAAGGTCTGTCAGCCTTCTGGCATGATCACAAATTGCATATATTGTTTGTATTAAATTTTGGTGTATTTTAGGGACATCCGTTTATGGAGAGCCTGCGAGCTAATCGTATGCTAATGTGTGCCATTGGGGCCTCTGCTGCTTTGGTGTTGTTCCTCACCACTGGCATTGTGCCCGGCCTGACGCAATTCTTTGAAATCGTTGATTTTCCAGCAAATGTGCGTAGTATACATATATACTATATATATCTGATAATAATCCTTAATATTTACAGTTCCGCCAAACATTGCTCATTGTACTGGTTGTGGATATTGTTGGCGCGTTTGCATTGGATCGCATTTGTTCATTCCTATTTGGGGAGACGCGTAGCAAGTCCAAAGTCCTAAACTGTTAGAGCTAGAAGTTACCAACAACCACAAATGACTTAGACAGCGCATCATTCAGTGCGCAGATTCCACCTCCTTCTCCTTTAATAAGTACATTTTCAATATATCTCAAGTATGATTTTCATAAATTTGTGAGTTGAGTCCCTCCCTCAGGTCTATCAGCGGCTCCACTGGCTGCAACTTGTATTTAATCTTAGAGTGGTTTATTTTTGGCGTCGGTTTCTTAATTGTTTAAATTAATGAACAATACAAATAATGCATTTTTTGCTCATACATGTATTTGAAAGTTTTGTGCGCTTAATTTGTCGGATCTAATGAGTTTATTAATTAAAATATGCAATTAGTAAAATTGACGTAAGAATTTGTAATCGTAATAAATATGTAGCTAAAAAAATACAAATGAAATAGTGTAGATCTTTAAGTGTCGACATGAGTCTCTTCATCAAATTTGGAATCCTCGAGCTGCTTAAATTGTATCAATATGACCAAATATGTGGTCACAGCCGAAAAGATCTATAACAATTAGATTAACAAAATATGATTATAATTAACAAGTAATCCTTGACTAACCTTAAAAAGCGTTGAGTTGTCAATGGCAAAGAAACCATAGGCTGTAAATTGTACCTCCTGTTTAATGCTTTTAGTCAGAAATTTATCAATCTGATGGTAATATAAACAGGTATTTAGGTATTTCCATATTATACATTTAGTTTAGATATAACCTACGATATTTTGGAACTCCTTGCTCTTGCCATAGACACGTGCCAGTATTTGTGATGTGATATTTGCCTGCAAGAGGGAAAAAGGTCAACTGATTAAGTCAGGGATTAGACGAGTTAAGCCAACCAGAACACACCTCGCGGGTGGTGGCACCACAGTTACGCGACAAAAGGGCCAATAGGGAGATGTGCAGGCACAACCAGGCCATACACCACTGCATTATTTGGGACGTGATGCCGCCCCTGTTGCTCGAGATCTGCACGAAGAGATTATACCAATTCGTGGTCACCGTATAGAACGAGAAGCCCAGAAAGCACACAATTATCAAGCTGCAGCACTCATTGATGCTCTTATAAATGCGTAGCAGCCGATTGTGAGTGCGGTAAATGAATAACGAATCCTCCGCAAAGTTTTCCATGCGCGCCCGTATCTGACGACGACTCCTGTTCCGCTGCTGCACATACGTGTATCCATTCAGCAGCTGATTGACGAACTGAAAGCGAATGCATACGATGCGCAACAGAGCCGATGCAAACACTATGTAGGTGGCACTTAAACCATTTTGCATCGCAAAGAAGGCAATCAGAATATAGGAAGTGGGCGTTATAATGCCCTCAACTTCGCGGACGCGCATCACTAGAATATATGCCTGACAGCAAACAATCACCACGAGATATTTAATCGAGAAATTGCACTGATTGCTGAGCGCAACGCCAAACTGACGCAACACCTCCTGATCCAGCTGGAGGATGTCGTTTATGATCTGCAGTATGTATTTTGTATTCCGACCGCAAACCAATACCGCTAAGGAATGGGAAAGCGATAATGAGTGACTGACCGATCGGAATGGGATCTGGCGAAACTCACTCAGCGTATAGGTGGTAATGCAGAGCAACATTTCAATCCATTGATTCACATTGTCCGTCTCGCGCATCGAGTGGAACAGCTGAGCCGCATTGGGTGTCAATAGGCTGTAGATATTGAATACGGTCAGGGCATGGACGACGCCACGCACAAAGAACGAATAGTACTCGTTGGTCCGAGTGGGTGGTGCAACCTCATAGCTGGACACCTGCTCATAGATGGGCAGCAAACCAGTCACCTTCAGCACCGACAATATCGTGCTGATCTCCCCGAACGCGGGATTCTCGAGCGGACCAGCAGTCGATGGCGCTGTCTCTGGCCGAGCAAATGTATCATTGAAGAGCGGCATGCGTTGGGGCGAAATGCGTCGCGGATTTAGACGCGATTTATGCGATGCCATTTCAATTACCCAAGTGTTGGGACTCATTGCCGATGGGACACTGACACCGCCACAAGAATTTAACTAACTAGATGCTTATTTGGGTGGGTTCATTTGGAACCCCGATTGAAAACGCACATGGCCGTATCAGATGTAGATATGCGACTCCATTAAAATAATTAATTTGTATGTCGGCGCTTAATATTGGAAATTGCAATAACTAGAGTAACCCTATGGTTTTTAATGTGCACTCGTGTGTTGTTGTGAATGTACTCAATAATAGTGGTGAATGCACTCACTTGTACATTGGGTTATTATATAAATGTAAAACCCTTGCCAATACTTGGGACTTTAATCAATTTGAATATGAGCTCAAAAGTATTCAAAAAAACACATTTTATCTCTTTAAAACACTCATGAGTACACTCATGAATATTATTAATTCACAAATAGAAAGAAAATACTTATAAACACTATGAATATTGCCGCCTACCTATTCACACATTCACTCGGTCATATGAATAAATTATTACTCGCACTCACCTCCGATGCCAGGCAATCAAAGGAGCTGCATATAACGGCCATTATCATTGTCTCCGCCAGGACCCAGGCACAGGACAGGCCCATCGTATTGTATTCTTTGCGCAGCTTGATGGGTGTGGTGAGTGTGGCGAATGCCAGATAACTCTGATTGGTCACAGTGTAGAAGGAGAAGCCGAAGAAGAAGAGCAACGCAACACCAGTCACCGCATTCACATTCTCGGTGATGTACCGAAATTTGCAGAGTATCTCGATGAGATTGCTCAGCTTACACCAGTCATCCTTCTCATAGAGATGTTTCCTTTTCTGCGTGAACTGATCGAGCCGAGCGTTGAGGAACTCAATCCGCTGCGCCAGACACTTGAGGACAGTGCGCAGATAGATGGCCAACATGCAGGAGTAGAGCATCTGCAGGCTATAGATTAGCATGAGCATGCACTGACGCGATGGAATGATGTCGCTCAGATAGTGGATATAGTAGAAGGCGACAGCCACAACGGTTGCCGAGACAAACACCAGCAGAGTGCCCAGAAATCGGCAGCTATAGTTCGCAACGTAGCCATTCGCCTCCATATACTCATCCAGCTTGGACAGATCACGGATGGTGCGAAAATGTTTGGATGCATTCAGCACGCTGGAGACGACAATTACCGTATAGCTGGCTATGCAGAACAACGTCTCAATGGTTCGATTAATGTCCTCAGTGTCGCCTTGCGCATCTGCAATCAGCTTGTAGCCCTGCGATGCAAACAGCACATCCTCGCAGAGTAACACCGAACTGACCAATAGAATCACAGCCAAAGTTCTTGCGTAAATCTTTCCGACGGTGCTCATGCTAAAGTTATCCACCTGATCGCCATTAAAAAAGGGCAACAAGCCACACAGCTGTATGGGCGTGGCCACGCTCTTTATATCACGAAGGATCTTCATTACCATTCTGTGAACTCCGAACTACAACGCCAAATTGGAACAGAGCTGAACCTTCACATGCTTTACGCATATCCAGTGATTAAGTGCCTCTCATTTTGTCTTTGACATTACCATCAAATGTTGTCATTAAAACAAATTGGGGGCAATAAACGAAAAGCTTCTCCACACCTTTTGTAAGTTAAAGTTTCACGTTGGAAACCGATATAGCTATGTGGAGGTCAATTTTAGGAACATTTTTCATTACCCCTAGTTCCGCAAATTTCCACACTATAACTTTTTCAAACCTGTTATTAATTTAAATTAGAAAAAAAACTGTTTTCGCTTGAAGTTTACCTCTAGATTAATATTATATTATAGTTGAAAATACAGCTATAATGTTGCTAAACTTTAATGTAGCTGAAAAATCTATATCGATCAATTTTCTTAAATACTCAAAGACATTTCGCTTTGATTTTCAGAATGCTGAAAAGCTTCTTAAGGCGGTCATTTTAGAGATTCACACTTTTATTCAATTTGCCAAGCTGCTGTAATAAAATAATTGAATATTAAATGCGAGTAAATCTTTTAAAAGTACGCGCTAAGCATTTAATCTACGTAGCTGTATCTGGTAGGAATCCACCCCCAAAATGGAATGTAATTGCTGTACGTATTATTATCACCCACAAGCATAAAATATTATATTTGTCACACCTTTCACTCCCCCATTGTGAACGCCGAGATGTGCTGTGTGGGCATGGGCGTAGTCATTATCTCAGCTAAGGGGGTCAGAGCAAGACAAACGTAGAGAGTTAAAATCAAATTTTATCTTTAGATGTTCGGATAAACCACTTTAATATGCTCATTATAAGCATCTGAATTGATTTCATGGAATAAACATTAATAAATCGATACCAAAAAATCAAAAGACTTAAAGCTTATAAATATGCAAAAAAATGGTAATATCTCTTAAATATGAATTTAAAAGTTCTGAATAACTTTGCATAGAAGGCATAGTTTTTCTATGTCATAGATTCTAAAATGAGTACTCACTGCTATCCCCTTCCTACGCCCATGTGCATGTAGATGCGATGTTGGAGTAGATACCTGCCTCGGGACCGGCCATCGCTCGGCATTTTTTCCACCCCTAATGAGGGATTGCAATTCTCAATCAATGCGGCGCGCCGGCAATTTTTTCTTCTCGTTTTCCTTTATTTTTTTGTTTTTGTTGTTTTTAGGGGGAGATTGTGTGAAACTGGCACGCTGTTGCTTAGCTGTTGCTCTGCCACTGCCTCTGCTGCTGTTACTGCTTGCTCTGACGTCACGACAAGGCCGTGGTCAACGGGCAATGGCAACAGATACAGACACACAGTAGAGTGCCGTATATATTGGGGGCGAGAGCTCTTATCGCCATCATCGCCATCAAAGCAAATCAACGCGCAATGCGCAAATAATAATAAACAACAATAATCCGAAATTAAATCTTAAATAATATTGGAGTTATTTTTATTTGAAATGTGGATGCTGTTGCTGCTGCTGGGTGTGCTCTTGGTGTTAGATGCTGCTCCTCGACATAGCCACGCCCACTATACCAGTGGCGATGTGGTTTATCATACGTTACCACACTTCTGGACGGGCGTCGGTTTCTGTCCGGCGGGTGAAATCAATCATGGTGGCATCAGTGCCACCTTGGAGTCAACAGCAATGCAGCTGAATCTTCGCCAGATTGCTGCACTGCCCGTGGGAGCAATCACACACATACGCATTCATTGGCTGTTGGAGCTAGTGGAGTTTCTCGAATATAGCACGGAGGGCGTGCCCCGTTATGAATTTGAAAAGTTTGATAAGTTTGTGGATTTGCTGCAGGAGTTGCATTTATCGCCGGTTGTGGAATTTATGGCGAATCCCGGTCATGTATTCACTGCCAATCCCGAACGCAATTGGTTCCTCTGGGAGCATTTTGTGAAGACCATCATCAATCACCAAATAGGTAAACCAATCATCAAGAAGTCAAAATATCTTTCTGCTTCACAATTGAGATTTCATCCGTAATGTAGCTCGTCATGGCGCAGCTCGCTTGTCCAACTGGCGCTTCGAGACGTGGAACGAACCGGATTTGCGCAACTATAATCGCATCAATTTCACGGCCGAATCCTATTTGGAATATGTGCAGGCGGTGCGTCGTGGCCTGAGCAAAGCTGGCGGCAGGCGTAAGTCCAAGCGGCAACAGCAGCTCTATCGTGCCCTGCGTGGTCCAGCTGGCCTGTTCAAGTCGGAGGAGCGTCATCCGCTGTGCTGGCAGTTGTTGGATGTATGCAATCAGGAGCTGGCCAAGTGTCCCATCGATATACTCACCTATCATCGCAAGGGGCTCGATGGCAGCGCCACAGAAATACTCAATGGATCGCTGGTCTTGCTCTCCAACATATATCAGGATTATCCCCAGCTGCAGCATCTGCCGGTGGCCAATGAGTGAGTTAAGATTGTAGCCTTGCTTCAGCTAAAGCTTTTGTTTACGTTTCAGTGAGGCCGATCCAATTGCGGGCTGGAGCACGCCGAGGGACTTCCAAGCGGATGTGCGTTATGCGGCCACTTTGATGTCAACCGTGATGCTCCATTGGCATGCCAAGCTCGCTGGAGGAGTGATGTCCCAACTGGAGTCGATTAGTCATGACAATGCCTTTCTCAGCTATCATCCATACGAGTTTAGCCAGCGGTAAGCTAAATATTTTGTCTAATAGAGGGATTGATGAACAAATCTCTATATGATATGGAAGTCTTGTAAGGAAAAGGAATATTTTGAATTGAAGATCGTTTAATAATTGTAACCATCTTTTGGTTCTAAGAGCAATTCACAAGTGATGGGGATTACTCACAATATGGCAGCTTTTTGGATTTATATTTTTCTTGTATTTTCAAAGATATATATTGATAACAAGTTATTGCAAATCTTTCAGCACTTTGTTGGCCCACTTTCGAATGAATGAGACCCAACCGGCGCACTCGCAGTTCGTGCAGAAGCCCGTCTATGCGGCGCTTGGCATGCTGGCTAAGTTGGGCACTCGAGCGGCAGATCTGGAGCTAGTGAATATGGATAGCAAGCACAGTGTGCAGGTGCTGCGCACCATCTCTGGCAATGGCATAGCACAATATATGGCGACAATATTCCTCAGTCCCGAGCAGGCGGGACCGCAGCTGACTGCGTATCACCACAAGTACACGCTGAACATGTCCATCGCAAATGAATCGGCATTCATCACGGAGCTGCTGGTGCCGTACAGCACAGATCCGGTGCATGTGTGGCAGCTGTCTGGGAGTCCGGCATATCCCAATGCCACGTTACGCGAGGCAATGCGACGGACGCAGACACCCAGGCTATACGAGACGGGACCCATTTGGCAGTACAACAGCGAACTGGTTGTCAACTCGGCCAGTTTACCCTTGCCCTGGGTGATGTTGCTACGCGTCTGTTCGGCGGCGTGGCCCAAACTTAAGCGTCCACAGCAACTGGAAATTGTGGAGGTTACGCACCGGGAGGTCTTCATCAGTTGGAGCGAACAGGCGCGCTCCACACAATGCCTGAAGAGCTACGAGGTGTGGTTCAGAGAGCGAGCCGCATCCGATTGGCAACTTATCTCGAAGGGCTGGCATCTGCCGTATCCATCATTTCAATATGCGCCCGGCCTGAATGCCAGCGTCAACGGTAGGTTCCAACAAGAAACAACAACTATCGTAGGCGTCTTCATTGTAGTCTCTATTGTTATCTTGCAGGTTTCTATAAGGTGCGCGGCGTGGATGTGTTTAATGAGAGCAGCGCCTTTTCGCAAATAGTCGAATATCTGGAGTTATAATTTTAGCAAACGACTTTATCAAAAAACAAAAAAAAAACAAAACGTATACATATATAGATATATATATTGTATGGGTTTAAATAACATATCGTGCATATTAGATGAAACATAATCAGGCTTTGCTGGCGCTGTTCTCTCTCTTTCTCTCTCTCCAAAATTCTTCGCACTCTCAAGTTTCTCGCTCATACAACTTTCTGGAATGGAGCTGTTTACACAAATGGGGCACAAATCTTCCGAGCAGCGCAGCGTCTTGTCTCAAATACAAGTATCTCAAATACATAAATATCTATATAAATATATATATATATATAGAACATAACGTGTATTTGTGTTTGTGTGTGTGTATGTTTGTGTAGGTGTTTTTGTGTGGAATACAAGGTAATGCCATTGCTGGAGAGGCTAAGGAGTACAAAACACTGCCTTAAGCAATAAATAAATGTCGAGACTACGACTGTGCTCATCCCTAGGCATCCAGCACCAACCATTTCTCGTCAATGTGCTCCATTTGCTTGGTCAATATGGGATTCCGTACACGCACTTTGATCTCCAGCTTGCCGCCCACCTGCTTGCGACCATCCATCAGCTGCAGATGGAAAATAGAAGCAAAGCATTTAAAATATTAAATTAAAATGATATGGTGATTGGACATGGACTTACATCGTAGGTGTCATGGATGTCACACTTTGTTTCCAGCTGTTGCAGCTTGACATTGACGGTGCCAATTAGCGTGTCGGATCTCAAGAATCCTCTGAAACAACATATGGGCAGTTTACGACTTAGTCCACAACAATCAATACTGCAGCTGCTTATTGTTTTATTTTATTTTATTTTTTCATTTTTAATTTGTAATTTATTATTTTAGCGATTTGCGTACCATTAAGAGCATTTTGAAATGAGTTTTGTTGGGATTTGTGGCGTAAAAGTTGATAAAACATATTATATTAAAACATTTGAATTATGGGATCAATGTTTGCAACAATGGATATGTGGAAAGCTCTAAACTCTCAACTTGGCAGAGCTCTTCTACTTTACTAAAAAAATAAAGTTCAAATCATACTTGGTTTGAATAAAATCCAAAAGCAACAAAATAAGAACGGTATTATAAAAAAGCAAGGTGTCTCCAAAACCAAATAAAATTCTCTAGATACTGGTGCTATATACTAAGGCATACCCATAGCAAAAGCATACATAATGTATATTATTTTGTTCCATTGACTATAAAATACAATTTTAGATCTCGTATTTTTAGAATAAATTCAGTTACTTTGTTATTTTAGATCACCTTAAAAAGTTCGGATGCAAGAAATGTGAAGAATATTTAATATATTATTTATAAAGCCTTAATAAAGTATGCATCCTACATTTGTGTACAAATTTAAGACCATTAAGATGAAGAAGTTTTACGAATTTATGTTTAATACTCTAAGAAGATCTTATTGTTTGAAAATTGATATCGTATAAGAGCTTTTAGTCGAGATCTTTAGTATGGATCACAATTAGAAAGGGGAGCTTTACTTAGGTTACTTAGGTTCCTCCGCTTCACCTTGGTTAATTCATATGCATATGCGATTGGCATTTGTTAGAGATAATTATAGTGCTCAATATTACGTTTTGAGGCACATAGTAGAGAGCGTGTGACTCACCCTCGAGAATATATCTCGAACTTGACGCCATGCCGCCGGAAGATGCGCTGAAATTGACGATTGCTGCGCTGAATATCAACCTTGAAGCGCTCATCGTAGTCGGGCGTGTCCGTGTCCTTGATCACATTTGTTTTCGTCTTAAATGACTCATCCTGTAGCAATAAAATGTGGTGAGAAATGAACATAACTGTAATGCTGGAAACTTACATTCAACAGTGGAAATTCAACGCGAACATATGTGTCCACATCTTTGGGATTGGGCACATTGTAGTTAATGCCACGCACGACAACAATTTCGAGCTCGTTGTCCGTCAGATCCGTGTTGCAGTGGACAATGTTGAAGGAACGCTTCTCGTAGTGAAACTTGGGCAGTGTTTGATTCTTGCGTTTGGAATAACGCACCAGATCCAAATCCTTTTGCACGGTCAGTGCGAGATTCTCGAAACGATTCATGCCGGCCACATCGCCCATGGCCTTGTGATGATCACGTGTATTCTTGCACATCATGAGCTGTTTGGCCAGCTGCTCCTCCATGCGCACCCCGATCTCGCAAATGTCATCGCCCGGATCACATTCATCGGTAGCCACAATGGCAAACGATGCCTCCAGACTGTCCCGCTCCGATGGCGGCACAGGTAGCTGTCATTGAAAATTCAAATATATAAAGTAGTTCAAACGATAGTTAAATAAGATATCCACTTTGGCTTACCGTGCTCAGATCCACGGGTAAACCGCTGCTGGCCGCATTCAACAGCGAGTCGAATCCTTTGTAGATCCTAAGGTATTCCTTGGCCTGATCAATTTCACCAGCTTTCTTGGCTGCTACAGCGGCAATTTTGAACTCCTTTTGTCGCTCGAGCAGTAATTTCATTTGCTGCTCCGCCAAATTGCTCTTTTGATGATTACCGCTTGTACGCGTTGTTAGTTCCTTGGGCTCCACTGGCGGTGGCGCCTTGCGTCGTGGCACCGTCGGCGTCACTGTGCCAGAGCTGGACGGCGTGCCACCAGCCGAAGTGCTCTCTGTGGCTGGCGGTGATGTGGGCGACATTGGTGGCGTGGGTGCAGGTGCTGCTGCTGATGCAGCGGGCATAGCATTACCTGTGGGCAGTGGTCCAAAACCTGGTGGCACGGGCAGCTCATCATATGCAACGGGTTTGCCAGCCTTGTGTTGCCTGATAGCATCCTCGAACTGCTTAACAATGCGTCCGAAGCGACGCGCCTTGCTGGTGTTGTCCTCTGCCTTGGCGGCCTCCTCCACCGATTTGTATTTAGCTAAACGCTGCTGCAATGCCTCCAGCATGGAAGTTGGCGCTGCTGCCGGTGGCTCAACAGCTGCTGGAGCAGGCGCTGCTGGAGCTGGAGATACTTCGGGTGCTGCTGGCTCTGCACTTGCTGCTCCGCCCTGCATCTTGGCCATAAACGCAAGAAATTCACCGGGCGGCGGCGGCATATCGCTCAGATCCACCTCCTGTCCGTCCTCGCACATCTTCACAACCACATCGAATTGCTTGACGACGCGCAGAAACTGGATAGCAGCAGCTGTGTCGCCACTGCGCTTCGCCTGCACAGCAGCCGATTTATATTCAGCTTGACGACTGCGCATCTCAGAAACCAATGGATTGGCAGGCATGGCCGGCTCAGTAGGCGTAGCAGCTGGAGCTGGAGCTGGAGCGGGAGATGTTGCTGGCGGCGTACTAGGCGTAGGCGGCAATGGCGCGGCTCGCGATGGTTGCATGGGCTCCTCGACGGTTCCATCAACCGCTGCCGTCGCTGGCTTCACGCTTACCTCGGGCGGTATGTCATCAACATTGATAGTTTTGCCGCCTGCCGACTGCTTCTTCAGATCCTGCAGCGTTTTTAAGCCACGTGCAAAGCGACGTGCCTTGCCCGATTCACCTGCGGCTTTAGCATTGGCCTCCGCCTGCTTGTACATCTCTATGCGTTCATTTATGATGCCCAATGTGTCCACTGTGGTTGTCGGCAGAAACGTCTGCACCGGCTCCGGTTCCACGGCAGCAGCTGGAGGGGCAGCCGCAGCTGCAGGTGTTTCCTCATCGTCCTCGATGCCATCGCCCGCAATGCCATGCAACTCGCCCAGCAGATCGCTGTCATTCTCAAGCGCATCATCGTCATCATCATCGCTAACGTCACGCAGACTATCCGCAATCATACGATCCAAATCGCTGCTGGGCAACAATTGTGGCTTTGGTTTAACTTTTGGTTTTGACCGGCCACCGCCGCTGGTAATTGCCGCCAGCTCGGCTTCCAAATCACTATCGCCAGCATCATCGTCACCATAGCCAGCGCTCGGATCAAAGTCATCCGGTATTTCCGTTAAGCCAAACTGTGCGTGTACATGAGGATGAGGGTAGAGGAGGGGAAAGTAAAGGCATGACTCATAATACAAAATAGACTGACAATTCGATGTGTTTTTGTGGTTTATATTGTTTTCCTTACCTGGGACAAATCATGCTGTCGACGCTTAGCTGGCTCTGGCCTTTTGCGAGAGAACATTATTGACTAGTTAATGGATATATCACTATGTCTATGACTGTTACTTAGGCACTCGAATTCTTTGTTCGCAAATATTTAAACGCTAAATTGCGTTGCAATCGCCCTGACAGACAATAACAAAACTTGTATGTTATCGAATTTAGTGATGGGCGATAGATGCTACATATTTTAAATAACTTTACCATATGTTAAACGTCTGCATTTTATTCTCATAAGAGTCTTATTTGTGATTCCAAGTAGTTGCTTATTAGATATATAGGATAGATATATCAATAATCAATAGCTGCTAGTGTTTTCAATACTATTAATAAAGTCTACTTTCCAATAAGAGTTTTTATCGTTTTATCTCCGATTCAGGTCCATTGCAATTTGAAAATATCCAAATTAGAGAATTCAATCATTTCGTGCCATGAGCGCAGTATTCGTTACAAGTAACGGGTGCGAACTCGTCGACCATCACTAATCTGTCAGATGTTATCGATGATAATGCCACCACAGTGCACAACAGTTTGCGAAAAGTTCGTGTAAAAATTGCTATTGATTGACAAATTGTGTAGTGTTAAGCAAGCTCAAATTCGAATTGAACAACTGTGCTGCCTGTGCCGAGTCATGCGTTAATGTGCACACTCAATTAGCTGGCTGTAGGGGCTGTGTAGTGCTTGCAAAACCGTTGCCAAACCTGCTGCATTTCGGGTGTTTCGTTTCGTTTTTGTCTCTTATTGGCCCTTTTTTTTTCTCCACCTACGCTGCGCTACAAATAAACGGGCAAGGGGGGTGCAGCGTAGCACAGCTGAGAGCAGCCAGCCAGCCAGCCAGTCATCTAGTCAGTAAGTGTGTGGAGATAGATAATAAACAAACAGATTGGCATTGTCGCAGTTGCCGTTCACAAGGTGGAACGGGCGTGGGTAGCTTTATAGAGCTTTTAAAAAGACGAGTAAGAGGATTGCCAGCAACAAGTAGGCGGCTATGGAAGAGGTAACGCTGACGGAGCCCGAGACACGATTCTATAGCGAGCTGTTTCAATGCTGCGACGTGGAAAATGCCGGCAAGGTGCCGATGCTAAAAGCAACGGAACTCTTTCGCTCAGCGGACATTGCCAATGAGACGGTGATTGAGGTAGGTCCGCAACAAATTTACTGGTGTCGAAGTCGTGTCTTTTTAATTATGCGATCTGTTTGCTTTTACAGATCACCGCTTTGGCTGGTATACCGGCGACAGCTTTGCATATCTCACGCGCCCAGTTCTATTCATGCCTAAAGCTAATTGCGGCACATCAGGAAGCGGTTCCGTTGCGTCAGGAGCTGATAGCAGCCACTGTGCCATTGCCGTTGCCGCATTTCGGCTGGAAGGAGGCAGCCACAGCGCCGCCAGCGAGCACAACAAACGAGAATGGGCTGGGTGCACTGCCCCCACCGCCGCCCACCGATCGTCGCAACTCGCTGCGTCGCAATTCCCAGCAGCAGCAACAGCAACAACAACAGCAACTACAGCAGCTAGATCAGTTACAAGACGCCTCTGATGTGCCCAGCACCGATTCCGAGGTTGAGCAGAACGAATCCAGCTGTGGCGATAATTTTGATGAGTTGGCTGGTGCTGATGTTGCTGTTGTCAGCAGCAGCAGCAGTCGCGAAACTGTGCGTATTATTTTTCTATTATATCTTATCATACTTATGCATATAGACTTTAGATATAAACAGCGCTTTTGTATACTCTTGGAACGGATATTATGATTATGCCACGATTATGTGAAACATATATATATATATATATATATATATTTATTATGCTGTCAAGTGAGCATATTTTTCATCAGAAATATAACCCTTAGTCTCTATTTTATTTGACCTGCAGAACTATCAGTCGAAAATTTAATTCTTGTAAAAAAAAAACATATTTTGTTTCCAACGCGTTGATCAAACTCACCAATTACGATTCCAAAATTGTGGTATATATATCTGGTAGAGTATTTCAAGTTCTCGAAAATAACTCGACCTTTTTGACTTTACTCGCAGCGTCGACGTGGCGCTGGTGGCTCACCGGAAGCGTGGAGCACAAACAGCGATAGTCCCACGCCCACCAACAGTGTGGCGGAGCGTCCCTGGGCACAGGATACACTGTGGCAGGGCCTGCTCGGTGATGAGCATCGCCAACTATTGGGCACCGAGGAGGAGTCGTCGGATCGTCACAGTAGCGACGATGACGACAACGAAAGCGAACTGACCACGCTCTATCAAATCACTCCCGAGCAGCGTGAATACTACAACAAACAGTTCCGAACGGTGCAACGTGATCCACATGGTCTGCTGTCCGGGCAGGCAGCACGGTAAGTTTTCACTCTTCACTTATAGAAATTAAAGAATTTTAGATATGATATTATGATCAATTTATTTATTTCTTTTTTTTTACCAAACATTTATAAAGATTACAAATTTTTATTTAATTACAAATTTACATAGCATTTTAATTAATAAAAATTCTTGAATATCAATTTAATATCTCACTTAATTACAGCATCTTCTTTGAGAAGAGCCGCATTCCTGTCGAGGAGCTGCGCCACATTTGGCAGCTGTGCGACGTGACACGCGACGGTGCACTGAGTCTATCCGAATTCACAGCTGCCATGCATCTGGTTGTGCTGCGTCGCAATAACATACCATTGCCGAGCAGTCTGCCCCATTGTCTGCATCCGAATGTGTTGGCTAAAACATTGTCGACGTCGTCGTCATCAACGGCGCACATACCTCAAGAGCCGCCCGAGGCTGATCTCCTGCATTTGAATGACGACGACGAGGATGAGCATACTGACAATACAATCATTAGTAGCTCGCAGGCGAAGCCACGTCCGTTGCCCAATGATAAGAACATTATGAATCTGAGCAGCATCTCAACATCATCGCAGGCCAGCACAAGCAGCTCGAGGCGTGAGGTGACAACAACAACAGCATCAGCGACAACGCCGCCAGTTCTTAAGAATCGCAGCATTTCCAATTCGCCAAATGTGGAAAAAGCAAATCAATCAGCGTCAGCAGTATCTGCAACAACAACAACAGCAGCAACAGCGAGTACATCAGTGGCAGCAGCAGCTGCCGCCCTCACCACCAACGATGCCGCCAGTCAATGGACCAAGTTTAGCGAATCTCCTACAACGACATCAACAGCAAGTGGTGCTGGGACAGTTGCAGCTGCTGTTGCTGCCACTGCTGCATCCGGTGCAACTGCCACTGCTGCGCCAGCCGTTTCTAGTCCAGGTCTTAAGCCAGCGCTCTTCGATATGAAACGCACTGCCCAGGATGTGGGCTCAAATCCTCAAATTTTGCATCCCGTGCCATTGCGTGTAACGCCCATTGGTGAGTGTTTAACAATGCGATGCTCGCTCCTTTTTGTTATCTTTATCTTTTGTTTACAGGCACAGCCATTGCCACAGCCGGCGATCAATCGAGTCAACAGGCGAGCAGCACAAGTGCCAACGACATGGACGGTGTTGTTGTGTTGCGCGAGGATAGCCCCAATGCAATGGCAATGGCAATGGCAATGGCAACGTCAACAACAGCCACAGCAACATCGACGCATAATAATCAAAGTGGAACGCATCGGGATCGTGATTCCATATCGATTCAAAGCAGCGATCTCCGTGCCATACAACGTCCGCAGGCGAAGAAGCTGCCAGCTAAGAACATTGGTGCTCTGCCACCGCCGCCGCAACGTGAGCCCAGCATTGGGTCCGTCGGTGTCAGTGAGCCACCCGATCAGGCGGTGCCATTACCAGTTGTCTATGCAACGACCACACTTTCTGCCAAGAAGGAGCCACCGCCCTTGCCGCCGCCACGACCCCATCGACATGCGCGCAGCAGCAGTTTGGATTTGAACAAATTCAAAATTGGCACAGCGGGTTCCCAACAGCCGGAGGTGAGTCGAGTATATCTTCAGATATATTATATTTGTGTCTATTGTCCAATCTTAAAGTGTGTCCTGAAAACTGTAGCTGTTCTTAATTTTCTAACAGCTGCTTAGACTGTGTTTTCTCCAAATGCTATTTTAGCTGTGCTTAATTTACTAAACATTATTCATATTCATATTCCATTCCTTAATGTACTAAAACCTATTAACAAATTAAAGTATTGTAATAGACAAACTGTGAGTAACATTATTAAATAAATTATTAGAAGTTTGCTTTAAGAATGTTGGGCAGCTTTCTAGTTTTTAAAGTATTACTGTTACTATTGGGTTTATTACTGGTTTTCCATTTGTTATCATTATATTATCGCAGAGCTTAACTTGATAATTGAAATTTAATTTGAAAACAAGTTATTCGCTTATTGCCAACTTAATACTCTTAAGTAACCAGATAGCTTAAAGCATTTTTTTTGTTCACTCTGCAATAGTATAAACTGTTTCGGTGCACCGAATAAATATTTACATTGAACTGATGAAAAGTGTTTACCTTATTGCGAGCCCATATTAATTTCTATTTTACTTATTTTGTAAACAATCTGTGACATAAACCCGATTTCAATTAAGATAACCGCGCAAGCCAGCTTCGATATGCAAACCTCAGCGGGTTTTGCCGATTTCACGCACTTTGCCGACGATGCGAATGTTGTAAGTGTAACAAAAAGATATACCAAACAAAAAATAATAACATCAATCAAATCAAATGCATCCGCAATTGGCTGTAGCTTATTTATTTAGTGTTATGCCACCAAAATTAAGTAGTTTAGTAGCCATTGATGAATTGAACGAAGCGATTGTAACAAAATTAATACTAATGCCTTGTACACTTGCAGCTGGATGGTGGCAGTGGCAGTAGCAGCAGCAGCAATGCCAATGCCCATATCAATGCAGCTTCCGAGCAGCAACAGCATTCACTGCCGCCAGTGCCACCGCCGCCAGCTTTTGTGCCGCCTACGCGCATCACGCTGCAGACGCAACAGCGCATCTCTGCTTTTGAGGTCTATCGGAAGCCGCAGACGCCGGCACCAGCATCAGGTGCAACATCCACATCCACAACATCAACAGCTGCATCGCAGCTGCCCAATGCGGAGACGTTTGAGAAACGTGTGACGGCCATCAGTGACTCGTTGCGTCATGTGTCGTTCAAGCATAATCAAACTAGCACCACGGAGCTACTGCAGCGGCTGCGTGAGCAAAACAATTCGCTGCTGCATCTGTGCAATGATCTCAGCGACGAGCTGCTCAGCGTGCAGACCTGCAAGGAGGAGATGCGTTTCAAATTGGAGAGTTTGGCGTCTGCTGCCGATGGTGGTGGTGCGACTGCACACGCACCAACCCGTACCGGCTCCTCAATATCAGCGCCGGTGACGGCTAATGTGACTGGCGGCTCATCCGGCTCAGCCGGTGGCCATACAAATGTTTAAGCAGCGTTTTCCGTTGTTTGTTCCATGCACCGCATATATATGTACACATAAACAGACAGCACACCCCAAACACACACACACACACCCACATACATTTATTTAGAAGAGCAGGCATTGCGCGTCCGCTTATGCGAATTTTGGTTTTAGCACGCTGCTTAATTTTTGCTAATTTAATTATAGGCTAGTTAAATCTAAATTTCAAAAGTGAATGTAAGAAACAGATGAAGAAAATTGTCAAGCAAGTAACAATAACATAACGAATAACAATAATGCCGCCTCTATAATGATACATACATATATACATACATATTTATGCAGATCAATTTATGTATACTTCTCTTTAGAGCACACTGAGCTAATTGAACTAATTGTTAAAACGTAAATGTGTAAATGTAATTGTATAAGAGAATCATCGTTCGCTTTAAAATGAAACACTGCTCCTGCTCCCTAGACATATTGACAGATATGTGGCCACAAAGTGGCGCTAATTGTATTTCGAAACCAGCAACACATTAGGCGTTCTTTTTTTTTTGGCTGATAGAAAACAAAATCAAACTAAATATATAAACCACATTTCAATCACTGAAATAAAACATTTATTTTGCTCAACGGCATTAAATCGCAATTTATTAACTATTAATTTTGTAAAACTTGAAAGTTGATTCCATTAGAAAAAAACTATCTCTCGACCTTCTCATTCATTCCGGCAATGAAATAAACAAAATTATTATGTTAATGTGCTAAAAAAATCGTAACTTTCGTAAGCCAGGCTATAATGTTTAAGCATACGAAACATTAAAACAGATTACCACAAAAAATGAATATAATACACATGCACCAATTTCATTTCCTTCAAAGCTTAGCTTAGGTTAAGTTATTTTTTCGGAACTATTTTGTATGTATGCACGAATTGATATTATGTACATTTATCAAGTTTGTTTAACCATTTGTATAAACATATAAGACAAAAGAATAACGAAGAGAAAGAAAAAAACAAAACAAAATTATTTAATTTACCGGACCACAAGTATGCTAACGTCGAATTTACAAGATGATATACCAACAGAAATACCGAGTATATCATCCATATGAGTGCGTGCGAATTTTCTTTTGCATACTATTAAATATATATGTATAGATTAATGTATATTATTTCACTTTTCATCAAGCAAACAAAATCTTGTTAACAATTTTCAAAGATTTACAACTACAAAACTCAATGCAGTGAATGAAAAAAGTAAGACATTGAAAAATAAAAGTGATATTAAGCACTATGTAAACTTATTGTTACGTTGCAGCGTAATAAATGCGTATTGTTTTGACGGATATACATCTACATAAATAAAGATAAATGTATTAAGTTGATGTTACAAATGCTAAAAGGCAATAAATAATATACTGTATAGGCAAGAATTTTTATTTTTGAATTGAATTGACATTGTAATCGCCGCCACTCGAAAAGCAACCCTGTGTGCTGTGCGATAACAAACACACGCTGCTATCGATTGATTTGCATACGCCGCTGCACATCACTAACGCTTTGCGGCATTGGAGCAAATTTTCGCAAAATTTGCGATATAATTTGTGAGTGTGCATTTGTTGAAATTGATTGTTTAAATGGTTTAAGACGCATTAAACAATTGCTGCGTGCGTGCTTTATTTATGTGACCATCTTCTGCGCGCCTCACCAAGCCCAGCGAAACGGAAAATAGCGAGCAACTAAAACTGAAACTGCTGCGCTCAAGTGCAGGTTAGTTTACATACGTTTACCGTTTACACAATGGGTAATGGGAAATGCTAATGTATCGTATTGAACGAAAAAGTAAACAAAAAGATGATGTCTCTTCCTAGTAAGTGAATGCGTCAATGTTAATCGCGCTCTTTGCGCTCGCACATCTGCCAATCTTTCGTAAGCCGCTGCAATTGCAATCATCTAGGTGTGGCAAAGGTAAAAGCAAAAGCAACGCAACAGCAACAACCACAACTACAACAACAACAAAAACCACAACTGACAACGCTCCTCATTTAACGGCATTAACGAGCAACAGTAATTTGCAGACAACAGCAAATAAAATTCTATTTGGAAACGCCCGCATCAATATGAGCACAAGCAATGAACAGGATCTTGCAGCAGCCGCAACAGCAGCAGTCGCCAATGGCAATCCAACGGATGCGAAGAAAATCGAAGTTATGTATGTCAAAAATCACAATCAGCGAAAATCCAATATTACCTATAATAAAATCCTTTTATTACAATAATGTTGCTGTACTGTTCCACAGCAACTTTCAACCATATGACAAGCAATGCTGCTACAATATCAAAACGAATCATACGAAAGTCTATGGCTGTGGCATTGCCCATGCCCGTGGCTCCTCCAAGGTGAAGCTTAAGAATGTCGTCGATTATAAATGGGAGCACAAATACTATTATCCCGGTCATTTGGTGGCTGTGCATCGCGATGGCAAGCATTTGGCCTATGCCATTAATGGTGAGTGCTTAACAGCTAAATAGTAAACCTTTTATATAGTATTTTAGGGTTCGAATTTTCATGAGATTCCAAATTGCTATTTTTTTTGCTAATTAATGCACAAAAGCGAATCGATTGCAATCACATATGGGCATTTATAGAGGTATGCACGCAACAGTCGCACTCCCAGTTCTATAAAATTCTTCAGTTTTTCTTGTTCAAGCAATATGAGAGTGAAAAAACGCTGGATGAAATATTTTCGACTGATATCTAAGCACCTTGCACTTTGTTTAACTTCGAAATGTGTCAGAATTTATGAATAACTGTTGGGTGACAAATGCTTGGAAGAGCAATTAATACAAAGTGACTGAGGACATTCAGAAAATTCATTTTATTTTGATTGGCATTTGATACCATGAACTGTTGGTTTAAATCATTACTATTGTTTTTCTTAAAAGATACTATTCATAGTTTTTCTGTGGGAATGCCCATATGCTGACAATTGAAATAGATGAAATTATATTAATGTATGCAAATTTGTATAGTTAACAACAAAGCCACTGGAATGGAGGGCATGGTTCGTGTGTGCAATACCAGTACCAGTCAGCGTGCGCTCATCAAGGGCATGAACGGCGAAGTGTTGGATCTACAATTTGCCCACAGCGAAAACGAACGCACTCTGGCAGTTATAGATGTGTGCTCACTATTTGTGTACAAAATCGATTTAATCGATGGCAATTTGATATGCAAACTTGTACTGAAAGTGGATGATCCCATTGCCAACTATTCACCCGAATATGATATGGTCTCCTGGTGTCCATACATCACCAACGACAGCAGCACCAGCAAGAAATCCAGCGGCAGTGGCAGTGGCAGTCGTCATCACGACGACGATGAAAAGCAGCTATTGCTTTGGTCACGCAGCAAACAATTCCAATGCTTCTCAGTCCGAATGATTGTGACCGAACACGGCGTAAGTGTTCCAAGTCTTGAGAGCAGAGTTCCGATATTTAGACTAACTATTATATGTGGAATTTACAGCGCACTCAGATTAAGCCATCAGCGCTGGAAACTGGTTATCTGAAGATTGAAATGGAATCGTTAATAACCTGCGCATCGTTATCGCCGGATGGCACCACCGTTGCGGCCGCCTGTGCCGATGGTTTGGTTCGATTTTATCAAATCTATTTGTTTGATGTGCGCAATCATCGCTGCTTGCACGAATGGAAACCGCACGACGGCAAGCCGGTGTCCTCGCTGTTCTTCCTCGATAATATTAACCAACCCGTTGAGGAGTAAGTAAACCTAGAAACTATTACGATTGATTGTACTTAATGCATTTCATTCGCTTGACAGTGCTTACTGGCAGTATGTAATCACTTCTAGCGATCACAATACGGAGATCAAACTTTGGAATTGCTCGCTGTGGGAGTGCCTGCAGACGATCAACGTAATGGCCTCAATTCCGACCAGTGTGCAGCCGAACATGTTCATAGCTGGCATTGATCGCAGTGCCAATTACTTGGTTATATCCAGTCTCGAGTCCCTAGCCGTATATGTTATGCAAATTGGCAGCATAGGCGGCGGCAGCAGCAGCAACACTACCAATGCCGAGGAAAGCGACAGCAACGATTCGGATAATAGCAGCGATGCTGGCAACGCGATCAGCAGTACTGGCAACAATGAAGCCGAACTCCGCATACTGAACATTGCCGAATTCAAGTTGAGTTCGGGCATTCTCTCGTTTTCCATTGTGAATGCGAGCATGCGTCGCTTGAAGAGCACAAATGAGAGCTACTATCCGTTTGAAGAGCCCGATGATTATGATGATGAGAGCAATGCCACCACCGATGCGCTGGTGGTGCACATGTTTGTCGTGCAGGCCAAGAGTCTGCAGGAGTGCCAGATTATCTATCAGCCCTGTGTGCCCGAAAAGCTGAAGTCCGAGCGCAGTTTGAATAGCAGCAAGAATACCAGCGTCGTCAGCAATAAACGGTCCTTAACGCCCGACGGTCTACTCGGTGTCAATGAGATCAAGCAGGAGCCCAGTTCGCCTCTTAATAGTAGCAGCGGTTCAAGCGCTGTGCCCTTGGATGCCCTCTTTGCCAAGTCGAAGCGCAACTCGAGTAGCTCCGCGTCAGCTTCGGTGATTTCTGTCGCTGTCGCTGCAGCAGCGGCTGCGCCTTCGGCCATATTGCAGGATGCGACAGTCGTGAGCAAATCTCGGTCTTCGTCCCCCCAATACGGCAACGCCTATCCACAGCTGAATCTAATGACACCGGATGCATTTAGTGCTAGTAGCGGGCCCAGTGCCACCATGCTCTTGGCTACGACCAGCATTAGCAGCAATACAACTGGCACCGATGCCATCAACAGCACCACTGTTGCTTCGGCCAGTACGGTTGCCAGTATGGATTCAAGTGCGATCAATTCGCAAGTGTTGAACACCCTTCGCATGTTGGCCACAGTCACCGCGAATAGCACGGAACAAGTTAATACGTCTTTATTGAATCTCGTGAACAACACTTTGATTGAGGATCGGGAACAGCAGAAGCTGAAGGATAAACTGGAGGCGCGTAAAAAGTTTATTGCCATCGATCGGAATCCGGAACGCAATGCAGCTGAGAATTTGGCCAGTGGCGGTTCCAGTCCCAGTCGTGAGGTGCAAGAGATTATGGCCACCCAGGAGGATGCCGATGACTATGAACCGGAACTGGAGAACCTAGAATCGGACGAGGAAAATCCATACTTTATGCTATGCAAAACGGAAAAGAAGTAAGAATCTCTAAATGAGCCTCAATTTTATTCTATTCTCAATTGGAATTATAACTTTTAGAACGGATGAGCAATTGGCAAACCCTTCACCGCTATTGCAGAGCGTCGAGGAAGCGACAGCCACAGGCAATTGGTTGCCACATGAAGAACAGTTGCACCCGACCAAAAAATCCGCAGAGCTGCAAAATGCTGCACAAATCATGTCGCAGGCAGTGCAGCATAAGAACAATGGCAATGTCCCGCCCTCCCTTGGCAGCAGCAACAACACGACTACAACACTAAACAACAGCAGCAGCAGCAACAATAACAACAACAGCAGTAACAACAGCCATAATGCAACAAATGAAAATTGCCCGAGCAATGCAGAAATGAATGTAAAACTGGAACAGCTATTGGGTGCGTATATAAAAAAGTTAATCCCTGTGGCATAGAGTAGCAATCCTATAATCTACCAACTCACATCACAGATCTGGTCAAGGCGCAATCGCAACAGCTTAACAAACTGGAGCATGAGGTTAGCAAAATGCATCAGCAACAGCAGCAGCAACAATCCACCTGTAGCACTGCTGCTGCCTTGCAACCGAAAAGCGTCAACGAACTAGCCTACAAAATTGAAATGCAATTGTCCAAACTGATGGAGCAGTATCTCAAGCGTTATGAGAACGAGCACAAAAAGAAACTAGCCGAATTTCTGCACGCACGGTAAGTAAAAGATAAGGATACAAATTTGAGAGGTTTGGCAAAGAATAAATAACTTTTAAAATGTATGTTGGCTATTGCTCCTATGGTAGCAATATATGATAAAATAGTTACTTCAATCTCAATTTAATGAGCACAATTATGGATAATGTAATATATCAAGGGACTTCTAAAATGCAATACAAATTTTGGGAAAAGAAAGGATAAGATTAATCCGTAACTCTGTCATGAACACATAATTATTTTTATTAATTTTTTTCATTCATTGTTCGATCTAGTGAGACTCAAAATCGTGAGCTGCGCGATTCGATGCTGCAGGTGCTCAATCAGTATGTTATGAATCATTTCACGGACATCATTGGCAACGTGCTGACTATGGAGCTGCAACGTCAGCTGCTGCCGCGTGTCAATGCTAAAATGGATCAACTGCAGAATCAAATGCAACTGGAAATTGTGCAAAAGTTGAATGTGTTTGACAAGACGGTCAAGGAAAACATAGCACAGGTGGTCAAGAGCAAGGTATTAGAAAAACCCCAAATTTTCCGCTTTATATATATAATTTACATATTTGTATTTCTAGCAATTCCTGGACGCTTTTGGCAAGTCCGTGCTGATTGGCGTACAGACAAGCCTGCAGACGGCATTCATTGAATCGATGAGCAGCACTCTGATACCGGCCTATGAGAAGTCCTCGCAAAACATGTTCAAGCAGTTACACGAGGCGTTTAGCGTTGGCATTAAAGACTGTAAGACTGTGAAATCACTTAACAACAAATTGCCAATTGACTAATTATTAATTTAATCATTGCTGCTGACAGTCATGGTGGAGTTTAATGCGTATCTGCAGCACATGCCACAGCCGCACAATGGCGAAGAGCTGAGCAACAAGCTGGGCCTATTGAAGCAGCTGGTGGAGTCGAATTTGCTAAAGCATCGCACCGAACTTACTGACGCGATGCTGGAAACACAGCGTGAGGTGAAAAGCCTGGAGATATTGCTCGCCCGCCAAGTGCAAGAGACCATTCGAGCCGAACTGCGCAAGCACATGGATAACCAGAATATGGCGTTGCGTTCACAGGCGGCAACACCGGCGCCCACTTACGATCTACGCGAGAGCATTAGACAGTTGTTGCAGGCGGGTCAAATCAACAAGGCCTTCCATCAGGCATTGCTGGCAAATGATTTGAATCTGGTCGAGTTCACGCTGCGTCACACAGATCGCATGCAGGTATTTGCGCCCGAGGGCTGCCGCCTGGAGCAAAAGGTGCTGCTCTCGCTCATACAGCAAATATCGGCGGACATGAGCAATCACAATGAGGATAAACAAAGGTAAATCATTTTTAATTTTATTGCTTATATTTGTATTGGATTTTTTGTTGTTATTTTTATTCATTTGTGTTTCCTTTTTAGCTACCTCAATGAGGCGCTGCTGGCCATTAATATGTCGGATCCCATAACGCGTGAGCATGCACCGAAAGTGCTCTCCGAGCTGTATCGCAATTGCCAGCTGTTCATCAAGAATTGCCCGAAGAGTCCGCAATGCAGCAATGTTCGCCTGCTGATCGCCATGTGCAGTGCAACGTATCGTGATCAGTTTAAATGATATTGTGACGTGGCGGCAACCTCCAGCGTTTGGCAAGGACAACTCGAACCCAATACTATGCACAGAGACCCACACATATACCCACACACACACACTTAAAGCAACACACACACAACCACACACACATTTTTTGTAGTTAAGCTTATCCCGTTTGAACCGTCTCTAGCTCTAGCTTCAATTTGACCTCAATGCCTTTCCCAATATATCTACATTGTGTCCCCTCTCCCTTCGTAAGCTGAAAGTTTTCCACAGTTTCTTCGTAAATATTTGTTTTGTGCGTATATATGTTTTTTTTTTTAATATTATTCTTAGATTTTACTCTTATCTGTTCTTGTCACGATATTATGTTTTCCAAAAAAAAAAAAAAAAATGAATAGCGAAAAATAGAAGCGTGCGAGTCCAATTAGCGTGATCAACAATTGCAATAAGTTGTATCTTTTTGATATATATATATACATATATTTAAAGAAATATTGAGTATTTTTCTTTTTGTTCCTTTTGAGCTCTTTATCTATACACTTTCCATTTTTCATGACGCTTATCGAAGAGTAAAATACATGTTAAAGCAGAGCTATAGAATTACATTTAAAATGCTACATATTTTCAAAATAACGATAACGGGCTTTCCAACCGAGAGACGAACAAATTTGATGATTGCTAAACAAAAAGAATAACAGAACTACAAGTAAATGCGTAAATATTAAGCTAAGCCTAAACAAATAAAAAAAAAAATTTTTTAAATAAAAAAATCTAATATATGTATGTATTTGAAAACTAATAAATAATTATTGCATTCGGACATTGAAGGTTTCGCATGATTAAACAAATACATGAAATGTTTTGTCTAAATATATGGGACAATATTTTTTTATCTTTTTTTTTTTACTATTTTAACATGTCTCTTGCATATTTGGATGGTGTATTGTGTGCAGCTAAATCATAGGTACATCCGATTTATATATCGCATTCGGATGGCTGGGATGGGAAATGTTATATTCATCGGACACGATCCTTAAACATACGTTTACTGTAATTGAGCCGCATGGTCAGTATGAAAATACCAATATAAAAATTAAAATAAACATCTATTTAGTTTCAAGGAGCATATTGGCGAGGACCAAATACTTGCAGATTTCACAAGTATCAACTCTATCGAAGTGGATTCAATGATAATGGGGTCATCTAGGCAACCAAACACTTGTAAAAATTGGCTAATATTTCAAAAAGTTTTTGCTACCCAATGTCGAACTGATAGCTGCTTTACTCAAAGAGTAGAGTACAAATTATATTTTTCATCGTCATATATATGCAAATATTACAAAATGTCGTCTTGGAGACATACAAAAAGAAAAATAAAACAATTATGTTTATGTTTCTTGATTACCACAGCGTAAAGTTTTAGCAAATCTAAAGCTAGTTGTATTTCAAGCGCCATTCATAATCAGCTAATGAGTGCCAGCAGCTCCGAGGTGCGCTGCAAACAACTGCAGCCACAGCCCGTGGCACAAACCGTGTGATGCTGTGAAAGACAGATAGTAAAATTAAAAACTGGAAAATTATGGGAAAAATGATTTTCTGTTATGCACCTCAAACCAGTGTATCATGTGCTGCATGTGTCCGCCATGGCCGCAGGAGAGGCAAGCGTTTGATGCACCACGCACTGGCAGGCAGCAAAGGATGCAGATTAAAACTGGCCGCTTGCATGGCTCACATTTGGGCGTACGCTTCGGTTTGCCACAGCCGGCACACTCGGTGACAAATTCAACGCCCTGCGACGGCGGCGGTGTGTGCAGCGTATGTTTGAGAATTACCGCACGCTTCGTCAGGAGCTGCCAGCCAAAGAGGACATCCGCATAGGCGCGCTTGAATTGATCGAAGAGCGGCATTTTGGTGCGTCGAATTAGCGAACACGCAAACGCATCCGTCTGTCCCAGCTTAAAGTCCAGCCAATCCAACGAATCCGACCACGAATTGCTACGCAACTGCTTCAACTGTTGCCAAGTGCCGCTCGAGGCACGTGCCTGGGCGGATGATTTGAAATCAAGCGGCAAAACTGTATGATATGGCGACAATTGCGCATGGAGCTGGGCGGGCAGACGGCAGCTGGCCACGTCCATGTCCATGCCCATCAGGCCCGCCGCCGGACACTTGTCGAAGAGGCAGGCGAGAAGTACAGCGGTTTGAACATCCCCAGCTCCAGCATAATGCATAATGAGCGATTCGAGCAGTGATTTCTTGAACGGATCCTTGTAGAATAGCAGCTGGCAACTCATCGACGACTCGTGCGGTACATGCGGTGTTGCTATCAGCTCCGCCAGCAGCCAAATGGGCACCAAATCCAGTCGTCCGTGCGCGCGACAAATTTCACCATTGCGTCGACACGTTTCGACAATATTTCGCTTGTCCAGCGTGAAATCGCGTGCCATGTCACGGTTAATGTGCAGCAACTGGCTGGCATCGTAGATGTGAACGACGGGAGTGGTGCCATTGATTTGGCGCATCACACGCTGTTTGCCCTGTAGACGCTTGCAGGCAATCATGCGCTCCTGCAGATAGAACGAGGCATTCGGATCTCGTTGCGCTGTTGTTGTTGACATTACATTGCCCAGCAGTCCGCTGCCATTGATGGCGCTCAGGGTGCGCGGCGTTATCGACTGATGCTGGCGCAATGTCAGCCGCTTGGTGTTCATCACCTGGGCAAAGGTGGTCAACATGCCGATGGCATTGAAGTGCACGCCCGATGTGCGTGGAAATGGTATGCAGGCATCGTGCAGAGCACTCGACAGTGCTCCCTCTAATCGTGGCGATTGCAACAACATTTGGCTGCGATCCGCACCAGCGCCAGCAACGGATGTCACACGCTTCTTCATCGCGGCGACCAGTGCGCGCAGGCATTGTTCCAGGCAGCTGCGAGATTTCTTGACACGCTGCAGCGCATTAGTGCGCAGCACTTTGAGGAGCACACCGCTCACATCGCTGGACAGAGTGGTGCCCTGGCACAGCTGAAAATCGGGCGGCACATTCGGACTGGGATAGGCGGTGGGAAATGTCACCTGTAATATGATCGTGTGATCCGCAGCGCAGATCTTAAAGCATGCATAACGCTTTATTGCGCACAGCATATCCACATCCACGTGGGGCATATTTGTGTTCAGCAGCGAGAATTCGTGCTGCAGCGAACACGTCGGCTGGTCGGTTAGAGAACGTGCAATGTGCGTCTCCTCGCGTCGCGCATAGACGCCGCCAAAGCTGGGCGAGCGTGCCATGGGCAGAGTATTGGCACCCAAACCCGGCTCCAGTGTCGCCGCAATGGGCAGTGATGCAGCCGTCATCGGACGCGGCTGCAGCGTATGCATAAACTCTGGCGGCGTTAGTGCACGCAATTCACTTAAGTCCGGCTCGTAGCGTGACGAATCGCCCTCCTCATCCTCATCGGGCGAGGGCTCGCATAGCTTCAGCATTGTATCATCGATTTTCCAGACGCGCAACGTTCGATCACGCGACCATGTCACCAATTCCTGCCAGTTTTCACAGAAATTATATCAATCAACTTATTTTTGTCATTTGGTGTGACTTACAATTTCTGTGGAGTCCTCGCGATTGGGGCGCCAGGCAAAGTCCAGAATGACATCGGTGTGTCCAACAAATGAGCAAATGGGATCCGTTTGCTTGCTATTGCTCCAAAGTAGCAGGCTGTTCTCGCCGCGACCCAAATGCGGCACGACAATGCTGACCAAACCGTTGCCGATGGGCTACAGAAAAATAATAACGATTAGTTAGTTCAAAAGGGCCTGACCAAGATATATCCCAAGCTGAACAAACTGTTCAGACAGACAAATAGAAGTGGATGGATACTTGTTAACAATTTCTAATGGGTTAAACCGTTTCCCGGGCTTACTGTATATCTTGCCCTCCATACGGGTGATAGTGTGGTAATGATCTTCTCAGCTCTCCTGGGATTGCACACATCAAAGTACTTGACGGTGCCATCCTGACTGGCTGTGGCCAGGCACGTCTCTCGTTTGTGACTCCAATTGATGCCATGCACCCGATTCAGATGCGCGGTTATATAGTGTGTGGGACAGCTGCCCTTGCGTATGTCCCAGATCCGCAAGTCACCGTCGTGAGCGGCGGCCAACAAGTTACCCGAACGACGATTAAAGCCAACCTGAGTGGCGCCCGCTGCACATAGAAAATATCAATGAATATCGACAAGTTATATATATGTATATATATAAGACAGTTACACATGCAGACGGCGTTCAAGGATAATGCCGGCTTGCGCGGATCGCGCAGATCCCAAATGTGCGAGAAGGTGTCTATGGAGCAGCTGACCAGCAAATTTGGATTCTTGTTATGCCAGTCGATGTCGGTGACTGTGCGCGTATGTCCACGCAACGAATTCTCATAGTAGGGTTCGGCAGGACCCCAGCGCACAATGTCAATATTTTGACTGGTCTGCAAACAAGAATGTGAAAAGCATAAAAATATATATATTTTTTTTTTTTTTTTGTGTTATGTGCCTGCGCAAACTAACCGCTATGGCACAGTACTCTCGACGACTAGGACAAATAGCAAACTCGGCTACGGATATGTCGTATTTGGACTGACGCTCGTGACGACGCAGTGTTCCATCGTCTTGGCCCAAACGCTGCAGGGCCAAATGGCCGCGACCCGCCAACAGCACCCATTGACCGGAGTAGTCCACAGACATGGCCGTCGCCTGAGAATCGCGGTGCTCGTAACATTTGTTGCTCTGTCTGATGATGTATGTCTGTTCGGAGCCACCAGCGCCACCGGCGCCTCTTTCACCATTGCCGCTGCCAGCACGTAGTGTCTCTGTTGGCGGCATCCTACTATTATGCGGGTGTTGTGGGTTGTGATGCTAGGGATGTTGGTGGTAACATAAAATGCTATTTTTAATTAACTTACTAACTACAGTACAAAACAAAACGAACTGATAAGAACACGAACAATAACAAACTATCGCGATTCGATTATATCGATTATTGATATCACGCCAGGGCTGCATACACGATATATATGCACGTCACAAATGTTGCTAACAGAATATAAAATTATATGAAAAACTAGGAAATTATTTATAAATTACTTCTACTGCAAATATTGTATCCAAAATGATATACTTTGTAATCTTAAGTTGAATTATTGGCTTTAATTGTAGGGATTAGAATCAATGTTTTCGTTCACGAAATCAGTGCTAAGTTGGCATCACTGTAAGTTAAATTTCCCAAAACAAAGTTAAATTTATCGATACCATATAAAAAATGTGACTTACTGACTTACTGACTTATTGGCAATTGACAATTGACAATCGCTAGTGAATTAAAAAAATAAGGAAAGCAAGCAAGATGATGGAGAATCTTAACGACGATTGCCAATTGAAGATTATTGGCTATTTGAAACTGGAAGACCAACAAGCTCTGTATGAAGCAACAGAAAACTTATCAAGTCGATTGAACAGCAATATAATCTATGCCTGGCAGCACAAAACTGAATATGTCCTAAATCCCAAAGTGCTCAATGAAAATCTCAACCAACTGGAGATATTTCTACGCAGCATTGCTCCAACGATACAAAGTATTGATCTGATGGATGTCACGTTAAAGTTGATGGCACCTTGGGTGGGTCACAGATTCCCGAGCGTTCGAGAGTTGAGTTACGAGCTGAATCCTGATGATGATTGGGTAAAAGCACAGAAACTGTTAGTGGAACTGTTCCCAGGGGTGAGTTCTGCTTGTCCAAGAGGAAAGGTTAATTACAATGTCGCTGCCGAATGGATACAGTTGCGCAAGCTCGACTTAACCGATAGTTGGGATATAAATAAAACAGAAATTAGTCAGCTCACGATGCTGGAAGAGTTGATAATTTGTGCACTTGTGCCATCTGGAGATCCATTTGTGACCAGTGTGGCTAGTTTGCCCAGGCTTCAGGTGCTGAGCTTCATTACAAATGGCGCTCAATTTACCCCTGGAGCATTTATGAATAGTATTCTAGATTTGCGTTGTCTGGATATAGAGGAGCTTGTATTTAGTGACTCGATTTCTGATTGCGATCTGGCCAAACTCCAACAGGTTAAGAATTTGCACAAGTTAACACTTTCCGAAGAAGATGACTTTCAACTTGATAGTCTGCAATCTTTAGTCTCTGCTTTGCCTGTATTGGAACAATTGCATGTGATTGATTGCCAATTTTGGTGCAACGAGAATGATCTTTGGCAAACCATCGACATCTGTCCATCTCTCAAAGTGTTAAACATAACAGGCTTTCACTTATATGACCATTTCTTTGGCCAAAGTCGACGTTTCATGGAGAATGTGTTAAGAAAGCGTTCTACTCCTTTGACTCTACACTGGCATGATACTGGCAATAATGAGAATTTGGTAAGTCGCGAAGAATATCTCTGTATATATATATATATATATATATATATGTTTAAATAAATTCTTTCTTAATCTTGCAGATTCGTCAATGCTTTCAACATTGTAATTTGAAACTTTCTTTTGAGTCCTTAAGTAGGGATATAATCCCGCTCAATTCTGTTCAAATAAAACTTGTGCCTTTGAAGAAGTGATATTTGCAATAATTGTTACGTTTCACCAAAAGTAATTAATTGAAATTGCTAAATTTGTTTACTTACAATAAATATTTTTGAAAGATATTTATTTATAAGAATAAATAATGAATAAATGTACATGATTTAATCGACTTTTCAGAATCTATGTTAAGTTATAGGCTTATATATTTTTATTGTCACTAAATAAATATAAACGATCGATTCTATTTTATTAGACTCCATTTTATTAGTCAAGAGTCAATTTGTTTAACTTTATACAAAGTCTGCACTAATTGTTTGCGGTATTATTTCATAGAAATATTTGTATGCTTAGCTTAGAACTATGGTGTAAGCATCAAACTCATCTAAGGCTACACAGCATATCCACATCCACGTGGGGCATATTTGTGTTCAGCAGCGAGAATTCGTGCTGCAGCGAACACGTCGGCTGATCGGTTAGAGAGCGTGCAATGTGCGTCTCCTCGCGTCGCGCATAGACGCCGCCAAAGCTGGGCGAGCGTGCCATGGGCAGAGCATTGGCACCCAAGCCCGGCTCCAGTGTCGCCGCAATGGGCAGTGATGCAGCCGTCATCGGACGCGGCTGCAGCGTATGCATAAACTCTGGCGGCGTTAGTGCACGCAATTCACTTAACTCCGGCTCGTAGCGTGACGAATCGCCCTCCTCATCCTCATCGGGCGAGGGCTCGCATAGCTTCAGCATTGTATCATCGATTTTCCAGACGCGCAACGTTCGATCACGCGACCATGTCACCAATTCCTGCCAGTTTTCACAGAAATTATATCAATTAACTTACTTTTGTCATTTGGTGTGACTTACAATTTCTGTGGAGTCCTCGCGATTGGGTCGCCAGGCAAAGTCCAGAATGACATCGGTGTGTCGCTCCAAAGTAGCAGGCTGTTCTCGCTGCGACCCAAATGCGGCACGACAATGCTGACCAAACCATTGCCGATGGGCTACAGAAAAATAATAACGATTAGTTAGTTCAAAAGGGCCTGACCAAGATATATCCCAAGCTGAACAAACTGTTCAGACAGACAAATAGAAGTGGATGGATACTTGTTAACAATTTCTAATGGGTTAAACCGTTTCCCGGGCTTACTGTATATCTTGCCCTCCATACGGGCGATAGTGTGGTAATGATCTTCTCAGCTCTCCTGGGATTGCACACATCAAAGTACTTGACGGTGCCATCCTGACTGGCTGTGGCCAGGCACGTCTCTCGTTTGTGACTCCAATTGATGCCATGCACCCGATTCAGATGCGCGGTTATATAGTGTGTGGGACAGCTGCCCTTGCGTATGTCCCAGATCCGCAAGTCACCGTCGTGAGCGGCGGCCAACAAGTTACCCGAACGACGATTAAAGCCAACCTGAGTGGCGCCCGCTGCACATAGAAAATATCAATGAATATCGGCAAGTTATATATATGTATATATATAAGACAATTACACATGCAGACGGCGTTCAAGGATAATGCCGGCTTGATCCCAAATGTGCGAGAAGGTGTCTATGGAGCAGCTGACCAGCAAATTGGGATTCTTGTTACGCCAGTCGATGTCGGTGACTGTGCGCGTATGTCCACGCAACGAATTCTCATAGTAGGGTTCGGCAGGACCCCAGCGCACAATGTCAATATTTTGACTGGTCTGCAAACACGAATGTGAAAAGCATAAAAATATATATATATTTTTTATTTTGTTGTGTTATGTGCCTGCGCAAACTAACCGCTATGGCACAGTACTCTCGACGACTAGGACAAATAGCAAACTCGGCTACGGATATGTCGTATTTGGACTGACGCTCGTGACGACGCAGTGTTCCATCGTCTTGGCCCAAACGCTGCAGGGCCAAATGGCCGCGACCCGCCAACAGCACCCATTGACCGGAGTAGTCCACAGACATGGCCGTCGCCTGAGAATCGCGGTGCTCGTAACATTTGTTGCTCTGTCTGATGATGTATGTCTGTTCGGAGCCACCAGCGCCACCGGCGCCTCTTTCACCATTGCCGCTGCCAGCACGTAGTGTCTCTGTTGGCGGCATCCTACTATTATGCGGGTGTTGTGGGTTGTGATGCTAGGGATGTTGGTGGTAACATAAAATGATTTTTTTAATTAACTTACTAACTACAGTACAAAACAAAACGAACTGATAAGAACACGAACAATAACAAACTATCGCGATTCGATTATATCGATTATTGATACCACGCCAGGGCTGCATACACGATATATATGCACGTCACAAATGTTGCTAACAGAATATAAAATTATAGGAAAAACTAGGAAATTATTTATAAATTACTTCTACTGCAAATATTGTATCCAAAATGATATACTTTGTAATCTTAAGTTGAATTATTGGCTGCATAAAATTACTTTAATTGTAGGCATTAGAATCAATGTTTTCGTTCACGAAATCAGTGCTAAGTTGGCATCACTGTAAGTTAAATTTCCCAAGCCAAAGTTAAATTTATTGATACCACATAAAAAATGTGACTTACTGACTTACTTGCAATTCACAATTGCTAGTGAATTAAAAAAAATAAGGAAAGCAAGCAAGATGATGGAGAATCTTAACGACGATTGCCAATTGGAGATTATTGGCTATTTGGAACTGGAAGACCAACAAGCTCTGTATGAAGCAACAGAAAACTTATCAAGTCGATTGAACAGCAATATAATCTATGCCTGGCAGCACAAAACTGAATATGTCCTAATTCCCAAAGAGCTCAACAAAAATCTCAAGCAATTGGAGATATTTCTACGGAGCATTGCTCCAACGGTACAAAGTATTGATCTGAGGGGTGTCACGTTCAAGTTGATGGCACCTTGGATGGGTCACAGATTCCCGAGCGTTCGAGAGTTGAATTACAAGCTGAATCTTAATGATGATTGGGTAAAAGTACAGAAACTGTTAGTGGAACTGTTCCCAGGGGTGAGTTCTGCTTATCCGATAGGAAAGGTTAATTACAATGTCGCTGGCGAATGGATGCAGTTGCGCAAACTGGACTTAACCGAATGTTGGGATATAAATAAAACAGAAATTAGTCGGCTGCCGATGCTGGAAGAGTTGATAATTTGTCAATTTATACAATCTGGAGATCCATTTGCGACCAGTGTGGCTAGTTTGCCCAGGCTACAGGTGCTGAGCTTGAATACCGGTGAATCATTTATGAATAGTATTCTAGATTTGCGTTGTCTGGATATAGAGGAGCTTGTATTTAGTGACTCGATTGCTGATTACGATCTGGCCAAACTCCAACAGGTTAAGAATTTACGCAAGTTAACACTTTCCAACGAATTTAACTTTCCAGTTGATAGTCTGCAATCTTTAGTCTCTGCTTTGCCTGTATTGGAACAATTGCATGTGATTGATTGCCAATTTTGGTGCAACGAGAATGATCTTTGGAAAACCATCGACATGTGTCCATCTCTTAAAGTGTTAAACATAACAGATGTTCACTTACATGACAATTTCTTTGACCAAAGTCGACGATTCATGGAGAATGTGTTAAGAAAGCGTTCTACTCCGTTGACTCTACACTGGCATGATACTGGCAATAATGAGGATTTGGTAAGTCGCGAAGAATATCTCTGTATATATATATATATATATATATATATGTTTAAATAAATTCTTTCTTAATCTTGCAGATTCGTCAATGCTTTCAACATTGTAATTTGAAACTTTCTTTTGAGTCCTTAAGTAGGGATATAATCCCGCTCAATTCTGTTCAAATAAAACTTGTGCCTTTGAAGAAGTGATATTTGCAATAATTGTTACGTTTCACCAAAAGTAATTAATTGAAATTGCTAAATTTGTTTACTTACAATAAATATTTTTGAAAGATATTTATTTATAAGAATAAATAATGAATAAATGTACATGATTTAATCGACTTTTCAGAATCTATGTTAAGTTATAGGCTTATATATTTTTATTGTCACTAAATAAATATAAACGATCGATTCTATTTTATTAGACTCCATTTTATTAGTCAAGAGTCAATTTGTTTAACTTTATACAAAGTCTGCACTAATTGTTTGCGGTATTATTTCATAGAAATAGTTGTATGCTTAGCTTAGAACTATGGTGCAAGCATCAAACTCATCTAAGGCTACATATTGGGGATAAGGAGGAGGGAGACACTAATGCTTATCTGTGACAATAACAAAACATTTTTAGTGTGGAATCATTGACGCAGTAGCTCTGACTGCCATACAAATTGATGCGACTAATGGTTCCAGTGAGCGCACTCGAATATCCAGTCATACGCACCGTGGACTCGAAGATAGCCAGACCCGGTTTGGTTTGCAAACGCAATGTTATATCGACGGCATAGTCACTGTTAATCTCCTTGACCATCTTGTGATGTGGCGCCGCTATAAACGCCTGCAGTATGGAATTCAAATAGAGTGTTCGACATTGTGAATGCGCCGATAATCGCTCATTGATCAGACGCACCAAATAGCGGGCGGCGCGCTGCACTCGCTCATTATTGGTTGGGAGCTCCTCGCGCTGATGGCAGGTGCACCAGTGGGCCGCAATGCCCGCCTGCTCACAATTGCGCTCTGCTGGCACCGGCAGGAATAGGCTAATTCCACGTGGCATTATGCTGTCAATGTCGATGAGCTCAGCGGCATTGCGTTGCAGCTGCTCCGGCTCCAGCTGGCGCATATCGAGCAATTGCAGCAGTGTGGCATGCAGATCGAATGGTGTTGTCAAACGCTTGGCATTTAGCTCCAGATTGGCAATGGCCAGCGGATAGCGCTGTTTTAGCCAGGCGGGATAGAGTGCGATTAGCAGCGGTTGTCGTTCCTCCATCATGCCCTGATAGGTGCGTCGAAACGAGCCCCAGCGCAAACCGTGATCGGACATCAGGAGCACCAGTGTTCGATTGAGCACACCCGACTCCTGCAACCGCTGCAGATTCAACGCCAGCTGCGCATCCAACAATTGTGGTGAGTTAAAATAGTCGTGGGTCAACGCCACCGACCAGAAGAACGAAAAGAATAGCTCTTGACGCATGTGCGGCACCAGCTTTCGCATGTACTCCAACAGGACATCCGCTGTGCGTCTCCCGCCCATGCACAGATGGATATTCATGTCCTTCTTTTGGGCAATGTGCTTCTCCATCTCGAGCAGCATGGGACGCAAATAGTAATCCGTTGGCGGTTTGCGAAATCCTTTGCGATTGAAGTTGAACAATCCGAGGAAGCCGACATCCTCGGCATAGACCGTCCTGTAGCCGGCCTGTTTATAGCGCTTCCACAAGAAGGTGCAACTATCGTAGCTGGGATGCGCCAGCGGTGCCACACACGATATGTTCAGCTCCTGATCATCCAGGCCACTTAAAAGCGGCACCAGATTCGGAAACGTATTGTCGCCCACCTTGTTGAAGCCCCAGAACTCAACGTGCGTCAGATTCTTACGGATGTAGGCCTCCGTGCGACGCATTTGCCGATGGAAATTCAAATGCGAAACACTATCAATGCCCAGCACCATCACCGAGAGCCGTTCCTCAGCCTCTGCCGTTGGCGTATCATTAAAGCTGTTACGCTTAAGCGAAGACTTGGTGCTATTTCCACGCTTCGTCAACGGCTTATCGACGACAAAGAAGTGACAATCTTTGTAGATTAGCGATCCAGCCGGATCATGACATTCCAAATAGATAAACTCCAGTTCCTTCGGCAACTGTACGGCTTTGGCCAACTTAAATGACAACTGCGGCCGATAGTCGTTTGTATTGTCTGTCTGGCGACGCACCTCCGTATATTTGCAATTGATTTTGGACACATCCTTGATGTTGTAGTAATGCAACTGCTCCTTGGCATCCATGTTGAGCAGCAGCTTGCCGGGCACCACATCGCTCGTCCGCAACAGTGGCTTGGGGCATGAAAATGGTCGCGGATGGAACATGAACTGTGCAATATTATCGTCGAACACCTCAAAGTACGGCATCCGGCAGCCGGGTGTGTCAATAAAATATGCCCTCGTCACATTATACTCATCATCGATGCGTGCAATAAAATCAAAGCGATCGCGCAGTCTCAACAGTTTCGTCCTCAAATTGTAATCGACAAATAGATAGGAGAAGACGCACACGCAGAATATGATGATGACAATCTTCTTGAATTGGCTCCGATTCTTGGTCATGTTGTAGTAACGATAATAATGCTGTAGATCACGCTTTGTCATATACTTTGGATCCAGCAGATATTTACTTCTGCAAATAAATATAAAATGTATACATTTTTATGTAGTTTTTCATCTATATAAAAATATCTATCTAAGCTTACTGCAATGCAAGAAATGTGTTTCTAATTTGTTATATTAGAATAACTCGATAATAGCATATCAAAAAGTGCTCTAAGAAAAAAAAATATGTTTTTGTGACTTGAAATGCAACACTAATACATATTCATGGATATATCTGTGTGTTGAAAACAATTTTTAAATATTCTTTTATAATTTCATAGCCAAATTTTAATTTTATTACATTTTGCGAAAGAAGTTTGAGCTTAACTTGCTGAATGCCGTTTCGATCGGGCAAAGTTCAATGTCTTCAAACAAGCTGCTCACAATTTGCAGGCATCTATCATTAATTAAGGCGTCAAAGAATATAATAGCAACGTTGCCACAAACACACACACACACACACACACGCACACATACACAACACAAGTCAGTGAGGAGTCCTCAAACTTTTGAGCATCCTTTAGTCAGTCTTAGGTGTCATTTTATGAGCACAAGGACGTGACGTTGTCAATCTTTTTTTTTTTTGTTCTTTCTATTTTTATTGTGTTTTGTTGCAAATGAGTGGAGACAAGAGTCGAGCTACAAAGCTGACTCATGTATGTGTGTGTGTGTGCAACTACCACGCGCTCGAAAGTATGCAATGCAAATTTATGCCTGCATTTTGAGTATATACTCGTATGCAATGCAAGACGAAACCCGAAATGCTGCAAGCAATGACAAAAGACTATGGCAAAACTACTTATACACAAAGGCCTTTAGTGCTTGGTGTCTGCTCACAATACAGCTCCCATCACATTCTATTAGAACGGTGGCAAAATTGAGAGCGTATATGAAGTTGATGGCGAGGGCGCAGCGCGATTCAATGGCATTTGTGGACTTCAATGTAATGCTTAAATACAGCATGATGACCGAGGAGAGAGAGAATACCTATCAGACTCAAACTTAGTTCGCTGCTTCTCTAATCATTTCTCCCTTTTAATAATATATAACTAGCACAGATACATATATTCACGATTAGCTCATTTTTCTCATTTTTCTGTTCTGATAGCTGCAGTTGGCGAAACGAGAACTTAATAAATCGCTAAAAACGCTTGCAGCTTCTTTCAAACCCCTCCTTTACGAACTTATGGGTTAAGCCATTTGTCTGAGATTTATTTGTGCCTCTTCTGTTTGCCACACAATTCCATCAATTGCATTTCGGCTGGGCAAACAGACAAAGAACTCGCCGTGCAAATGGCATACGAGTTGGTCCGTAAAGCAAACAAGCAGACTGGCAGACTGCAGGCAAGACATACAAGCACACTTATGCCACACACACACACACACACGCACACACACACACACACACACACACACACACACACACGCTCGTACACACACCCTCACGCATACTTACTCATAGCTCATATCGCCGTATTTTCGGTTGTCCCTTGTCGTGTAGTAGGCACGCATTTTAGCACCTTTCAATTGAATGAAATTCCCACGTTTATCTCGTTGCCAGTTTTGGTTAAGGCCTTGACATTTTCGTTGCCTGTTTGCACTGATGTGCTTTTGTTGTTAATTGTTTGCGTGCCACATTTTTAATGGCAACACACTTTTTTGTGTGCACATTCAATACAAGATTTTCCACACAACTGCGCCTTCAATGACCGAACCACAACCCCCCCCCGCTCAAAAATCCCACCCAGTTGCGTGCTGCTGCCAACACAAAAGTTTGGGTATCCTGAGTTACCTGGGAGCAGCTGCAGACGCCTTTGCTGCCTGCCTACCAAACACTGGATGCTGTGCGGGTCCTGGTCGTCCTTTACACGCTAAATGCTCTCTCTGCCTCTCTCTCTCTCTCTCTGTTTTGACACTTGGCTGGGCTAGCGGGAGCATTGGAGACTGCGCAGAACCATCATTTTGACAGCTGCCAGGGATGCTGTGACTTATAATGCACTGCCAGAAAATTGAAGTGCCTAGTTAGGGAGTCGGCTATTAAAAATTGTGTGAATTACTTTTATAAAAAAAATGCTTTAATTCTGAACAAAATGATGGCTGCACAAAATTTGATATTGATCCGAGAGGGTTATTTACTAATTTGTTGATACATTTTACGCAGTTTTAAGTAATCCTACTTTTATAACAAATTTTATTTCTGTGTATTCCTTCTTCCATTATATTGATGATGAGAAGTTAGAATGATCGACTTTAATTATTTATTTGTTGATGATTATCAAGATCATGTTATTCTCAAGAGGCTGGAAAATGATTCCTGCTGCTGCAAACAATTCATGTACATGGAATAATACAGAAGTCTCTAAATCAATATACGAATACACAAATAAATGTGAGTATTTATTGTTGTTTTTTTTCGCACTTGTTGCTTTTTGTTGTTACTTGTTAAATGTGCATGGTGTGCAGGGGTGTGGAGGCTTTTAATTATGATTTGCATGCTTGCTTAATCAATATACAAATATGAGTGTGTTTTGATGGATTTATGGGGTCAAGAAACGCATGAAATGTTTTTATGGCCACTGAACTCGTTGACAGCAATCCAGCTGTGTGTGTTTGTGTGTGTTTTAGATGTAGTACAAACCCATAAATCCCTTGCCATCACGATCAAGTTATGCACTTAGTTCATGGTTTGCTTCAACTTTGATTCTCAAGCTCTGCAAATATTTGATTCAACATTATTTTTAGGCAATGTATGGTCTTAATTAGCTCCGTTTCCAAGTTGTATGAGAAACATTGGCAAGGACTGCCCAAATGCAAATCCTTTGACTCTTATCCTTGGCGAGCAGCATATCCTGCAGCGTTGCCCATTTTTGCTCATTAGTTGTGAAAAATGGCAGCGACCAAAGATGAAAAGCACGCAAGGATCAATTGACTGCAACATGTACATATGTGTGTGGGTTCTCTCTGTGTGTGTGTGTGTGTTAATAACACACTGCTGCAGGCCAAACATGGCATTTTTATGTTCAATAATTACAACAACAACAACAACAATAAGTGGAACATGCCGGCGTAAATCACCCGCCTGAAAAGAGCATTTCACTGTTGCCCTTCCCCGCCCGCCATCTCAACAGGACTTTCCAAGTAGAGCGATTAACAAGCGTTTGTAATGTTTCATTACTGTAAAAAATGAAAGAAAACAAAAGAAAAGAAAAGAAGAAAATAATAAATAAGTGGCAGCCACTGCGGAAAAGTCGTCTATAAAAGCGAGAAGCCCATAAAGCGAACGCTTCAGTTGAAATTTCAAAGTGTGCACAGCCAGCGGAAAAGTGCATCCACCTGCAAATAGCATCACCAAACTGCACGTGATTGTAATCAGTCTAGTTAGCTGCTGGCGTCCACTTTCCACTCATTAACTGAAAAATGCTGGAGCAGCAGCAGCAGCAGCAGCTTCGTAGCTTGGACAACCAAAAGCAGCGACGTCATCGACGCCTGCAGCTGGACAGAAGGTGCAGCAGGAGCAACAACAGAAGCAGCAGGTGTCGTGCAAACTATTTGCCGGGCCTGCTAATTGTGCTCCTCGTCCTGCTGCAGAACTTTGAGCTGCACATGTGCCGGCAATTGATGGGCGCCGGTGCCGATGTCCACAGACCCAGGGATATGAGCACCATCGAGAAACGCCAGCCCGAAGAGATATTCAGTGCGCCCAGCGATGCGACGACCAACATGGGTTACGATGAGTATCCGGTGAGTGATGGACCTTGGTGTTGTATCTATTCGTACACACTACGTTCAATTGAACTAAGCTCTAAGCTGAACTATTGAATCAAATCTCAGTTTCTAATGACGCCCATTTTTGCAATTTATTAGATCAAGAAAACTTTTCAACTTTTAATTAAATTTTTAGTAGATTTTCAAAAGAAAATTCCTTTTTTTTCCTTTGGAATAATACTGCATTTCAATTAGCAAACATAATTTCCTTCGAAATTCATATACAAATTTTGCACAATAAATTGTTTTTGAAGAGTGGCTAAAATTTTAAATTTAAACCACATTTGACTCTTCAGTGCGGAATAATCAAATATATTATCATTTATTGAAGCCTATTGCCTTTGTCCAACAAAGTGATAAATTAATTTAAAAATTAGTTTATTTTTTTCATGAAAAGTACTAAAATACTTAAATGAATTGAGCTATAAAGTCAAACTCGAAGGGAACTTATACTCAGTGCACACTTCTCCACCCCATTTAACAACTTAAAAACAAAATATTCAAACTCTGCGTGGGCTTTTGGTCAAACCCCAGAAATGCTTCTCGTATTACACAAGAAGTTGTTTGTAATTGTATCTTTTACATTTGATTGCTTGCCCTGCAGGTGAATTTCTTGCTTTGACAACGCTGGGGTGATTCGGCCCATCTCCCACATCCCACCTCCCATCTCCCATCTCACTCTATGTGCCTTTCTCCCTCTCGCAGTTGACGTCACGTTATTTGGCAAAAAAAAATGTCGTTGTAAAAAGAAGTCAAGTCAAGTCACCTTAAAAAAAGTGAATCAGCGTCTGCTAAACGCATAGAAATTGCGTATACGCCAGGCTCAAGTGTTGAAAACTATTTTACAAATAAATTGATCGGGCTTACTTAATAAAAAATGCAGGTTGCTTGAAGTAATTCAAATATACTCCAAACAAAATATATTTGCAGATGTAAATTGTGTTTCTTTGAAACGTATATTTTAAATGTATATAAATGAATTTATTTATTGAAAGTGAATAAATGTTGCTTGGCACTTACAACTTACACAAATTATCAATTTCTTAAAACTAGAATCGTTATTTCTTTAATTTCTCACATAAATTATTCAAATCTTAATTTAAATTGTTAATGGCTAAATATGATTTTGAAACACCAAAGATTTGTTTAAGCACTCGATTATGGGCTATTCCTTAAAACTTATCAAGTATTTTGACATTGTTTGTGGACACAAATTGCTCATAGAAAACTTGACTCTCAATTGCAATACCCATTTTGTAGATGGTGGTGCCAAAAAGGGCTGCTCTGTTGCTGGATCGTCTAATGGTTGCACTGCATCATGCGCTGGAGAACGAACGCGAAGGACATCGCATTGGTGACTTCTATGCCAATAAGAATCTCTTGCAACTAAAACCCACCGAGTTCAAACATGGTTTTGAGCAGCTGCAGCCGATGGAAGACGGTAAAGACTGCCTATACAGATTGTTTATAAATTCTATGATATATTTTAATATATATATATATATATATTTATAAAGGTAACAAGCATACGTCGATGAATAGCCACAACTTTCACATGTATAGCGATGATGATCCTGGCGTGATGATGGATTATGATTTCAAAGATTTAAATCAAATAAATCGCGCAACTGGCGAAACAGTAAGTTGGATATTGAAACCAAAATATGCAATTAAAGATAGCAATTAGCAATGGAGAAATGTGTAAGAAAATTTCAGTTAATGGCAAAGAGCTTTCAGAGAAGAGCCGGCGCTGCAGCTGGCAACGATGCGGCACAATCAACAAATGGCGGCTCAGCGTCAGCAGCGGCAGGATCTATAGCTGGAGCTGGTCCTGGTGCCAGGCGCATCCATCACGTTGCCAATGGAGGTGGTCGCATGTATTGGCGCTGCTATTTCAATGCCGTTAGCTGCTTCTAAACCAGCCAAGCAATCCAGGCCATAAAAAAAAAACAAAAAATATAAAAATAAAAATAAATCAACCAAATCCACCAATTTATGTAGCTCCAGGCTCGGCTCCAGCTTTTTAACACTTAAAACCATCATATTTTTGTGCGTTTCCTTGGCTGCTATGAAAGTTGTTCGCGTGATTAACTGAAATCCTCTGTAAACATGAATTGTAAACTGAAATTTTGTGTAATTGTATTTGTGTCCAAAAAAAACAAAAAAAAAAAAAAAACAACAAACTTATTTCTCTGTATATCGATGCAGCTGTGCACTGCGTAATAAATAAACTAGAAATCAACTTGCTTAGCTTATTCCTCAATCAATAAATTACTATATAGATATATGCATATGTATATATATCATTTGTATAATCCATAAACGTGGGATGTTAATTCACACTGCCTAATATTGATTGGCATGACCATAAAACATAGACTTCATTCAGTCACCCCACACTCATTGCGTTTTATTTTTTGCATGCAACATATTCGTGTCGTATCGGTTTGTTATCAGTGCTTTTAATTCTGGGTGCAAACACATAATACTCTTTGTTGTACTTAGTCGAGATTGGCCGTAAGCGGAAGTAGCACTTTGCGCGTGTTTATTCACTTAGTTATATTGTAATGTGGTGCACTCATTTAATATGCTCACAATTTGCATACACAATTTAAAAATCCCTTTTTTCCGGCATATCAAATATAACAGCACTTGTAGACTTTAAGTTCAATAAGAATATAATAACAAAAAAATAAGAATTATTAATTAAAGCTGAGCCAAATCAAAATATTTTTAATTATAATGTGGTATGTAGGTAAATAGAGCTTTAAAATTAGAAATCTTGATTTTAAATTGATATCTGTCATATGTATATTATACGGAGGCAACAAAGACTTTATAGGTATTTCTGGAACCTTTGAGATAACATACAAATTGTTTATCTACACACTTAAAGTTTTACTTGCAACGTTTGGCCAAAGTCTGCATATTTTATGCATACTATTAATTAAGATGAAGATTTCTAGCTGATACTACTTTGAAATGATTAAACATGATTTTATGCTGAATATTTTACACAAGCAACAAAATCCTCATAGGTATTTCTAGAACTTTCCAGATCCATTAGCAGCAGTTCCCTTTCAAGTTAATTTGAATTTCAACCTGCAACGCTTTATCCTTTTGCCAAGCTCCGCATATTGAATGCAAATCGTATGCGCTGCAAAACTCAAACTCAACTAGTTTCCGGCTTTGAGTAAAGTTCAAAGTGCATATAATTATTAGTTAGTAGCAGTGAGTTCACATCCAAACAACTCCCCTGCCAACCTTTGCTCCCCAACATGCTGATCGTTTTGCGTGTGCAGCGCACGTAAATCGCTTTATGGCCAAGGTTAATTGCCTGTTGCGTCGGCTGCAACAGCCTTGGAGCCAAGTCAAGTGTTACTGGCCAATATGTAAAATTAATGTTGTGTTGCATTACAAATTGATATGAATTTAAGAGCGACGAGTTCGGATGTTAATTGATATTCGAAGTCAAAGATCTGCGAGCTACGTTGCCAAAAATCATAATACTAAAATCGTTTTCTGTTTTTTATTAATAGGCTGATGCCATAAATCAATGTGCCAGCAACATGACGTCACTGATTTGGAGCGCCATCAAGTATGCAACAAGTTTTGTCATATCAACAGGTGACTTTAGTTTTCACCACACAAGCTATCATGCTGTGCAAGTGTGTGTGTGTGGTGAATAATAAGGCGCTTAAGCTGCACGTTGCCCATACGCAATGTTGGAAATACGCAACAACAACAACAACAAGAACAACAACAGCAGCAATTGTTGCAGCAAAGTACGGGAACAACATGTTGCCGCACGCCTAAACCAAGTTAACGTGTTTCCCCCTTACACACACACACGCACACACACACACACACACATAGACAGCGACACCCCCACAAACAACCGCTTGTTAACCCAACACCGTTCCTGCTTCCTGCTGCCGGCATCGCTGTTGCCGTCGCTGCTGTCGTCGATTCGTCTGCTGCTGCTGCTATTTTGTATATAAAGCCGAGCGCTGTGCATAGCCAACATCGAGTTAACAATTTCACTTCTTGGTGTTCACATCGAGCCACAAATAGGCTAACAGGCAAACAAAATTTAACCGTCAATCTCACTGGATCCTCAGTTCCCCAAATTGGACAATTTCACGCAAATAAATAAATAAAAATAAAAGCAGTTATCAGTTTTCGCGCTCGAATTGTTGCCAATCTTATTTGCTTTAGCCAACCATTATCCTTGTATTCTCCTATACAAATCGGTGAGTGTTCGTATTTATTGTATTTTTGGTTTGTATTAACTGTTGGCAGGCTTGCCAGGCACTAATTGATGTATTTATTGGTTAGCCGTGAATTATGTTAAGTGAAATATATTTGAGTTTCTCCCACAAGAAATCGATTGTGATATAAACATATGTGCAACTGAAAGTATTTTCGAAAGGTGTTTTTATGGATTTATTTTTCGTGTGACAAATTAATCTAAGTTTCAGTAATATATCCAAAACATTTTAATATACACGATCTTATTGAAAATACATTGTATTAATATTTAACTATTATAATTTGAGTTTACCTTTCCTGAAAAGAAAAAAATTATTCACTTAATTTTTTTTTTTTTTACAAATCCAAAATATTTTACCTACTTGAAAATATGGGTTTTAATTTGAAATTATTTTGCTAAAACAAATTTTAAAAGTTCAAAATATTTAAAATTTGTAAATTTTAATATAATTTTACTTGTAGGAAAATCGAAAGGAAAAAAAAATATAGAAAAGTATTTTCCTTTACTTAATCGAATATTTTAAGAATTTGGAATAATTACTAAATTTATATTTAACATTTATATTGCCATAATTCTCTTTAAATTGCTCCAATATTAATTGAGGGAGAGTTACTTAAGTTGCTTTATTTTAACAAACAAAGTGCTAAGCTCGTTAATAATTAAATAGTGAATCACAAAGCGTTGTTTTTCTAAGAAAAGGTCTGTCAAAAAGATTGACATTCAGACATTCAGCTGTGTGGAAAATTCACTTTTCATCGCAGTTCAAACTGGTTGACAAATATGGCTAATTAATCAAATGTCTGTGCACCTTTTCGCTTTTGGATAAACTGACATTCATGTGTAGCAATAAAACATAAGAACAAATTATTTATTAGGCCCCAAACGCTAAATCACTGCACATTAGTAAACCAAATTCAGGTGCCTGTTGCTTGGTTAGACACATGGAAATTGCTGGAAATTACTTATGATGTTTTAGAGAAAATTTCGCATTATTTTTTATGGCTTTCGACAATTGCAATTGGCAAAAAAAAATGTTATGTTTCTATTTAGCTGCCCCTTAGAGATTTATTTCAATTGCATAGTTTTTTTTTACCCCATCTTCTTGAGGGATTGTTTGTAAAAACCCACAATCAAATTGCATTTAATATTTATTACATTCCCCCAACAGCAATTTCAGAAGGACAGCTAAATTTAGACTGCCCAACTGATGAAAGCCAAAATTCAGTGTAAGGTTTGAAAAATTGCCAAACAATTGCTGAACTTTAGAAAAAAACATCAAATTAAATTTAAACCTAAGACAGCTTGTAGAAGTTTTAATGATTAATATTAGTTTTGATATATACTATTTAAAACCAAAAATCAAAAGCATTTTTAATTCATTTTTTGAAATGAATCTTTCAATGAGGGACAGCTAACAATGTTATAAGACTCGCAAAATATAATTTTGCTGTGATATCTATTTTTCATATCAATATCAATTATTCTAGTTGTTAAAATCCAAATTTATTGTTATCCATTTAATCGACTAGAAGTTTCAAATTTCAAGGGCTCAGCTAACAAAATTTGCGACAAACACTTAAATTTAATAGACTGCCACATTTGTTTTCCCCTTTTTCGCTTTTGATGCCGCATTTGTTATCAATGTTATCAATGCAATTGGGGCCCCAAAAATCCGTAAATATACCGAGCCGCCAAAGAAATTCGATAGCACATCAGATCACAGAGTATCAAATGAAATTTCGCCCCCAAAAAGCAGGCAACATAAATTAACTTGCAACGGTAAAATTACTAAAAACCATTTCTTGTTTGCCGCTGTTGCCAAAGAAGAAGATGAAAACATGTCACAAGTGCTACTGACACAAGGCGCGGCTCCCTCTCCTTATTCCCCTTGGCCATCAAATATCGTATCGCATGACGGACGCAAATAAATCATAAAATACCCCCAAAGCCCAAAAGCATATTTATATATACTTGAAGCGATGCAAAACTGAACTCAACTGTAAAATAACGTTTAAAAACGAGAAACGAAAAAAGGCAAAGAGAAACGAACTGAATTTGAGAACAGCCGTTGCCAGGAGCTACGCATAATCCTACGTTTAATCCTTGTGTGTGGCAGAGAAAATGCTGCACGTGAAAATTGCATTTGCTGCACATCGCTGAACGATTATCCATCTCTTTTTCGCTCTGTAGTAGCTCGGGCCGATATTAAGTTTCCAATTAACATTGCAGCGTTATTTATCGGCCACAATAAAAATGTCCTGATTATGTTCAGTCCGCTTCCCTCCCTCTCGCTGCCTCCCCCTCTCCCTCGCAGGCTTGTTGCTTTATTATTCCATTTGGTCTCTCAGTTGACTACCGTACACTGTTTGCCAACGCCCCGAGCACAACCAGCACCAACCCCTCCCCCCCCATTCCACATTCCCCCCACACACACATTCTTTCTCTTATTAGTTTAATTTATTGCAGGCCCGCCGGAACCCAAAGCAGCCGGCAAACTGTAATACTGACAGACTGCGCCGCAGCCAACTGTTAAACTAGTTGCTTTCATATATTTTTTATTTATTTTTTTTCCTCTCTATCTGCACATCAAACATTTTAATCCCCCCCCCCCCCTACACCCCTCCCTCATTTATGATATGGCATTATAATTATCTATGCCTCAGGTATTAACTATCTGATGTATGAATATCCCTTCTCCCCCCTCCACAAAGCACTCATGTCACACACATTTGTTGTTGTTGCACTTTTATGGTAGGCTTAAGGTCTATCCAGGTATCTGTGCTGTGTACATTGCGTAATAAATATGTAGAATAGCACCAGCTATAGTTCTAATCAGTTAAAATATGAGTTGTCAAGTGTTAATTTTTCAGTGAAATTTCAGTATACTTTATACTTTTAGTGCGACGTTACATTTTTATACCCTGAACCCATTAATAAGGTTGAAAAGGGTATAATGAATTTGAGCTGAGTTATGTAACCGTAAAGATATAGTCTTCCAATGTCTGATATAGGATATTTAGTACCTGTGCAAGCAACTTACTTAAAAGAATAGCATCTAAAATTTGAGCAATTAAATGATATGATTGCGCTGAAGAATAGGCTACATAAAATATTTTTACTATCAATTCAAAGATGGTATTTAAAAGTCAACTTCGATGAAAATTTATAAAGAAACAATAGTTTTTTTTCAGAAAAATAATTGGATGCAAATGTCTGAGAAATTAACAATATATGCCACATATACTTTGGATATATATATTTTAGAATTCTTAAATATCTGCTGGCTTCAAATTTAAGTTGACATTTCTAAAATTGTAGTTCTGCGAAGATTCTATTCGCATTTCTACTATTTCAAATTTGAGTAGATGTAAAGCAGACATATCCTAGCAAGTCCTAGACTAATCCAGTAGCTCTTTGCATATCCTGGTCACATTGTAAAAAATGCAAAGCCATAAAAAGACATATTACGCAGCTGCCACAAGATGTTACTGCAACATTTTATGGGGTCCAACAGGAGCAGGATGGCTACTCGAATGTGTGGCACGTTGAAGCTGTTTCGCGAAACTCATTAGCATTTACTGCTTGCTTCATTGCGTTTTGGTTTCGCGATTTTTGATGCACTCATTGCTGAGGTGTGTCCTTATCCTTAGCCCACTCGATGTACTTAGCCCTGTACCTGTTGCAAGCTGAGAGCAATGCCTAATAACCAACGATTTATGGACTGATGATAAGTTATTCATATTTGTTTGTCGGTTTTGATGTCACCCACAAACCCAAATGATGTCATTATGGAGTGCCGTAATTAGGCGATGAATCCGCGATTAAAACAGTGCCTGCAAATTGCTTGCCACACATGAATAAAATTCTGTTTACCATTTCCGAGTTCCTGCATTGATTCAATGCTTATGTAAACCGAGTCGAGTCCTGATTACAATTGCACTTCTTGCTTTTGATTTATATTTCGTTTCGTTTCGTTTCGTTTCGTGTTGTCTCCCATGGTGTGTGTAATTAGTGACGTCATGCTGTTATCCTGTCTGGGCATGTCCTTTGAAGTGCAAACTAAGTTAATTGCTTGCATTATGCATTGAGATAAATGTCTTATTTGTTGCATAATTCATCTGAAAGCCCAGTTTGGTTGCCGCTTCAACTTTACATTTGATTTACATCAATTTAATAAGGTTAATTAGTAATTCTGATATTAATTATTGCAGAAGGCGTTTCTGAGCACATTTTCAATAATATTGTGTGCTTTAAGTGTTTGCAAATTATTCCAGTTGAGCCCGTTGCCATTTTTAATGTGCAATTTGTAATTAACACTAATGTGTTAATTTGATTTCCTATCTAATTTTCAAGCCTCAACTTAATATTTTAGAAGAATCAATAACATCTAATATATGCTGCTATCAACTATCCACATCGATCCATGTGCAACTAGCAATTAATTACTTACCCAATTAGATCGATTGATTGAGTGGCCAACTTGGCCTCTTAAATAGTTGTGGCCACAACGCTTGTGGCAACAGTTTCGGAAATGCTAGCAACGCGTAAAGTTCAACGTTGGCTCTACGAGATCCACGCTTACTTTTCGATATTTATCGGTGTCACAAGCTATCGCTATGATTACGTCCTGAAACGATACACAAATACGAAATGGACACAATTGATTGCCACCTTGGCCAATTTATGTGTTATCGTGATCGTCATGATGGATCTATACGATCTATACGCGACCAACATGATGGAAGATGTTGCAGACATTGCTCTGAGTGTGGAGGGGTTCATAAATAATTTGTTTTGCCTGCTGCGTGTCCTGCAGCGTATTCCCAGAGAGCGAGCCACCTATCAAATTGTCGAGGAGATGCGCCGAATGCGACACATCTATCGGTATCGATGGCCACGCCAGGATTTGAGCGACCTACATTTGGATCGCATTTACTTGGCCAGGAATTGTATTATGTGGCTGACGGCTGCCATCCTAATGGTCTTCATGATGTCCTTCTGTACTAATCTGGCCTCAATGATACAGCATCCGCTGCTGGAGCGAATATTTCTGGTGCTCTATGTCCTGGCCTTTGAGGGCCAAAATGTGACAATGCATTTGCTTTTTCTGATCAGTTGGCGCATTTGTCGATGGTTTGAGCGCCTTAACGGACGCATTGAGCACCTGATCAAAGGGAATTCAGCTGGGGACACACTGGAACTGCATCATCTGAGCAGGCAACACTGGCAGCTGGCGAGGCTTGAGGATCGCCTCCTAGCAGCCTACGGTTTCATTCTAATGACCTATCGATTTGGTGTAATCATCTCGGCAGCTAGTTTGGGTTATTATATTACCAAAATGCAGTCGCTCGATAATCAGATGATCAGCATTGCACTGTTTGGTTTCATTATCCTAGATGGCTATGTGCTTGATCTGATGGCGCAGTGGATAATGCAAACTCATCGCAAGACTTCGTGGCTGCTCCGGCAACAGCATGATCTTCGCCATCCAGATGAACAATTTTCCCGTGGGGTAGTTACCATCACTTCGTATCGATTGCATTTACTTCATTCCGATTTCTTTCAGTGTGATCTCTTGGCACTGCAAATCGCCTGTTTTCCACAGAAGCTTAAGCTTTATGGCCTCAATTCTAGTGGAAAAGTAGCTTGGCTACGCAGCTGTGTTCTCAGTTTCAGTTGGATGATTGTTCTCCTTCAATATGGCATTGCAGCGGACCGTAAAAAATGAAGATACGATTCTCAACATGCTACAACAACTTGAGTACAACAACTCGGATTCAGAATGTTAAAGGACACACACATTTGCAGGCTCAATAAGTTGAACTATTTACTTGCAAATTTAAAATATAGAGATGCTTAAAATAAATATATATAAATGATTAAAATGGTAGAGTTTAATCCAAATCTATATTTATACAAAACGCTTCTAACCATTTGAACTTGCTGAACAAGTCACTAACTGAAATAACTTTAAATAACATTTTATTTGTTCTATTTTTAGGTAAAATTTAGTGGCTCTCGCCAAACTGGTTAACTTAACTTTTCCACAAAAACAGCTGTGCGAAAGTTGGCTCCGAACTAAAATTGCACAATGCGTAATCATCGAACACAAAGACAAAAACCGTATTTAAAAACAGAAAACACTGAAAACATTTCAAGGCCTTTTGTGTGTCGATTCGTATCTTGAATCACGTCACAGCAAATTCAATTACACTTTGAAAACAGTCTATTTTGCCATCTGTTGTTGTTTTTGTTGCTGCTGCTGCACGCTTGCACGTTGCATGTTGCAGGTTGCAGGTTGCAGGTCACAGTTTGCACTTTGGTGCCTCTATTGTGTTCATATTTATGTTCAAGTTCATATCCGATTTTAATTGCGGAAATGCACTTTTGCCTGGCAACCTGGCAACCCTCCCAGCCTCCGTCGCCTTCAGCCCCGCCCTGCATCAACTGGCATGCGAGTCACGTTTGTGGCAACAAGTGTTCAGTTTCCGTTTACACTTGAGCTCCATTGCAATGAGCTGTTATCCTTGTTGCCGTTCTAAATCAGCTTTGTCCTTTAACAAAGACTAATTTGGGATTATTTTACAAGTGAAATGCACAACTCAGTTTCCAAATGGGAAAAATGGAATGTGACTGAAAGGAAGAAAAATACAATTTTATAGCGTTTAAGTTACTTAATCGAAATCAAATTCGCTTCGTCATATATTCGTTATTAAATAATATTTGAATAATGTGAATCTATTCATTGTATTCATAGTTTGCCCATTGTGAATCTATATCTAACAAAATCGGCTCACAAACTTTCTCTTAATCTTAAAATTCTCAAATGGTTTGCAATGGTCAAAAACTTGCTGTTAAAAATATTTATTCAAAATGCTTCAAAAGTGACTAGTTTAATTCCTTTGTAATATTTGCTAAGCTCTCGTTTTTTTTTTTCGTTCTCATTTTAGTTCAAGCTCAACCACAAAACAACATGATGAAGTCTATGCAAATTCTGCTGTGCTACGGTCTGCTGTTGACCATGTTCTTTGCCCTGAACGAGGCACGACCCTCGACGGGCGAGGCAGCTGCTGTAAGTATAGCTAAAATACCCAAGCAAAGTTCTACTTAACTGATTGTATATGTTGTACACAGGATACGGATGGAATGGAGACTCCGGATGCTGAGGATGTGCGTGGTGCCTTTTCGGGCTATGAGTTGCCTGCTCAGGCCATTTATCCCAACATTCCCATGGACCGCTTGCAGATGCTGTTCGCACAGTACAGGCCCACGTAAGTTTTGGCATATTGATCGCTGATAGTTTATTTACTCAATTGTTGGCTATATGGGGAATTTTGTGATTCGTTTCCAGTTACAGCGGCTATCTGCGCACACCCTCCTATGCCAACATGAACGAGTTGTACCGACTTCCAGAGAGCAAGCGTCAAGTGAGATACCGACAGTGCTACTTCAATCCCATCTCCTGCTTCAGGAAGTAAATCTCTTCAGCTTCGATCTGAAACCATAGCACAACCAACACAAACAAACAACAAAAATAAAAAGAAAAAACAACAAAAAATGACAGCCCTATTGATAAATTAACATTTCAAACACAAAACAAATATTTAAAATTAGCATAATTCCAAAATGCCAATATTTAGTGCGGTTAACTAAAGTTAAGACTCCAAATTATATAAATGTCTATTAACATTGTTATATGATACACGAAAAATGCTTCATTGTAGTTTAAAAACAAAAAAAAAAACATATTAAAAAATATATATAATATATATTAATTAATAAACTTGCACATAAATTAAATTTATGTTTTTTCGCACATGGTTTTTGTTTTTATTTAAAAAAAAGAAAACTTATGCTTGCATATGGTGTGGTAAAATAATATACAAAATATAAAAATATACAAAATATACTAATATATTGAAGAAAGAAAGAAAACTGCAATTTCCTTTTGTAAATTTAATGTTTCAGCTATTGTATAATACATAAAGGACACATGAATAGAGTCAAACACTTATAAAATCTATCAATGTAAAATATGAAACTATTAATAAAGTTATACTATATTTAAAATAATTAAATGCACAACTTTAATTTCTATAAATCGCTTTCAGTTTGTTTCACAGTTGATTTTAGTAGGCTCTAAGTAATTGTCTTAGTAGTTATCTGGCAGTAGGATTTCTATAAAATCTAGATTTCCAGTTGATCCCAGCTATAATTTATAGTCCGTATCACTGACTATATTTTATATCGATTTCTCATATAGCCAATTGCCTCCTCTCCAGCAACTTGTGTTCCGCATTAACTTCACATCGATCCATTTGGAGTACCAAACGATTGGGTGTTGAGATCTTGTAGTGCCCATGGCGTCTATATCGCTCCTCGATGCGCAGCGAGGTGGCCATCACAAAGATGGAGAACACCAATGCAATCAGATATCGAACAACCAGCATTTTACTATATTTGCGATTGTGTTGCGTATACCTCAAAGATTCGACTGTGGCCTACTCAATTGCGGATCGTGACTTTTATAGCCAGAAGTGCTCAGATATCAGGTAGCTGAACAGTTTTCTCAATGTTTCCCGAGTTTTCCTGCTAAGCTGCTTGGCTGCTCTTTGATTTTGTATACTCTGATTCTAAATTTACATCTTACTGATGATTTGCTGTAAGACGCATAATTTTTACGGAATCCATTTAAAGTGGGTAAAATATTAGATTGAAGTTGAAGCACAAGGAAATGTCTCCAAATGGAAAGTGAAGATATTTATGCACAGATAATTATATATATTGGAAAATAAGTAATTCAGATGAGGTTTATTTAATTTGATCGATAATCTATTTCCGAGAAATTGTCAGGATATATTCTAATTAATATGTGTCATGCATTAACATTTTAAATTTTGCTAATCAATATGAGTTGATCATATTTTCCATTTAATTTCACTTCCAAACTTATTTTTATATTTTACATTCTATGCAAAAACATATAAAATTTTGTGAACAGTCTAAAATCCATTGCCAATATTTTTGACCTGAAACGTTTTCCATTTTACTACTTCGGATTTTTGGAAAAGTATTGTTTGTGTGTGTGTGTGGCGCAGCTTACGCGAATTAAATACGCTAATCCATTGGCAATTTTCACTTCCTGCACGAATAATGCAAATCCCGGCACTCAACAATATCCACTCAATGCCAGCTGTAAGCGGCACCGGCCTGATTTGCCCGTCAACAATGTAGATGTGTCTGTGTGTGTGTAATAATTGTGGGCATCATCAGTGGATGGCTGAACTGCTAACTGATGATGGCAACGAGTCATTGGCTGCCTCATCAGGCAACAGTTGCAAAGATGTTTCCAAGAAGCCGCCGCCTATTCGCTTTCGCTGGCGACCCTCGCTGATATTTTATGATGCAGCGCACCGCGACGCATTTAACCATTAGACATTTTAATTGTTAATTTTTTGCAAAAAAAAATTTAAATAATGGATACGCTGCAGGCAGAGGATGGTAGGCGCTTCTCTCCATCGAGCGCTACCTGCATTTATTATCTGGCAATTCCTGGCCCGACTGCAGCCGTTGCACCAGTCTCAGTCTCCAGTCTCAAGTGCCATCAACGTAAAAACAAGTGGCAACAATTTTCTATAAATTGCATTTGTGCAAAATTAAGTTCAATCTTGGCAGAGCGGCAAGCGGCAACTCCAACTCCACGTCCAAGTCTAAGTCCAAGTCCAGGTCCAGTTCAGTTCAGTTGAGTTCAGTTCAGCTGCAGAGCTGCCGATCTGTCCAGTGTCCGGTAGCCGCATCCGTTGCACTTCATCGCTGCTGGAGTAGCCAAACTCCATTAACTTTGCAATTGGCCACCATAACTTTTAGATGGCTAGTTTGCCTGGCCACCTCTGGGGTGGGGCTGGCAGCGGGGTGTTGCCACAGAGAAAGGAAGCCAGGGAACGGGCGGCAGCCACATCCCATCAGCAGCAGCAGCAGCAGCAGGCACATCGCTTGTTAGTTTTTGCGCCAGATCGTTTATAATAATTCGTATGCGAGTCATGTCATGGCCCCTAAAGTGTATCTGCGACTGCGCCGTCGACTTTTTCAAACACGACGTCGCATATCTGTATCTACGAGTTTGCTGCCTGGCCTGGCTCCCTGCCTGGTTCCCTGCCTGGTTCCCTGCCTGCCTGCCTTGCTGCCTGCCGGACTGCTTGGCGTTGCACAGTGCAACAAAACCAAACTTTTTTGTGTATAAAATAATGATTGGGCGAGGCATGTTTGGTCAACTTGGGAGGGTCTTTGAAAGTGAGTCCTTTTCATAGTTTTCACACAACAATTATTGAAGTCACATAATATTTAAACTTTGTATCAAATTACTTGCAATGTCTCAAATCGGTTTCGAAACTTTAACTATTTTTAGTTAAGCATCTGAATCTTAAACTGAAGCAGTTTTCAAGTCCCCTTCAACCACTCAATTTTTAACATAGTTTTGCTCTGATTTTTTTCATTTATTATATTTAAGACAGAATCAGGAGCGATTATCTTAGCTATATATTAAAGATAAATACACATTTTTGTAGACTGGACTAGATATAGTTGTCCGATGCTGATAGTTTTTTGTCCAAATAGGAATTCAATTTCATTTCATCTTTTATATTTTTTCTTTCAAAATTTCATATTCACAACTGATTTTTTTGCCAGCAACAAACTGTTTTCAGTCCATAGTGTGTTGGCCTGGCCAACAACACTGTGCGCTCTCTCTCGCTCTTGCAGTCAATCGCTCTTTCGCTCTGATCTGGTCAACTATGCAACCGCTGTCGAGGTTGGAGTCGCAGCCACCGCCCCGTTGCATGTGGCTTGCCTCTTGACTCGGCTGCTGATCTTGCGCCCATTTTGGTGCGCATTGCTTTGGGTCGCCACCGGTTCGATTGCAGCTCCTCCAGCGCCATTCCTCGCCGCCCGCCCCACCAGCGCCGCCTGCTCCATGTTTAACCACTTTATGTGCGCTGTGGTTGCGCTGCGGCATTCGCGTTCTATTGGTAAAAGGAAGTTAGAAAATGCTCTGAATTCATGTGGGCACTGGCGCTGGCATTTTTCAGCTTCAGCTGATTGCGGATCGCCAGCGAGGAAAGTTGCCTCCGAACGGTTCAGCTTTGGTTGGTCTCTGCCTGTAGAAGTTGGTTGGTTTCGCAAAACTAAGCAAAACTGAGCCATAAGCTGACAGTCATATCAAGTTTTACAATTAACCTACCCTCTTAATATGATAGCAATCTACTTACAGATGTAGATAAATATTATTAATACTTTAAGCTTTCAATATATTTAATATGTTTTTCAATTATTCTTTAAGAATTAAAATTGGCCCAGTTTTCTTAAAGATATGAAATATTCGAACGGAAATTCTGGGAGCAAATGAAATTAAATGGGAATTGAACTGAAATTACTCAGGAATTAAATATAAAGTATTGGAAATGTGGAGAGTCAGTCCTAACTAAAATCGAAATAAAAATAGATTCCGCTTTCACAAAGAGGAAAGGAGTTGAAACTATTTGAATTACACTTTTATTGATGTCGAAAATGTGTAGAAAATAAATCTTACTGTTAAAGTTTTCTTTTTAATATTATTAATAACATTTACATATTTACTAACCTTTAGTTTCAAACTGAACCCCAATATTTAACAAGCTTTCATTTCAAATTGTGGCCCAATATTCTTTATAAACTTTAGAAATACTAATACCCATCTTATTAATAACAAATAATTAATAGTCCCTGTGGTTTTTGGGAGCAACTCATCTGGAAATTTGAGGATTAAGAAAAACTTGCTCTAGAAATGAAGTTCGTGGACAGGTATGGAAATTGTTGACCTTGATTTTCGCCACTTTTTTTATAAGCTTTTCTTTCCAATCCGACATTTTCCAATCTAAATATGACAAGTAAATTTGTAGCCTTTACCGCTGGCCAAATCAAATATTGCTGCTAATCGAGAGCCAGACACTGAGATAATTATTTTAAATGTTGTGTTTTGGTTTTTGTGAATTGGGTGCAGGTTGAAAGATTTAGCTGGCCGAGTCGCGAGTCGCCACAAAAGGGCAAGCAAGCGACAAAATTGCGGCTGCAGCAAGAAATATGAAATTCCAGCAGCTGCGGGACACTTGAGGTGGTCAAGGCGGAACCCAACAGCAACGATTGCCAGCTAACCGGTAGTTGTTGCTGTTGTTGTTAGTTGTAGTTGTTGTTGTCGTTGTTGTTGTTGCTGTTGTTGTTGGTGGCTCTCTAGACTTTGGCGGCGTCGTCTTCGCGGTCGTCGTCACCATGTCGTCGCTCTGGACATTGCCAGCAATGTTGCTCTTATTTCAGAACATGAACAACAACAGCAGCAAGCAGCAGCACCAGCAGCAACAACAAGTTGCATCGTTTGTACGGGTCGCAAGAATGCCTTAATTCAGGAATTTAATGAAAAATGCTCTATGAAGCGGACCAGCAAATTAAAAAAAGGAAAAACTTTTGCACAGAAGCAACAGCAACAGTCGCAGCAGCAATAGCAGCAGCAGCAGCAGCAGCAGCAAAAAGGTTAAAATTAAAATCAACGCAGCAACATCATTGGAGAACTCTCGGCTCCCGGGCAAACACTTGATGGCTTTTTGCACAAAACTGACAGTGTGAGATCGGTGGCAGGTGAGCTGAAACTGTTGCACAGTTGAACAGTTCTTCTTGTTGTTGTTGCCAGCCTCTGCTGCTGTTGCTGCTGCTGCTGTTGTTGTTGCTGTTGTTGCTGTTGCTGTTGCGCGTTGTAAATTACATTTTCCAAATGCTTTTGCCATGTCGTACCAAAAACCCATGTACATATGTGGAATCAGGCCGAACTCCTCCCGACTCCTGCCTCCTGGCTTCCGTTTTGATTTGGAACACTTGTTGCTGTTTGCTGCTTATTGCTGGTTGCTGCTGCTTGTTGCTGGTTTGCTGCTTGTTGCTTGTTGCTGCCGGTTGCCGTTTGCTTATTGCTGCTGGTTGCTTCTTGCTTATTGCTGCTGGTTGCTGCTTGCTGCCTTTGCTTTAGGATTTGTCCTGCCGCATTGCAAATTCCTTGGGGATGTGTAAACACGCACACACACACACACACACACACACACACACACACACACACACATACACACACACACACGCACACACACACACACACACTCGCACACACACACACACACACATGTTGCTGTGGCGTCTTTTTCAGCTTCTGTTCTTGCTTTTGTTTGTGATTATGTTGTTGTAGTTTGTACAGATTGTTGTTGATTTGAGTGTTGATTGTTGTTGCAACATAATGCGGTAGGTGGGCACAGAAAAGGCCATCTCGCCTTTGATTAAAACCGAATCAATTATATTGTGCGTGTTTCGAGTGTGAATTGTGGCTGCGGCTCTTTAGACATTTCTATATATATTCATTTATTATTCAATGCGTGACTTAAGCGCCGATTTAATTGGCCTCAATACGAATATACAGAATCTTATGGAAGCTAGTAAATTACCTTAATTCTGGCCAACACAGGTAAATGCCTTAGATTTGATTTGATTTTAACCCACTCACTTTCGTTGTTCTTGCGTTAAATAAACAAATAAATAAATATGAACGATTTCTAATAAATATTGTTGAAACTTACACAAATTAAATATGTTAAGATATTCAAAGTAATTCACAAACAATTTTGGGCCTTTTTTGAATGATTTTTTTTCTTTGTTTGACAAGCGGCAAATAAACAACAAAATATATTAAAAATACAAACCAAAGATTAAAGATAAATAAACCAAAATCTACTTTAGAGATACAAAAATAAAGTTCAATTTGCAATTATTTATTTTGATGTATATTTAATATAAAAGAAAAATGCAAAACTTAAAGCTATGTCACAATTTGTATAAGTTTTTAATCTTAGTCTAAACTTTGAAGTTTTAATACATTGCCTCCGGTTCGATGATCTCGTAGGTGGACAACGGCATCACCTCGTTGCTCAGATAGTTGCCGCCACCGGTTGCCATTGGATAGAAGTTGTAGAAGCGTTGCAGAAATGAGCTGCGCCACAGCTGAGCTGTGGGAGCCGCTTGAGGAGGAGCAGCGTAATAGGCCCGTCTCTGTTTGTAGAAGGCGCCACCGACCACAGGTGCAAATTGTTGCATTGCATCATTGTTGCCATAGTCATCATCGACAATCGTTTCCTGGGAGGTGACCTCATTCGCAGCGGAGTCGTCAGCGATAAGGGGGCGTGCCAAGCAGCCACAGAACAAAACGCTGGCGAGGCACAGCAGCACGGAAATTGACTTCAAGCTGGACATCTTAGCTGCTTGACAGTTGTTGAGGGAATATCTATCCAAATGGCAGACGGGCTGCGTTTTATACTGATGCAGGTAAACACACATTTATTGGTGGCTTATGCGCGGGCGTTAAGCGATTTCTAATGATGCCATTCGGGATATGGGCAGCTTAACTGGCAGCTGCAGCAGCAGCAGGAGCAGGATTTACCTGAATACTCTGAGAAATTTCAGAAAATCAACAAAGGCAGATTTCCCTTTAATCATCAGAAAATGTATTAGTAAAACAACCAAGTTTTCTTATCTGTGGATTATTGTTTAGCTAAGTTTATAAGTTATTATAAATTATTATATATTATATATATAAAGTTATTATAAATTGTAAAAATAATTCAACTTTAGCAAAAACATACAACATTAAAAAAAGTGGGGCTGCTTAGATATTTGTTTCTAAAAAATGAAAAAAAAATTAAAAGTATTCTCAAAAATCTGTTTCATAAAATTAAAAATATTTTTGAAAAGCATAAGTAAATATAATATTTTTATATAATATATACCCTGTACACAAATTGACTTAAATGTAAAAGGTACTTCTAAAATCCAAAAATCAATTTCTTTTCTTAAATGTTAAAGCATTTTTTTAATGTTTTTTTTAGTGCAGTTTGTTAAATAAAATTCAAAATATGATCAGACTTTTAGAGAATCAACAAAGGCAGATTGAAAATTGAATATATTTCTAAGAAAAATACAAAATATTTCAATATTTGGTTTTTTAGAGGGTATTTCTAAAATACAGAAATCGGTTTTCTAGTTCTCAAAGCGACTTTCTAAATAGTAGGGAATATTTATTGTTTTTTTTTTTCTGAGTGCAGTTTGCTGTTGCTTGTTAGGCTCTAGATAAAGTCACTTAAATGCAAATCTTGAGTAGCTGAAGTTGCCTGCTGTTGCATTCAGTCAATGCATCAATGCGTTTCATGTTAATCAAACAGCGAAATCCATCAACAGGTGACACAGCAACAAGTTGTTGCTGTTGCAGGTGGAGGCTACAAACCCAATTCCAATTCCAATTCCAACTCCAAACCCAATCCCATCCCAATCCCCAGACATGTCAGTGCGATAATGGTGCTGCGTCTAAAAACAACTTCATTCACAAAAATCGGACGGAAAAAAAGAGCGAAAAAGAAAAAAACCCAGTCGAAGAAGCAACCAAAGGAAGCGAGTCCCATTAAAAATATCTTGTGGATGCCAAAGAGCTAAAGATACAAACGACGACGATGACGATGACGACGACGACGACGACGATGATGATGACGGTGGGTGTGCAGGAAGGGGTAGACAACCACAACAACAACAAGGCAAAGCCAAGGCAGCTACTTGACTACTTGGCTACTTCTTCTACTTTGCCACAAAACAGCAGCTGCGGGGGCGGCACAAAGGGGGCTGGACTAGCAGGCAGCAGGCAGCAGGCAGTAGGCAGGCGCAGCGTGGATAACGCTTGCAACATACGCCTAATGCCACAGACATCGACATCCGCCATTTAACTTCTTAACCCCCCAGTGGCTTTTGTGCCTAAATTTATGCACACACATGTTCCTACATCAAAATCTCTTGAATTTTTAATGCAACATCTTTTTATATCTGCTGAATTTTTTAACGTTAATGTTAAATGACCTCAGCGAGATGTTCTTAATGAAACAGTTTGCAACAGCATTTCCTGATGTGCTTAAATATAATATGGCTTAAAAACAAATAAGATTATGGTTCAAGTTAATAAATTAATAAATTATATTTTAAGAAAAATATAAGTTGGAAATACATAATAATCTTAAATAACTATCATAAATAAACTAATATATGCATAGAAATCTATTTAAAATTATAGAATTTAATTGGAAAATTAAAAATAAAATCAAAATTTTCTTAGTTTTTCATTGGTGAATATTCTTCAATTATTATTTAATTATTTTGCTTAAAGCAATTTTTAAATGAAAACCACAAAAAAATAAATCAAATCAATAAAATTAATTTGTTTGAATTATATTAAATATTTGTATAAAGTTTATATGCAAGATTTGATTAACTGATGGGAAGAGATGGCAGGTGTTTTGTAGCCCCGTGACCCATTGTGGGGTTAAGGTGAATCGCGTCTAGGCTGCTGCGCAGTCGCGACTGTCTACATTTGTCTGGCTGCCGTTGCCGTTGCCGCTGCCGTTGCAACGTTTGTTGTTTCTCTTGTCTCATTGGATTGCTGCTGTTGCAGCTTTTGGCCAGTGGACGGCAGTCGGCTCGATTATTGGACGTCCAGCTTTCAATTTGCAACATAAAGCATCTTCATCGTGGGCCGCATGAATGGGCACTGCAAGGGGAAAATGTGTTGTGGCGCAGTGGTGGCAGCCGGCAGCAGGGGGGCAACATGCTGCTGGTACAGGTGGGGCGTGGGTTGGTTGACTGACTGGCTGACTGACTGACTGCATTTTGGCATTGGCAGCAGGCACTCAGGCGTGCCGTGGCAGTAGTCGCTGACCTTTATTGATTGCTGTTTGACCTCGCCAGCAATCGTTGGTGTTGTTGTTGCTGTTGTTGTTGTTGTTGTTGTTGCTGTTGTTATTGTTGCTGCTGCATCTGCAGCCATTTGTACTTGACCGATCGTAGGCATAGATTAAGCAGCAGCGACGGCGACGGCAACTGCGGCGTCGGCAGCAGTAGTAGCAGCAGCAGCCGCAGCAGCCTTTTGCAGTTGCAGTTTTGCTATTTTACTTTGTGCCTTTTTGCGCAACCTTCATTGTTACCTCGTCATCATCATTGTTGTTGTTGTTGTTGTTGCTCCATTACTTCGCTCATATCAGTTAATTTATATGCGTTGCCATCTCTCTTTCTCTCGCTCAATCTTTGGCGCTCTCTTTGCTGCTTCCTTTTGATGTGTTTAGTCTAAGGTCGTTGTTGACTGACAGCAGAGCCAGCGGCAGCAGAAGCCGTCATTGACGCATTTTCTTCAACTTAGCTCCATTTGTATTTGCATGCTGAGTGCAATCATTGAAAAGAGAAGCAACAACAACAAGTAAACAATGCAAAGAGCAAAGAAATCACAGCACACTTTCAGCTTTGATGATGCTTCATGGCTCCGTGCTTTGTTTGACAGTTTCTATTAGCAGCAACTGCAGCAGACGTCAACGTTGATGTTTTGTTTTTGATTTGAGCAGTGCTCGAATGGAAAAAGTGTGGAAAGATTATGTTTATCAAAATTGTAGGCTGGTAATATTTAGAAATATGTTGGAAATATGTAGAAACTGAAGTGTAAATTATATCAAAACATTTGTAAATTATAACAATTTTACTTATGCGACACGTCAAATACTATTTGTACGAAAAAATATAGTAATTTTGCTATTTTTAAGCAATATTTTGTGATTCCCAATAAAATCGTATTGACCTTTGCCTGATCTTGTTTCGAACTTATGCTTAAGCTAAAATCTCTACTCAGCTTATCGTAATGATATTTAATGAACTCACGTGCTCTTAATTGAAAACATATCAAATATGAATCTCTTAACATATAATAATTCGCATGTTAATAAATATCATAACAGTTGATTGTTACACAAAGCAAGCAACCTGCTGCTTTCAAACCACTAATTACTCTTAAAATGTCGCTCTTAAGCATATCTCCATAAAAATTCATTCATATAAAATATACGCGCTCACACACACAGACGCGATTGCTCCACGAAGTGCATGGAACATGCACGAGCCGAAAACGACACGGCCCCCAAATAGAGCTGAGAGCCGACACGATCGAGAGCAGCCAAACGAACCGAACGGTCAGTTATATTTGCAACGCTCTCGAGTGCGGGTCGTTAACGGTTTGGGGAGCGCAGCTTTTCTTCACAAAGTTGTCTGCGGCGGCGCAAAGAAGAAAACGAAACAAAAACACAAAAACAAACAAACAATAATAATAAACGTAATTTAAACAATTAATCAAAACGCGGCGATCAATGAAACTTATACAAAAACCCAGCAGCAGCAATATTAACAGCAACAAGTGCCAGTGAATTATTGTACTTAATTTTTATGTACAAATAGTGAGAGTGTGTGTGTGTGTCAGTATGTGTGTGGATATGTGCTTTATCAATTGCTCCACATAATAAATTTCATTGAAGTGTTTGACAGCCGGCAGCGCAACAACTAAATAAAACTAACGGCAACGACAAAGGCGACAGCGACGGCGACTACGACGGCAACGGCAACAGCAACGACGACGACGGCTGCTTAAAACGGTAATTAATACAAACATACTTTTGATTTGGCAATAAACAAATGATTCAGCGATTGTCAGCAACAGTAAATTGTAAAAACACTTGCAGCTAGCTCTGCTCTCTCTCTCTCTCTCTACCGCTCTTTCATAGTGATTGAACGACGTCGACGTCTGCGTTGGCATCGGTGACAAAGCTTTTGCTCAACGCATGTTTGCAATTAGTCTGCGTAATTATTATTGTGGTTGCCAACGCCGACTCTGTTACAACAAAGTAGCACGCGCATAGAAAAAAATGACTCTGTCTCTCCCCCGCAAAGCCAATCGGCTCGCTCGCTCTCTTTTGTGCTCTCTTCGTGTGTGTGTGAGTGTTTATTTGTTACGTGTTTGCTTTTACGCCTTTTACATACCCTTCACATTATTATTTGCCATTTTGTCGCTTTTATTAATTGGCCTGTGTAAAAACGGCGACGACGTCGACGACATCGGCTACCTGACACGGCAGCTTTTGTTACTGCTATCAGAAAGCAGCGGCAATGCTCTCTCTCTTTCTCTCTCTTGCTCTTGCTTTTTCTCTCTCTTTTTTACACACACTCACACACACTTGTTGCTGCCGTCGCGTTGTTTTTACAGTTTTTTTTAAGTGGCGCTCATATCCGGCGCTTGCGATTGTTTTGGCTGCTGATAAGCGCACTTCTCGCCTCACTCTCTTCATGTTCTGGTTCTTTATTGTTGTTGTTGCTGGTTACGTTTTCTACGATTGTTGTTGTTGTTTTTGTTTGTTTTTCTTTTTTGCATTTGCATTTGCATTTCATTTTGGCTTTAGTTTTAACTTTGTTCGCAAAATATTTAACTTTGCAAAATGAATCAGTTTGCTGGACTTTTAATG